GGAACCAACATTTAAATTGATATTTTTATAAATCCGAAACGACACCCCTTTGGAAATATGGAGATTTATCTGCTCTTTCATATGACTCCTCATTTATTGAGTATAACCTTCAGGATCACAACAAATAAAGGTTTGAATCTCAATTTATTTCAAAAAACATTGACCATTTTTGCATGGTCGTGCAATGCACATGGACTGCATAGGGATGTGTGCAATGTCTATGGGAAGGGTTTTTTAGCACACCCTATTTGTAGCTTCTTGATAGTGGAGTTAGGTAGGGCGAAAGAATGGCCACAAAAACTGCTTGAAACCGACTAAATAAAAATGGCGCATTGACGGTTGCGCATGAGTGATTCAGGAGAATAGAGATTTTAGTGACCTTGATGCGGATAGAGACTACGCCTACAAAGTTTGAAAGGAATTAGGATTAGCGTGTCTGAAAGATTTTTCAATTTTCAATTTGGGATCGTTTTTCACCATTTTTGTTGGATATTTGAATTAAAAAGGTAATCAGAATAATATATTCTATCAAAAGATACAGCCCCTCAAAAACTCTGCAATATTCATAGCATTTTGCTCAGAATGGACAAAAAAGTGGTTCACGCCGAGTTATCATTTTTTGCTAAACAGCTGCATTCTAATGCATTAGGCGATATGCAAAAAGTGGGGGAAGGGTATTTTCAAACTTAAATCGTATGTGAATTTGTATATATGATCCTTGTTCAAATGCGATTTAACTCAAAATTTTATGTTTGAACTTCAGGCTAAGGATGTAGGTCCAATCCAACACAGATCGAAAGAAAAGATTCTTGGCAAATTTATCGCTTTTATCCCTGCCTAGAGGCCTGTGTGAGAACTTAGGGATCAACAACCTGTCATTGGGAGCGCCCTGTCAAGTAATTGCACGCCCAAGCAAAAATTCGACAAGACAAACTGGACAGGGCAAGGTGCGTTGCATGGGGGAAAAGTGAATGACCTCTTGTGCTTCACAGCAGCTATATCATGAATTCTTCATATGATTTATTAATAGGTTAACATGAAACAGCTGATCACAGCAATGATTGTGTTGTTTTCTAGTTGCATGCTGTCATTGAAGCACGGTTGCACACCTGCCAGTGCAACAGATCAGAAATGCCACTGTTGGCCTACATGTTTATGCCTATTTTTTCTTCATACATGTACACTGTTCTCTGTGATCAAGGCTCACATATAAAACTTATTTGTATACTAACAGACACATACAAATAGCTGTGCTAAAATGTATGTTTTGTTCATTTAGAGCATGTTTAGCCAGCTAAAGAATAACAGAACGGGAAAAATCTATCACAAGCTATGGCCCTTTTCTATTTTGTTCCATCTCATTCAATAGTTGCTTTAAAATCCCAGACATGATTCAGAATAATTAGGCGTTACAAAGTAGGATAATTAAATTAAAAGAGACTTAAATGAAATTGAATATTGAAGTTAAATTTATATTCTACCAAGTATAAGCCTAATATGAGGAATCATGTCCCTCCCTGTTTGATTGTTCTGTCAGTGGGATTATTAATACAATAGCAGGACCCGCGGAAATCCGCGGGATTCTAGAGGGGGGCGGGGGGTGTAAATAGATATATAGAGACTGTCTAAATTAAAACCATCAAGAACTTTATTTGCCATTCAGGACATTAAAAAAATAAACATGTTTAGCGTCCCCGCCCGCTTTCTTTTTGGGGGCCGCCGCCTATTTTTTTTTTTTTCAATTTTTTTAATTTTTTTTTTTTTTTTTTGAAAGAAAAAAAAACAGCGTCCCCGCCTGCTTCCTTTTTGGGGGCGCCCCCTTTTTTTTTTCTTTTTTTTTTTGAAAGAAAAAAAAAAAAAAAAAAGCACTGCTAAAATGTATTTCTGATTTTAAAAAAGAAAAAAAAAAATTGTCGGCCGCCATTTCGCAAAATAGCCTGAATGTCAGGGAAAATGTACGAAGCGGCCATTTTGAAAGAAAAAAAAAAAAAAAAAGGGTCTCGATCCTCCTTCCCATTTTTCGAAAAAAGAGGACGCTAAACATGTTTTTTTTTTTAATTTGGCCTTATATAAAAAATAAAAAAAACGATCCAACTGTACCGGTAGTTATTCTTTAAGCCACTGGAACTGCGTAGAGTTCCGTAGTGTGGCGTACCGACTACGCAGAAATTAGGCTGCGTATTAATAGGAAAATAGTCCCTGCGTAGGTTATGCGTAGGCTGGCGTACAGGTTCGCTTATGGTTGCTTACTGTGTGGAAAGCTTTTACTGCTTTGTCGATCTGGCGTAGGGTAGCGTACTGTTGCGTAGTCATGTAGCGTATTGTTGCGTAAAAAGGCGTACTTTCTGCGTCAAGTTTCTACCCCGAAAGTATGCGAAAAAAATTAAACATGTTGAATTGTTTTCGTTCATCTTGCGTACCCCTTTCCGTCACTCAGCATATAGTAACGTAGGCCAGCGTAGTTGGTACACAACACTACGCAACTCTACGTATTGACCCAACGACCAATTAGTGACTTGCAAGTGTCACAAATAAAGTATTAAAAATATGTTCATCTGACCCTAATTAAACGCCTAAATCCCCCCAAGCTTTCGGGGGTTTATGGCCCCTTGAAACCCGTGGACCCCACGCCTATTTTATATATACACTCAACTCGCTGCGATCTGATCTCTCCCCCCCCCCCAACTCTGAAGAACGTAACCCAGAGCTTTTAGGGGTTTATGGCCCCTTGAAACCCGTGGACCCCACGCCTATATTATATATACACTCAACTCAGGACCCGCGGAAATCGGAGGGATTCTAGAGGGGGGCGCAGGCAAAAAAATAAGGTTTTCGGGGGCTCCATTTCAAATTTTGGGGAAATTTTCGGGGGCAACTTTTTCAACTTTCGGGGGCTCTTTTTTCTGGGGCTACTTTTTCATTAATTCATAAAAGGATAGGCCTCCACTTTGTTGAGATTTGTTTAGGCTAAGGTTCAGGCTTAATACTTCATAATTGCCTATTTAAAAAAAAAAACATTTTTCTAGTTCAATAACTAAGTTTTCATGCATTGATTTGATGCAAGAACTGTAACATAATTAATAGACCCTAGATCTAGATTGTGATTATTTCTGACCATGAATTTCGATAATCATTTTTCAAAGTAAAATTTTCACAAGAAAATCAGACAGTCGTTTAAAAACGTAGACATTAGTAATACTTTTACTAATTCTAAGCTCAGGCTTCGTAAATCTATTCACGAAACTATATTGAAATCGCGGCAATAATGATGCAAACCAACAGATAACAATTTCAAAGTGTCAAATCTCTTCGACTCGAGCTCAGCTCAGCTGAACTCACACACACTCCAGCGTAACTCCAGTACTGTATGTGTGAGGACTGCATGAAGGCAGCTTGCGACATGAACTGTCAGTCCAATGGTTTTCTTGTGAAAACTTTCCTTTAGAAAATGATAAACAAAATGTAGTATACATTAACCGTCATAATCACAAAATAAGCTTTGATTTCATACCTCCATTCACGAAAACTATATAAAAATCGCGGCAATCATGATGGAAATAGGTCTCTAAGTTTGGACGTCGACGGGAATTAGCCCCGTGTATCTCTCTGGCTTGTGCAGCGAGTACAAAGCACACCCTATAGTAAGATGGCTTACTCGGGGGTTATCCCGCCCTTTGCATAGAGCATTTAATACGTAACATAATGGAGTTGATGGTCATCTGTTGTGTGTCTGTTTGATACAGCTACTACAAAGCACATCCTAGCTACTACAAAGCACATCATATAGCAAGACGCTTTACTCTGGGCAATCCCGACCCTGTGCATAGTGCATTTAATACGCAACTTAATGTGAGTGGATAGTCATCGGTCGTGTGTCTACGGATGCAATGTTGAATATCCATGAGGTATCTCTGTCGTCACGCATATCCTGCATTATGCATGTCGCGTCTTTTTTCGCCCTGGACGTCGACACGGAGGAGGACCTCGGGCGGAGTATAGCCAATTCCACAGAGTAGACTCTCCCGCGGACGACGGCACCGGGCACGGGTACCCCGAGGGCAGGGTTCAGGAGGAGATAGCCGCACCAACTTGGGTCGGCGATCTCATTAAAAAACAATAGAATACAAAGACTCGCCGAGACGTCGCGCCCCCCGCGGAGCCTTAGCGTATTACTTATATAGATTGATTTGTAATTGTTTCCCCGCCCTTCTTTGCATGATTAAATGAGCATGTTGTCTTTGAAAATGGTTTTGAGTGGGCTTCTTATACACGATGCGGAGGATGCTCATTTGCATGAATGAAGTCCAAGAGACTTTGAATGTGTGGTATTTCCGATCAGTGGCAACCATCTGAAAGCCCATGAGCGAATAGAGAGGTAACTAGGCCATTGCTTAGCCAGCGGGTGCTGGGGTATTTCCTCGCACATCCACCTGGTTCACGGTCTGTTCAGGGATTGAAGGTAGATGGGACAAGCATCTGCATGGGTATTCTGCTGGCCTTTACGATGTCTGATGTGGAATGTGTGGGCATTGAGATTGATGACCCATTGGGTTCGTCGTGATTTGGTACTTTGTTGTAACCATGGATTGGTTGGTGGTCAGTGAAGATGATAAACTCTTGACCTCGTAAGTAGTGTCTATAGTGACGAACAGATGCAACAATAGCCCATAACACTGTGTTGTACGTTGACCATTTCAGGAATCACTAATCTCCCCACTGTGCTCCGATTGTTGTATACCAGAAGGCAACTACTCTCTCTTTCCCTTTCTTTACTTGGGAGAGAACGGCACCTATGGCATTGAGAGAGGCGTCTGTTGATGGGCTGAATTCAACTGAGAAATCTGGGCTAGCCAGTAAGGGTGGATTGGTAAGAGCCCTTTTTAGTGTGTTGAAGGAGTCTTCACACTTTTCTGTCAAGTTGAACCTCATTCCCTTGTGAGTGAGATTGGTCAATGGAGATGCAATCTTTGAGAAGTTCATGATGAAACAACGATAGCAGGATGCAAGTCCAAGGTAGGATCTGACATGGGTTGGGTCTTGTGGTCTTGTGGGCTACTTTGTTTATGTTGTTGGGATCAGGAAGTACGCCATCTGAATTGATTACATAGCCCAGGTAGGTAACTTCCTTACTGAAGAACTGACATTTGGATGGCCTCAGTTTAACACCAGCTTCTCTGAAGCATTGGAGGACATTCTTGAGGTTGTGTAGATGGTCATCAAAGTTCTTCTCTAGTTTATCTAAAGGCCTGCCTTCACTATCTCGAGAATGCCAAATATCCAGCTATTTGAACTATCCTGATTGCAAACTATCCAGCTAATTTGCGTCTTCATCAGACTAAAGTAGCAATTAGCAGGATATTTGGTCGGGATTGTCATCCCAAGATATCTTGGGATAGTTTGCAAAATATCCCACTATTTGGCAAAATATCCAGCTATTTGTCCTGTGCGTCTTCACCAGACCGAAGACTCGCACTATGTGCTAACACTGAGCAAAATATCTCAAGGTCAAGTTTCAAGTTTCGAGGTTGAATCTCGAGCTGATGAAGATGCGATTTGTAACTTCGGGATTATTTCCCAAATCAGAAATAACAGGCTATTTGGCAATCCCGAGATGATGAAGACACACCTTAAGTAGATTAAGCAAGTGGACCAATGGAGACCATGTAGTAGTGCTTCCATGAGGCGTTGGAACGTCATTGGGGCGTTTACTAGGCCAAAGGGCATGACATTGAATCAATATAGCCTTGTTCCTGTGGTGAAGGCTGCCCGGCCCCCCACTCAGTGTTATTAAGGGTACGCGTATGCATGTTCCCTCCTTTTGAAAACACCCCCCTAAGTCCGGTGTGCAAAGTCAATATAGGCAGGAATTTTGTGGACTACCAGTCAGACTTTGGTGCGTGAAAAGTACCCTTTACCGGCCATTTTGGGAACACGCATGCGGTCCCTCTGACCCCGGAGTGGGGGGGGGGGGGCCGGTGAAGGCTGTCTCTTCTCTGTCCTCAGGATTGAGTGGGACCTGCTAGTAGCCACTCGATAGGTCCATAACAGAGAAGTAGGTGGATGTGAGTCTCTTACAGTCACATTTAAGGGACAATAATCTACACAGAATCGGAACGTTTTTTGTAAAGTTCAGTTTATAAAATTTCTTTTACATCTCATTCAATTGTTTGAGAAGTTTGAGGTAAACCACGTTCAGCTTATTTTCTGTAGACGCTAAGAAGGCACTTGTTGTTGGAGACAGCTGTTCACTTGCTCTTTCTACTCTGAGGGCAATGTTCAGTGCCTGGGATTATTGCCGACTACAATAGCCGCCCACACCATCAGAGGGTGGCATGCCACTCTTTTGCACTGAAACCAAAACAGAACAGATTAGTTTTGGAAATGAAATTATTTGAATTTAATTATTTAAAGCTGGGTTTCTAACAAGCGCTAATTTAAGTCAAGCTTGCTACTCTTGGTGCTGAACTATTATTAAATTATATATTTTTCATAGGATGACTGCCATATTATGTCCGCCTAATCCAGATGACGTAGCATAACATTTTAGTATATAAGGTTTAAAGGGAGTGTAGCTTGGCAAATACCGGTAAGACTTGATTAACGGTAGTTCGCGACTTAATCTCTACATGCCAGCATTCACGAAACAGACCAAAGTTCTCCTCACGCTTCGGTTTTGCGTACGTTGCACGCAAGTGATTGCTGCGAGTCGCGTCGCCCGTAGTTATATTATAAACGGATTGGCCCGAGTCAGGCAACGGGAAAGACACGTAGTCTTGTCAGGCTACACTCCCTTTAAATTTCATCCATTAAGTTATTTTCCTAACTTCAAAAAAATGAAACTATACCAACTTTTTCACAAAGGTGATTCATGTAGATCCCACTTCAGCTCTGCACCAATGTACAAACCAAAGCATTATACTTATTAATACTTATATCAAGTGGGTTATTGTTTTTGAGCATGTGTCTGTTTCCAATGAGCATGCTCATGGTTTTGTCATAATTAACCTGCAGTCTATTTCTGCTAATCCATCTGTTCATGTCGACCAATTCCGTATTGAGGGTTTGATCATTGAATTGTATGCAGGTCTTTATCAGAGCTGAAAAATAAGAGACGGTGTCATCTGCGTACAAATGAAGTTTTCATGAATGAAATACAAAATAGGTCCTAGGGGGTACCTAGAGCCCCATGGGTAATGCCTCGGAAATACAAGTTAAAATTCTCAGATTTGAAACTGCACCCTGTAAACTATCCCTCATCAATAGCCTTTAACCATTTATCCTTGTTTCTATTCAAGTGCTGTACAAGCGTTCAAAAGTACTCACTGAAGGCATGAACATTTTCAAAATTATTGTGTACAAAGAAGATTTCAACCAGTAAATTACCAATCAGATGACATTTTTCAGGTTATTATAATTATTGTTATTATGATCATTATTATAATCATCATCATAATCGGCTCCATCATCTTAATTTTCAAATATGGTACACTTCCCACTCCCCATTTACAGATACAACACCTCCTGAGTTTTCAGGAGACTTCGCTGTTTGCAACAAGGCATCGGTCAAAGATTTCGGAACAAAAGTAGATGTGATGCCAATACAAAAATTCTGGGAAAAACCAATGGCGAGTGACGCTAAGAGCTGTCCCGTCAACGTGGAAGAGTAAGTGGCACGTTTCAATTTAAACACCTAATTATTTTATACACATAATTATTTTATACATCTAATGCACCGTGGAAAATAATGGGTGATCCATCATTTCTATGTTTAGGGTATTAGCTGGAGATTACAGTTATGTACAGCTTTCGTACAGTGTTGTGTTCAGGGCTTTTTTAGTAAAGAATTTCTTGAGGGTTAAAACTTTTCGTTTTTCAAATAAAGTAATATTGATATAGTGGATTTGTTTTTATAGTCACAACTTAAATTGGATGATTTGGAGGAGGGATGATTTGAAGGAGGGAACAAGGGTAACAAGGTTTACATGTTTAGTACTCCTAATTTTGTTGTTGCTGTTATTGTCATTTACATGTATATGACCACATGCCACTGTTTGATTGGATTTCAAATGTAAATCAAGCATTGTTGCTTTGGTGTAACATTAATTGATAAAAATGTTTTGTGATGCTTTCCTTTTGTTCCTGGTGCATTTTTCTTATGCCCTTCATGTGCCAGTATGGTGTTGTCCTGTTCTATACATGTCTCTGTTGTGGTGGACAAAGTGCACTAGGCGTACAACAGGTCCCAAATTTTGAGGGTGTGTGACTGTGTATGCATGCACAAATTTGCACATCACACTCACACAGTTATTCTGCTCCTTATTTATTTAGATATCCGGCATATCGATACCCCTTACCTTATTTCGTAACCTGCACCTATATGATAGGAAATAACTTGATCAGTCGTAGAGGTATGTTTCTAAAAAATAGTCACCTACGTAACACTATAACTCTAAGTTCTTAACCCTAACCCTACTTCATGCACACGGTACATATGCAAATTAGCTACTTTATCTACATGTACATTATATAAATAATGGCCATTTTTAGAAACATGCCTTTAAGACAGATTAAATAGTGTCTACCGTCTTACACTCATACTTTATAGACCATTTCTGCCAAAGGAGTTTGGACAGGGTCAACATGAGTATGTCTATGAAGCAACAGACGGTGCTCCTAGTCCCAACAAGAACATTTGTAGAGTCCGATTTTTTGTTGAAGGTAGGTATCTTTACAGGGTATACTATTGCAGGAAATGCCGCTGCAAATCCATACAGCCAAATAAATATTTAGTTTTGCGAAATCCTGGTTCTCTGTATCATTTTAATGTCAATGTTAATATCAGTTAATAAAAACATTTATGCTGTTATTATAAAAACAAAACAATATTGAGGCACTAAACTTAATTAAATATGCGACTTAACAAATGTTTGCCAGACTTAATCAGAACTCTAATTTTATTAGATCCGAGTCTCTTTCTGGTACTCGAAAAGGCTTATAAAAATGTTCTTATATTTGTATAGTGCGAAAGATAATCAGAGAATAATGGATGCGTAACTAAAATCAAAGTTCCTCTTTAATTGTTGTTGGCCTTATAGGATTTTTTTTTAGGATCAAAGGTTGAAAAAAATGTCTCCCCTGTAAAATTGAACCCTAGTAACCGGCTTTGACAAAAAATCCCTACAGGAGGACAGCAATGGGGAACTTTGATTTAAGCTACGCAACCATATATTATTTTCTCATTTTCTTTCACATTTTATCAATTTCCACAAGAGTTGCCACAGGTATTGTACCGGTAATTTCTTTACAGTAATATCCATGTACATGGTACAGTACATACACACGTATACATGTACATGTATGATATCGTTATGAATCGGTTATAATGTCCTCTTGTTGAAAACGAAAAAGACAACTCTGTATTAATACATTATTGCCAATTGACGTCATTAACTTTAAATTTAAAAGTTTTAAGGTTAACATCAATATGCAATAACACATTCTTTAGCTTGGGTCCTGGCATTTCATATTGATTGAAGAGTAGGTGGAAATGTGAAAAGATTTAACTACGAAAGAGGACAAAAAAAGTTATTCTATTAGAAAGAGGAGTCTCGACCGGCTTACTTGGGTAAATCACAATTAGTTAAAATTTGGTGGTCTGGAGTAAATTTACAAAATATGGAAGGTCTTGGAGGTCGAAAGTTAATTAAGGTTAAGATACTTAAGATTAAGAGAGTCCCAGGAAGAAAACAAAACATTTCATGGAATGTAAATGAATATACATTCCGTGAAATGTCTCTCTTTTGCTTGAAGCTTAATTTGCCCGAAGAGTACCATGACCAGCATGCCCAGTGCCAGGAATCACTAATCTCCCCACTGTGCTCCGATTGTTGTATACAAATCTCGGCAAGAAAGTAAATGTAAAATCTTCCCAGAATGCCATTGTTATTCATGTAATGAACAGCCATAATAACATACTGACGAACATCCTTGAAAACACGACAGCAAAATGATTAGTCATATGTGCAAAAAACTCTGGAAAAGACAATGAAATAATAAGTAAATACTCAGATCAGCGTTATTACCTGTTCAAGTTTACAAGGTTTTGTCATCTATTTGCATCAGTGCTGGACTAGCCTCTTGCATTTCCACCTGAATAAGTTTGCAAGGATCTGAAAGCGTAGGGTTAATTTTCTTTGTTAATTCATTGTGTTTTTTGCATTTTGTTTTGGTGATGCTGCTCCTAGTCGTGACAATAGTCCGAGCCAATAGTGGCGATTTCTACATCATCCTTTTGTTCCAGGGAGGGGAGAGGGGATCTTTGTTCCTCTTTCAAACATAAGGATGACACAAAATCGCTGCCACTGCTGGGGAAACATGCGCATTGCGCTGCGATACAGATTGCAATATATAAAACTTCATCTATTTAGAATGAATCATATTGTCACAAGCATTTCATGAAAACTGATAAAAGATAATTTAACCTGACATTATGGGAAATAATAGAATTTCATACTTGCAGTGAAGACGTGTTCAATCCTTGCATCTCCGAATAATGGCTTCCACGACTGTCCAAAAATCGCCGACTACTTGCTTGTGGGAACCATCTGCCGATATTCCTGCAAGGAACAATTCAAATTAGAGGGCGATTCTCCGCTGGAATGTAAAGGGACACCACAGGCTGTAAGCTGGACACCACAACCTGCTCCAGTTTGCACAAGTAAAGAAAAACCATCCCTTAGTCTGTTATTTACACATAATTGATTTCAGAAGGAGAAAACGGTTTTCATTTTCAAAGTGATCACATCAACAATTAAATGCAGTCTAGTTTCACAAACATTTCAAAATAATGAAAGTCTAGCTTGAAATAAAAAGAAACGCTTAATTGAAACGCAATATTCACAAATAAATGCACAAGGCTCCATGGATTGGCACCGATTTTAGTATTTGTCTTAGGATATATGACAGATATTTTTGTAATTGTAATTCTTTGGTGTGCATCTCACCCAAGGGGTTTCATACGTTTAACCCTAATGATGAAGATCACAAAGAGTGCAGCATAAAAATATTTTCATATTCAATAATTTTATTTCAAAAGTAAGATTCCTTCTCTTCTAGTAATATTATATTTTCATGCTGCATCAATATACACCGTGATATTTATCATGATTCAAGATTATGATAATGCAGAGATTAAAAGCAAGAGCGTGTGTCTGGGTACACCTGGGCTTTAATATTCTTGTATTAGATATTGAATACTGTTCTTGTTTCTTTTTTTCATTAGAAATAACCTGTGACTCACTCTCAGATCCTATGCATGGTTCAGTGACGTGCACATTAGGTTATGATTACTACAGCATCTGTACTTACTCCTGTGATGACGGATATGGTCTTGACCGTGGAATGGCTTCATACCTCATCTGCCTCTCTTATGGCTGGTCTGCACATCCCGTTAAGAATTGTACAGGTAAGTAACCAAAGTATTATTAAGTTTGAGCTGAAGCAATGAATGTGAGTCAAAAGCCCTTATAAATTGTTATTTTAATGATTGCAACTCACATCCAACAAAAGGTTAATTTAAAAGCAAAATTTATGATCTCCCCTTTGACATGATGACACAATCTTCGTTTCGCTTGAAGTCCTTGTTTAAGGGAATCCTTGTAATTGAGTCATTCACAATGGACAAAGTTTGCTGGCATGGATGTCTTCTTTCAATATCTTTTGTAGTAATCATCGTGACTTTCTTTCCTGCATTTACTGAAGCTGTGATGATACTACCGTAATCCTCCAAGTTGTCATTTGCTGCTCGAGACAAATACCTTATTCACAGCTTTAGCATGTGAAATGGTGCAACGAACAAGTGAAGTGAGATGTAAGATTTTAGATATCATGAGACAAGGAGCTAGAAGGATGCTTAACCCTATCTAGCCCGGGGTGGGGGGGGGGGGACATTTTTCGCGATAATTTTTTAACGCAAGAAAATCTTGCACTGAAATTTTGTGACTTTTTTCTTTCAAGTTTTGCGCATCTTTTGAAAGAAATTCTTTGAAAATCGGACCTACCATTACAAAGTCACGTGTCCTTTTGTCTTTGCATGTCAGCCCGAAAATCGCTCATTTTTGTGATTTGTGTACAAAACATATGGAAATCACATTTTTCAAATAAAGAGATAAAACATTGGTCATTTGGTCTTGTTTATAGTTTAGGTGTTTATTTTGGGGTCAAAATAGTTGAATTATAGTTGGAAATGAAATAAAACAACAAAAACAATAAAATACATAAGTTAAAAAACAAAGAAATACTTAAGAAATTATCAAAACAATAGATAACATAAGGAATAACCTGGCTCTTCCAGTTTTTTTGGCTGTATTATTATCCCATATGGTCTAAATAATATATGTAGTGAAAATTAATGTTTAAATATGAAGAATATATGATTTATGGATAAAGATGTGAATATTATTACCATATTTGCATAAATTACCATGAATATGCAAATGAGTGAATTTTTCAAAAAAATTGAAATTACCATAGTATTCTATACATTTCACTTGACATACATGCACATTTTTGCGGCGATAGGTCGTTTCACGGTCTAGATCATAGGGGGGCCTTAGAAACCCCCCCCCCCGGGCTATGCAGTTTCAAAATAGCCCGGGCTATATAGGGTTAAACTAGCTTAAGGCTATCCTGTTTTAAACAAGGTCATGTGAAAGCTTTATAGCTACATTCCATCAATTTAAACTAGATGGACCTTTGACTGCGCGCAGTCGAATATGATGCCTCCACCATAGAGTGGTTTTACAAACAGAAGCAATTTCTAAAATTCAACTTTGATTGTAAACCATTAACAGGTTCTCAGAATATTGTGATTACAAGCTTTGTTTTCATATACATGTACATGTATGACCCTTTGATTTTTGACATCATGACCCTAAAATCTATTCAGTTCATTGGCTCTGCAAGATACACACATGTCCTGAGTTTGATAGTAATCCATCTGTCAGTACTAATGAGAATGCTTTCGCAAGCTATTTTTGCATACATAATGAGCCCCATGACCTTTGACCTCATGACCCCAAAATCTACTCAGTTCATTGGCTATGCAAGATAGATGTTTGAGTTTGATGGTAATCCGTCCATCTGTTCTAATGATAATGCAATCATAAGTTATTTTTTAATACATAATGAGCCCTGTGTCCTTTGACCTTTCACCTCGTGACCCCAAAATCATAGCAACACATCGGCTTTGCAAGATACATACATGACCAAAGTTTGGCAGGAATCCATCGATCGGTTCTTCAGATAACGCGATCACGAGATTGGGACATACATCCGTCTATACGGACGAATGGACATACGGATGGACGGACAACCCTAAAAACATAATAAAATGAAGCAATCGACCAGGAAGCGGAATCTAACTTTTAAAAGAATTTAAAACCAAATTAATCCATGCATATGGCCTGACCCAAATTCAGGGCATCAGCCCAAGTCTTAATAGAACAAGGAGATTTTGACGGCACTTTACAAAAACCCCGGTGCTCAGTCATCCGTGGCAGACAAGTTATGAACAGGGTATCAATAGACAGATGACAAGTTACATGTATTCTTTACCCTGAATAAGGTTTCAATGGCACACTGATTTTTTTGATGACTTTTTAATTATGAGCTGCTAAAGTTGGATGTACCTTTTTACAAACTGTTTATGTATATATTTATATTTATTTATACCCCTTCTATGAATATTCATGACTTTTCTAAATACATGATTGGTCAATTGGTGGTCACGTGATAAAATATTATTTCACTAGCTATTATAAAAAAATCTCTGCCAGAGCTCCGAATCTTTTTCATTCTTTTTCCTGGGCAGAACTGCGCATGCTCTATGAGATTTTCAGGTAGATAAGCATTGTGACATCACATCATGTTCAGTCAAAAGTTATAAAAACAAATATACCAAGCATTTAGTTTTTAAGAATAGTGGTAATGTAATTATATATCTTTGGAGGGACTGGTAACAGTAACTATTTTTTCCTCCGGGCTTTGCCCCTCGGAAAAAATAGTACTATGCCAGTCCCTCCTCAGATAAATAATTTCCACTATTCTTTCTCACAGCTTGGTATATTTGTATAATAACCTTACATGTTGTATTAACAGGACATCTATATATTATCCTACATGGGACATTAACCGTACATTATATATACTTTATATAATTATGTATATTGTAAAAATGTAAAGCGCATTGAAATGTCAGCAGACATGAATTGCGCTATAAAAGAACAAATTATTATTATTATTATTATTATTATTATCATAAAAACTGGTATATTATCCTAACCCTAAATTCTTTTTTCAGTACATAGCCCTTATAATGATGCTGTAAGATGTATATCATGTCTACTTAAAGCTTATCTGCCGTAGTTTACAGGAGGGATTAAACCGCTCTAAAAGGTCACTGGACAGGTGGTTATCTCATTAACTCAGCTCTCAGTTAACATAAGAAAAAGAGGATCATGGGGGACCAATGGTCACCGATAATGTTTGTTATATAGAGGGCGCAAGTAGCTACCAGTAGTGCAGTGGGCCTTTAATGACTCATTTTTTTCATATATACATCTTACAGTGTAACATATGTAGTGAGAAAATGAGTCGTTAAGTAGACATTGTCATTAGCAGGACATCTTCATGTCCTGTTAAGGATTGAACAATAGAATTACTGCCCTCTACGTACGTTTGCAGGCAAAGGAAACTTATAGGCATCTCAAGAAACAATTGGGTCATTCATTAGTCATTAGTTTAATTAGTTATATTGTTTTGAATTTGGGGTTAAGGTTAGGGTAAGCATTTGGGTAATATAACAGTTTTCATGATGTCCTGTTAATGTACCATTTGGGGTAATTTATAGATGTCCTGTTAATACAACATTGAATTGAAATTTATTGTCCCTTTCAGGAAATTCTTTTTTCACTGGTTTTACAGTCATTGTACATGTACTGTACATAATACAAGAAGAAATACATACCGATAATACAATAATAGCACATGTAAGGTTATAATATTTACATATATACATATATGTATATATAGTTTTTTTTATTTGTCCATAGTGTGCATGATCTAATCCACCACCTATTGCATGATAAAGAATACTCTCAGCCAAATATTCTTTGAAATCTTGAAATGAAATGCCATAAGTTCAATATGGCTTACAGCCTGTCTAATCTTGTTACAAACAAGTGCTCATCCACTGCCCAAAACTGCCAGAAATTGATATCTTAAAAATTCACCGCTTGTCCATAACTAAATATATATATTAATTTTGTTTATTTTAAAACACATTCAGATAATGAAAGCCCCACATTCTCTGGTTGTGAGATTCAGCCTGTGGTTTATCGGTTTTCCGTCGCAGCCAATGAGAGCGCATCAATCTTCATTTGGACCATCCCCGTTGCTACTGATAATGGTGGTATAGCTCAAACCATCACTGAGCCAGATTATCCCAAACCAGGCGTTGATGAACTAGAAGCTAACTACTACAGTTTCTCATATTTAGTTACTGATGACAGCGGCAATGTTGGAACATGCAGTGTTCTCCTTATTGTGTCAGGTAGGTTTACTACAATTAGAAGTAATTACAACAAACAAAGTTAACCAAGCCATATGTACCATTTGCTATAATGACACATTATCTGGCACATTTGAAATTCTTAAGACCCTTCTTTCGTTTGTGATTTTCTGATATTTTCTTTCTGACAAATTTGACCAAACAGTCTTACGTGCATATTGAACACATACTACACTGTTGGTCATAAAGGTGGAATAATTATTTTTACCGCAATTTATAAAATGATTTAAAAAATGTTTTTTATTCCTAATGGATCTAAATGATAGTATACATTTTCAGATTTTATTGAATAATTTGCGAGTGTTCGTTTTGCGTGACTGCTAAAGTATGTGTGTGCTACTATGCTTATCAACTAGGGGACCTATGTCCTTAAGTCATAACTGACAGTATGCCTCACGAAAGGGCACTAATATAGCTCATCGACACAGTTTTTATTCTGGGGCCTCACAATAACGAGGCCACTGCTTAGCCACTGAATCATGACTGTACGCAGCGGGGGCTAGGGTACGTTGCCGCCTCCACAAATACAAAAAAACGAAGAAAATGCAATAAATTATCAAAAATTCATTGCATTTTCCCCCGGTCCCCAACAGGAAAAATTCCTCTTGTATTATGGTTCAAGGCATGCCAACATAGAGGAATTTGTTATGTCAGGGGTCAGGGCAAAATGCAATGAATTATTGATAATTTATTGCATTTTCTTTTTTTTTAGTATTTGTTGAGGCCGCGACGTACCCTAGCCCCCGCTGCGTACAGTCACGCTTTAGTGGCTAAGCAATGGCCCCGTTACTGTGAGCCCCCAGGATCAAAACCGTGTTGATGTGCTATATTAGTGCCCTTTTATGAGGCATTGATCCTCATTACTGTCAGTTATGACTTAAGGACGTAGGTCCCCTAGTCGATTAGCATAGTAGCATACCCATGCTTTAGCAGTCACGCAAAACAAACACTCACAAATTAATATTTAATAAAATCTGAGAATGTATACTAATATCTAGATTTTCTAGGAATAATCAAAGTCAAAATCATTTTCTAAATTGGAGTAAAAATAATTATTCCACCATTATGACCAACAGTGTATTTAAAAAAGAAAGCAGAACACTTCTATTTTGGGATGTTGATTACGTAATATTTTCATTTCATCTTTTCAGAGATCCGATGTGAACCTCTACCTTTCCAAGTAGGTCTACATGCCTCTTGCAGCCATGGATCTCGTAGAGGTTCTTTTTGCCATTTTTCCTGCTCTGCTGGATACTACCTGGTGGGTAATAACCATGCCATCTGCGAAAGCACCAACTCAATTTCCAAGCAAGGGGAATGGTCTAATCCGACTGCCCAGTGTGAAGGTAAATTGGTGGTAATAGCCCCAACATAGGCCTCTTATTCAGCCTATGATAAGTTCATTGTATTTGAAGTTTTTAAGGCAGTTTCAATTTCCACGACCTACTGATATGTAATCTGGTTTGATACTATCCTAAAACTAAATAGTGTTTAATTTTGTGTATATCGTGCTCTATATAGTAACCTTTGTAAGGATTTTATGTGGAAAAACTGTTTAGAAGGTAAATCCTTTGCTTTTTATTTCTAGCACTCTTTGATTTTAGTATTTAAGGAAATGTTTCATTAAATTTTGTATTACTTTATTAAAGTAGATATTCATTGATTTTAAAAATTTAATTTATTTTCATTATTGCAAAGTTGAAACTTTGATTCGACAAGGTTATCAAAATTCAATGCTTGGAAACATTCAAAGTAATGATTATTATAAATTACAAAATGCTTAAAATTAATATAGCCCCGGCATAGCACCTGAATAGCTCTCCGAATGCTGCTGAGATGTGTGAGATCACAGTATGGACATGATTTGCACAAGCAGACGATGTCCCATGACATCTCACACATTTTCAGTGCCTGTGTTTTCATCTTCTCTTGAGTTCTTTCTCTTACAGTGTACTTCACTACCGCCAGGCTAAATGTATGACATATGGCCTCACTCTAAACCCAGCGCATGGTTTTATTTTGATGACAAATGCAGCGATACAAAAATAAAGGAATCTGTCGCTTGTAAACAAAATAAGACGCCATTGTATATTCAGCTGCACTCACTGCAGTATGTTCGGCGTTTCAAGAGGGAACAAATGCAGTCCTTTCGGGGGGGGGGGGGGGGGTTTCAATTTGAAAGTCTGATTTCTTTGATTGTTAATTAACCCCTTTCCTGTGTATTTACAAGCAAAAGATTTTAGTTATCAGAATCGGGTCATATCCCAATTTGAATGGTTTGACATGCCATTACATTTATATACACTAAACTCATTATAATTTGACAAATAAAAGCTTTGCAATTATGTTCATTCTTTATGGGATGTCGTCTGCTTGGGCAATATTGGTCCATATAGTGCGTCATTAAAACATCGTTATTTGCCGGTGTTAAGGCTGCAGCGTCGTATAAGCCTTTACGCCGGCAAATACGGTATTGAAGTTAACGAGTATCCAATATGTGGCTATAAACTGATATATATACAGCGGAGCGACATGTATATGTTATGACTTTACGGCTCCATATATGTGAATTCCAACACCCACTTTCTCATAATGGATTTTGCAGAGGTACGCTGTGATCCAGCCCCTGCACTTCAGAATGGGTATTTTACCTTTGGATTCTGCGAAACCAAACATTTATCTGTTTGTGTCTATGAGTGTTCTGAGGGATACATGATCAGAAATAGTGTACTCTACTGTGTTGTTCAACCTGGGACTAACATGGCTACATGGGTCGGTGCTGAACCGGTCTGCGAAGGTAAACAGTCTTTATGATTGTTTGTTATATAACTATAAGGCTTGTTCCGATATGACGCGAGGCAAAACCACTGCGCTTTTTTGCAGCTGTTTACAGCGTCATATCTGAACAAGCCTTTACGTGTGCTGCTAGGTCAAGACATACCTCTTCTGTTTATGACATAATGCAGAGTGCAAAAAAAGAGGGGGGAGGGGGATATTAAAACCAAAAAATCTTGTCTGTTAGATAATAAATATTCTCTCCTCAGAGGGATGGAGTGTATCCCTCTTAAAAAATAAAACAAACAAATAAACAATAAAACAAACCAAAACACAAATTCATAGATATCAATTTTAGGACACCAACCAACACTTTCTGATTTCTATGTACAGTGTGAGTCCAAAAAAGTTTTCACCTAGAAAATTGCTAATTATTGATAAAATCATACATGAACAGTAAATTATAATACATCTTATGAAAGAGTGTTTTATCCCGAATCATCTAGTAACATTTTGTGTGGTATGTGTTCACGCTTGGATGAACAGGATGTATTGTTTGCGAGACTGCAAAAATCGACTTGCACCAAAGTTGCTTGAATAAAACAATTGGGATTTGGGTATTAATTTGGTCTTTACAGATCCAAATAGCATCCCTAACAAAATTAAAATCATGCCACACATATCAAATATTGATTATCAAATATCAACAAACATGTGTGCATTCGCGCGCGTGTGTGTGTGTGTGTAACTCAATTTGCTTCTGCAAAAAACATATGCAATGCATTTTATTTGATTCATCTCCCACTCCGCTAATCCCAACATAATACATGCTGTAGGCATCACTTTGGCGCTAGTCGATTTTTGCACTCTCGCAAACAATGCCTCCTGTTCAACCAGGCGTGAACACATACCACACAAAAATGATATCAAATGATTTGGGATAAAACACTCTTTCATAAGATGTATAATAATTTACTGTTAATGAATGATTTTTAAAATAATTAGCAATTTTGTTGGTGTAAACTTTCTTTTGACTCACACGGTATATATATGAAATACTGTACACAGCTTTTCACCTCCTGCATAGTGAAGTATATTTTCTTCTGGTATGTATTCATAATATACTCTTTATGTTTGGAGTGCAAACGAGATACAATACATCGTCTGTTTGGAAATAGGAGCTTAAATGGTTTTAAGTCATGAACTGTAACAGAGTTTATAACACTGTGAACAGACGACAGATTCTCACAGCAATGTAGAGCACAGTTAATCGACTATTCATTGTCATATCTAATGAATCATAAATTGTTTGTAGTTCATTACTTTCCCAAAGTAAACAATATTTGCAAAAAAATGCACATGCAACAGATGTGGTGAAATCGCACATCAAAAAGGGAAAGCCTGACTAAATTCATGTATATGATACCTTCTCCCTCTAGTACAAACTTGTAACAGGCCACCGCTGTATGGGATCTTGGGGGTGAGCAATGAGACACTCTGTGCATCATCTCCTTATGTGCCTGCTGGTGAAACATGTTCCTTTGGCTGCGCTGAAGAATACGCCCTTAAGGGTGCTGAAATCACCGAGTGTGGCCTGGATGGATCATGGCTCCAACCCATTCCAGAATGTGAAGGTATACCTTTCCACATTCTTCTTACAATCATTTAGCTACCTGACAGGGTGGTATGACTGATTCGTTTCCATGCATGTATTCAGAGACTCTGTAACAAATTGAGGTCACTGAGACGTTTTACGGTTTACAAACATATTCCTTCCGCATTTAATCAGGACATGTAACCAAATATCATGCATTTTGTTTTCAAGTGTTTCTACTTTTTCTTTATTAAGTTTCATTAAGAAATTAGTAAAATTGATATTAAATGGAAGTAATTATTACTGTGCGGAAATAAATGTAACTACCAGAAGCCATCGTCAGTTCACCATTTAATGTCACAAACAGTGAAGGGCTTCTGGTCACTGCAAAAACAAACAGCAGATTCAGAGATGGCATGAGCCATGACTACGTGACTGCAATGTATAGATTCACACCATAACCCACACCATGACCTAACTAATGATGTATATGATGTGTGATTGAAACAACCTTTTAGGATAGTTCTTTTTGTTCACGGTAATAGATCTGTTGGAAGTTAATATGTGTACTGTATTTAAATAAGAAACCAGTATTTGCCTCGTTTGTCTATTCTTAATATTATGGGAATATGTTACATGTACAATTAGAAAGGTTATGTTATGCGAGCCTCGGGTATAGTAAATTTGATATAAATTTACCCTTGGTAAAGTTACCAGTTATGCCTCTTCATAAGCTCATAGTTTTTGCTAGACCCTCGAAAAGTATTGTACCGGTATATTTGTATACTATTTTCTAGGAAAAAAGTTGAACATATTTTTTAGATATCTATATCCTTTTCCATCTCTTTTTTGATAGCTATCACTTGTTCTTCGATTCCTGAACCTAGGAATGGAGGAATAAATGGATGCCCTCTTCAGAGTAAGATTGGGTACGGATATACCTGCACTCTCTTCTGTAACGTTGGTTTTAAGCCAATCAATGAAAGCGATCCCGTTCAACGTGTGTGTGGTAAAGATGAACATGACAGAGGCTACTGGAAAGGAGGTGGGACAATCTCATGTGCTGGTAAGATTTACAAATCACACAGAATTCGTCAGCCTGGTTTGTATAAGGCTGAATAAACATAATTGTTAGTTTCTCGTTCCCTCTTCCTTTCTTTATTTAAGCATGCCTCAATTCTTTGTTATTTAAAAAAAAAATCTGAATAAACTTACGTACACAATAAAAATGTTAAAATTGAACTTGTAATTCATTTGAAAATTGGCAATGCAGCCAAAATTCCAAATTATTCAGGTTCTTTCTCTTTCTCTCTCTCTTGGTTTTATTTTAATAGTTGTGACTTGCCTCCCACTCTCTGATCTGGTAAATGGTGAAATCATATCTTGTACAAACGATGGATCAAGCACCAACGTCAGTCACATTCAACATTACAACACAATCTGCAAATCATCCTGCAATCCTGGCTACACTCCACAGTACAGCACCAATCATAGATGTATGGAGGATGGATCCTGGGATGGCATTGATCAGCTCTGTCAAGGTTCTATAATTATTTTGTTTTGATACAAATTCCTAAATATTACAAACTAGGGCAAGTCCAATATAATTTGTACCATACGTTACCATGCAAGCACAGCTAAGATTTATCATCGTACTCAGTTTATAGCTCTACAAGAGCTTGGATTAGACCCAAACCAAAATATTAAGTAGCCACACATATTTCGTCAATATATGTTTACAATTCGTCAAAACATGGTTACGTATTGGACATCTAGTGACTATCTTTGATTTACACCTGCATCTGCATAAATGTTCTATACTATACAGTGTGAGTCAAAAACTTTTATATACTGAAAAAAAGTCAACTTATGACACCACCTTGGCTTTTCTCTAGTTTATCTGCACGGTTGTTTTTTGAGAGTGTATCTTAGTTTGAGAGTGAGACTAGATCTACTGTATGTAGCATTTTCCCCCTAATTCCTCACAAATTTAAAAGCTGTCAAGTGTCATTTCACGTAAATTGTCCCTCCTGCGGTTGCAAAAATACAACATAACATCAATAAATACCTTGTCCTGAAGACCTACAGGATCATCCAAATCAAGCGAACTGTGGATTTTGTCTATGTCTTCTGCTGAGATAGCTGGTTTGTGAGTCACAACTCCCTTTCCTTCTTGTTTAAGCATTGCTGAAAAACACTCTTGTCAAATTGGAAAAATCTTCATGCTTAATGATTTCGACATTGTTAGAAGTGAGGAAATGACGCTGAAGTCCGAATCTAATAGTTAACATTGACTTCTTCATGTATAAAGAACCGTTCTTCCGTCTATAGCAACAGCCTAAAACTTTTGAAGTAGGCCTACGTTGTCCAGCTTCGAATTTGGAATTTTTTTTACGCTATCGAAGTCTGTGTTGATAACTTGCAGGTAGCCTAGTCTTCAAATATTTTTATAGAGAATTTCACTGAAGTTTTGGCTTGTTTGGAAACTAAAAGTAGAATCTAGGCCGGATTTAGTTGTAAGATTGAGATCGCCGGTCGTCTTATGAAAAAACCTAAAAATTAAGTGACCAATTCACACACACACAATGTATGGTGTCCGGGCTCGCTCAAAGAACATTTTAACACGTAAACCAATGGGTATCGCAGCAAGATTTTATAATTTTCCCGGTAACCGGAATTTTGCTGGGATTTTACTCTTGGACTATTACATAGGTTTGGCATTTTTTGTTTCTTTACGGGAATGGTTAAAATCACGACTGTAATTTTGATTAATCAGATGGCTATATTTCTTAAGTGAGGTATATAATTCAGTTTATGATATATCATCATGAGGTCTTCCTTTTACATTATTAATTTCAATTTCAGACGAAACTAACCCGAGAGTTACCTGTCCATCAGATCAGAATTTGTATGCGGACTACAACCAGATGGAGGCAACGTTCCAAGCTAATCTATGGGAGCCTGTACAGGTAGTACAATAATTACGATGATAGACTTCATACTACTAATAATAACAATATCAATAATAATAGTAATGTAGTCGATAATAATGATTATAATCATAGTAATGATAATAATTATAGTAATAATAGCTTGAATAGTAAGAAAGTACATTGAAGCCATTAATTTAGTGCATGTATTAAGTTCGGTACGTAATGAAATTCGTCAATTAAAAGATACATTAATTTTCCTGCATGTACACAGCACAAGAATTATATTTCTTTGACATTTTAGTAATGCTACATTTACTAAGATAATTGTATGTGATTCTTTTTCTAGGCAACAGATGCTGGAGATATTTTGACAGCATATCTTTATAGCGTGGATTCAAACATTGCGAATGGCATCATACCAACTACTCTTCCAGAGGGAGAACATACCATTCACTATCGGGCTACTGATACTGCTGGAAATCAGGATTCATGTTCATTCACTCTAGATGTCAAAGGTTTGTTTCATGAATTTTTTTAGGATCGAGCTACCACAGTTTGATTCACTTTTGTTCGCACTGTACAGGGTCAAACTTCAGCCCCAGTCACATCAAAGTCCGGATCACCAGCTGGCCGCATTCCGGACTTCCCGAGAAGTCTAGTACAGGTTGCATGCATGGTCCCTGACTCTTGACTAGGGTTCAACAATATTGTATTTATCCCTGGTCAAAGACGGCAGTAGGGTGGTGACATAAAAAGACCTCCTTTGCACAGGCCCGACGAGACCGCAAAGTAATTTAGAAGAGTCCATAATAATGCACTTTTCCCGATAAGTATATAAGGTTAAATGGACGGTCCGTGATTGGTCATGGAAGCAATGTGGAAAGGCCTCGGCGGTCGTATTAGTTTACTGAGGCTTAAATGGATTTAGCATACATACTACACTTAAAGAGTACTCATTCTAAATAAATATTGAGACACATTTTTTCTCTGGCGATTAAATTCTAAGGGGGGGGGGGGGGGGGGAGCAATTTTTTGTAGTTTGATTGAGACTCAAGTCAATACATTGATTGAGAAGGGAGAAACATTTGGGCTAGAATCAAGGCTACATGGGAAATAGAGATCTATCCTTGGTATGATCTGTAGTAAAATATTTTACTGCCCCAGTGGTTTTGCAAAGGGTGAATTAATAAAGGTAATAGTAATTCAAACTCGTGACGACCGTTGGGCTGTCATGTACTTTCAAGAATGGCAATTTGTGGGACATTCGTAAAACAACACAGATGCCCTCAGAGAAGCGTAAGGGAAAAAGTAGGTTCGGGTGAGGAAGTGTTCAAAAGATTGTTTGGCAACGTAGCACCCTGTGGATGTTTCGAACATTTCCAAACTTCTGTCAAATTTGCCTAAACACCACAGACGTTTTTTGAGGTAGACGGATCTACACAGATGCAGCCAGACCGTGGGTGGCACTCCCGTACGTATACCCTTCGTCCGTGATCCTGGCCTATTTGACTAGGGCTTTATCAGGCTCACATTTATTGGAGGATATCAGACCATCATTTTTGTTTTGAATTTTATTTATTGTGCTTCCATTCAACAAATTCATAGAAAACAAAATTTAAATTTAATAGACAATACAAAAACAACTTTCGATTAATATGACAACTAAAGACAGAATGGACAAAATTTAACATGTTACCTGAAACTCACACGTACACACACCTAAACATCGGTGTATGACTTTACAAACGAGGACAGCTTTTGTTCCTTGATTGTTTCCTGTCTGTCAAAGCCTAACAGAATAACACTTGTATCGTGTATCATTTTTTTGTTTGACATTAGAGGACTATTATAAATACATGGTTTGTAATATTTTGGAGAATTATCATGAATCTATACATTGTAGTCACGTAGTCAAGGCTCATGCCATCTCTGAATCTGATGTTTGTATATTGTATTTGCAGTGACCAGATGCCCTCCACTGTTTGTGCCACCAAATGGTGAACTTACGATGGCTTTTGGTAGTGGAAGCTGTACGGGAGGGGCCATCTATGGATCTGAGTGCCTGGTTTCTTGCCTGGATGGCCATGTACTCTCTGAGGACCCTGGGGATGATTCCTTTTTCTCCCTTGTCTGCAACCGATCCAGTTCACCTTCCACAGTTGGGAGCTGGAGTGAGTCCGTCCCATCGTGCAACAGTAAGCAAACAATTGGATTCTACACAAATATTATTATTCTCTAAATCTCTGAAAAGTCATCGCATTTGATATCATTACAGCATTTCTATAACCTAGTAGCATATGTTTTCACATTGTTTAAGAGCTTCATGGACGGGCTTGGACTGTCTAGGACGGGAAGGTACTTTTGAACTTTGAGCCTATTCAATATTTTCCCCATCCTACAATTAGACAGAGTGAACGCGATGGATGTACTACCAACGAACTTATTGCTGTACTTTGAACAGAATTGCCGTACTTTGATCCTACAAGGATGACAACGTGATGTGGTCGAGCAACAATTAGCAGTATTATAAGCCCCCATCACACCAAACTAGTTCTCACTACGTTCTGGAACCATCCTAGAAAACGAAAAAACGAGTTGTGGTCGGGGTAGAATGTGTAAATAATGTCTATAATATGATCCTAGTTCTTTCATTAATAGTCCCGTCAATCTCGTCTGTACCCCGTCCACAGTCAATTCATATCAAGTTCAGATCGGGTAAATTTGCCCATTTCGAAAATTCCCAGTTGTAGAGTTTCCAAGTTTAGGCTCCTAGACTCAGAGATTGTCTCATAGACTTTGCAAACGAGCCTGGAGAAGGACCTCCAGTCATTATCACTTTCCTAATCCATTGCCAATGACGCGCTAATAATACCTGTAAATAGAATCTGGCTGAAGAGAAAAATGTGAAGAAAAACAATCCCAAGGTCACAAAAATCTTTGTTTTTTCCCAAAAATTTGTTCTTATGGATTCGTTTACCCCAAAAAACTTCAAAGCACAAAAATCGGGCAAGAAATGCCAGAGATTTGATATTGAACACACAAAAATATTTCAGATTTGACTCACTTCAGGAAACTTTTCCCCCCGTCTTCTCATGGAGAGAGCTGTCAGTCACTTTACTTTACTTTACTTTAATCCATCAATGTTGGTAGGACAGAGCCTGTTCATCGATCGATTGAATTCCTTTGCACGTTTCGACTGGCTTTTTAGCAGCTGCATCAGATTAAGCCCTCTTTACAACTGACCAGCTTGTCTGACTGCGTATATTAGTGCAATAGGACTTTTGATTTAATGTTTTATTTTGAATTTGTTTTCATTACCAGAAATTCAAAAATGAACTGCTACCTCAAATGCAATTTTGAACGGGGAAAAGTGCCCCAGCGGAAGCGGACATAGATATGAAATCGTACGCTCAGACGATGCTTAGATTGTCTCATAGACTTCCGGTTTCGAATCTGACTTTTGTTCAATTCTACAACGGGGCATTACGTGTACGTCAACTCTCGCACAGCACGCTCATATGTCTCAATAGAAAACTATATGCATAGGGGCACTGCGTGCGCTGGCATCGGAATCAAACTCGGAAAGGTTATGAGACAATTTCTGAGCTACCTGCCAAAGCGATGTTTTTATTATTGTTGTTGAGGCATGAATTAGAGTCTAGTCTAGTTCCTAGACCTTTGCTGTGTTGTCCTCATTTTTTTGAAAATAAACAAACCTGTGCATTAGGCGTGGATTAGTTTTCTCTTTCTGTCTTAATTTCCTTATGTTATTCTTTGTTTCTTCCTTCTATCACCTTCTCTTATGTTAATGTTTGTTTATATTATTCTACTATTCTCTTCCTTACGCTAATTAATTAATTAGCCGATTTCAAATGATAAAATACTTATAACTATATATAAATATATATATATATATATATATAAAAATATATAAAAACGACTTTCAATTAATGTCCTTTGTTTCATCCCCTCCCTCCCTCTTTCACGGCCCACTGTATTATTTTTTCCTTTTTCTAAAAAGGCGTTTTCTTCATTCATTTCATTCTTTCCATTGGATAACTTTCTGTTATAAAAGCTGGTAACATCAGCACAATTGAATTGTTTTTGTTTCTCTCTCTCCTGCGATTTGACTCTCTTTTTAATTCTCAAGCACAGATAATATTGGCATTCATTTTTTTCTTTTTCGATGGCATATTTTTGTCATAAAAGCTGTGAACATAAGTTGTATTTAAGTTGTTCTGCTGCTTGCTCTCCTGCGATGTAACTCTCTTTTTATTCATTTTCTTCATTTCTTTCAAGCATTTCTTTCTTTCCGTTAGCTTACTTTTTGTCATAAAAGCCGGTGACATCAGCGATATTTAATTGTTTTTGCTTCTCTCTCTCCGGCGATCTGACTCTCTTCTTATTTCTCAAGCACCGGTGATAGTTATGGGCATTCATTTTGTTTATTAATTTCTTTCATTCATTTCTTTTTTTCTGTTGACCTCCTTTTTGTCAAAAAAGCTGACAACTTCAGCGAAATTTAATTATTTTCTCTTCTCTCTCTCCCGCTATCTGTCTCTCTTTATAATTCTCAAGTGCTGGTAATATTGACATTCATTTTCTTCAAACATTTCATTTTTTTCTCATTTCATTTCATTTCTTTATTGTGTCCATATAGGATAATTGTTTATATGCACATGAACAATCTTGCTTCAACATATGAACATGGGAACAAAATATAATTGACATTCACAGGCCCCTGTTTTACATTTGATATAATATACATGATCATGATGAATATACATTTAAATACTCTTTCTTCTTCTTCTTCTTCTCCTTCTTCTTCTTCTCTGTTTCTTCTTACATACCCTACATTTTCTTTTATTCTTATATGCTCTAATCTGAAGTAGGTATTTTGTGTTAAAAATTATTTCTTGATATGGTATAACAGTAGGGGTACAACAGTAAAGTAAGTATACTGAAACAATATATTCGTATAACATGTCAATGAGGGTATTTTGCATGGTTTTCACATTCTCTTCTCTTTACTGGGTTTCATTAACAACTCTTATGGAAAGTGGAATGAATGAATTAATGCGGCGACTAGTTCTTGCTTTAACAGATCTAAATCTTCGTCCGCTTCTCAGGTGTATGTACTGGTCAGGGGGTGGGTTAGATCAGACATAATGGATAGGGCCTTAGATACTACTCTTTCCTTACAGACTTCATCTAGGTCAACAGTATGGTTCATTATTTTATATCATATTTCGTCGTTCGAAATTACATGAGATCCCGCCAAGCGCATGCGCAGTCGATTCGCCGCGCAATTGATTTTACCGGGAAAGTAACTTTCCCTCAGCAGTCAAAATACCTATTTTTTGGCGTTTTTTTCGGACCCGCGGTTTCGAAAAAATACTTCATTAGGGAGAGAAACTCTCCTTTTTCATGTTTTTGGAAGACTTTTGAGAATCTGTGCTGTTTTTATATCAAAAATCGAAGTTTTGTTCCGATTTCCACGTACACGATGGCGTCTCCGTCAGGCAGCACCAAGCAGAAAACCAGCGAAACGCTGAGCACGGCTAAAGCCGGAACTTCACCGGGCGAAACCGCCGCGGGCCCCTCTACGAAGCCTGAGCCAAAGCGCTCATCGGCAGTGAAATCCTCCGATACGAAACGCAAAAGTGTCTTGGCAAAGCCTGCCCCGAATGTGTCTAAGAACTCTGGGCCTAAAAAGAAGGGCAAAAAGCCTGAAGAAAAGGAGGACTTCACGGTTTTACGAGGAAGACTTGACAAATTGGAATCCTTAATGGAGAGAATGGTGGATTTTTTGCCTTGTCAATCTGCAACTCGCCCCACAGGGGATACACCGTCGACAGCATGTACAGCTGCGACGAACGTGAGATTTCTTGAAGTTGAACATGATGATGATGATTTTGAGCATATTGACACTGGAAACATGGGCCAATGCCCTACATCATATGACATTGGCAGCATGGATGAGGGTGATGTCAATGAAACTGTTGCACCAGGTTTAGACCAGGAGAATGAGGACAAAGTTCCTGCCCTGGCTCAGAAATTTGCTATCCCCACTGGGGTAGGTGGCGTGATCCACGATGATTTAGCAAAGTCTGCCATGTACCTCATGTCCCACCAGCTAGAGGAAAATGTGTTGGAGGAAGCTGGAGGGAAATACCCTCCTCCAAGCAATTGTACTCCACTGTGTTGCCCCAAAGTGAATGCAGCAATATGGGAAAACCTATCCTCGCAAACGAGAAGCCGTGATTTGAAACTGCAAAGAATCCAAAAGCCATTGACAAGGGGACTCACAGCTTTTATTCAAACTCTGTCCCCCGATAGCCTATCTGAGACACAACAGGATGCATTGGCATTGCTGTGTAACACAAACTTTGAAATCAACTGCTTACGCAAAGATCAGGTTAAGCCAGACTTAAATGCCAAGTACTCTCATCTATGCAAACCTGCCACACCAGTGAGGCACTACTTATTTGGCGATGACTTAACAAAGAGAGTCAAAGATCTTACAGAACAACAAAAAGCTGCATCTGGCGTGGTGCGTAGACAACGTACACCCCACCCCCAGTACCATCCGTACAGGACGCAAGCGTCCAGCACTTTTCAATACCGCAGACAAGGATGGAACCGTGCCACCGGCACATCACAAACTTTTAGGATCAAGACCTGCTTGCTAAGAGCAGGTGTGGATACAAACGTTTATAAGGCTCATTCAACACGGGCAGCATCAACTTCAGCAGCTGCCAAGGCAGCACTTCCAATGGACCAGATCCTAGCCCGAGCAGGATGGTCTTCAGAGAAAACGTTCAGGAAGTTCTACAGGAAACCTTTTGAAAACAAGAGAAACTTTACCCAGGCAGTCTTACAAGATAGCACACTGCTTTAAGAACTGCATCAGAAGGCTTTTCAATAGAACTGGCATTAAGAGACCAGCTGTCTAATTAATAGAACTGGGATTAAGAAACCAGATGGCTAGAATAAACTAGATACAGAAACGAACAATGTTTTTGCAACATTATGACGTCTTATATTTGGACGTCTTGTATGTGAAATGTTTTGCCACATGTATGAACAGACTACAATAACTGTCAAATATGGTGAGTCATTGATTAGAAGCATTCAATTCAATCTGCATAATCAGTGTTCACTTTTCTGTACATGTTGGTTGTTCCAAATGTGGCTACTATGCTTCAAAATCTCATGTAATTTCGAACGACGAAATATGATATAAAATAGTAAGATTAAACGAGAACTAACCGTTTGAAGTTTGATCTTTATTTTATGAATATTTAGGAGGAAGTTATTACATGCCCTCCTCACCCACCCAAACGTCAAACTTAAGTGTAAGTTCCCTGTTCCTTACTATTGAGAGTAGCCACATTTGTAGCTTTGAATATTGACTGCGCATGCGCTTGGCGGGATCTCATGTAATAACTTCCTCCTAAATATTCATAAAATAAAGATCAAACTTCAAACGGTAAGTTCTCGTTTAATCTTACTATTTTGCTGGCTTGTTTTACAAACCTTCTCAGCTTTTGTTTGTCACTTTGCCTTGCATTATTAAACCAGACAATGGAATCAAATGCAATAGTACTCTGAATTATCGACTGGTAAAAGAGAAACAGAATTCTATTGTTCACATGAAAGTACTTTAACTTTCTAAGAAAATACAAATGCTGGTTGCATTTTGTTAGGGTCACTTTGACTTTTCTTCCCAAGACAGCTTATTGTCGATACCTGTACCTAGGTATCTATAACTTTCAACATTCTCAATTGTATCATCATTTAAGTATACAGGTCTATCAATGGGTCCAAAACATTTCTTTTGCTTAAAGTCAAATATAATTTCTTATGTTTTCTTTGAGTTCAGCAGTAAATTGTTTCCCTACACCAATTTTCGAACATGGAAATGGTAGCTCTGTAATCAAGTTCATTTTTTGTTTCAATCAATCCTATTATTACTGTATCATCTGCATATTTAAGTATGTGAACAGATGGAGTATTTGATATATAGTCATTGGTGTACAGGGTAAATAGGGTCGCAGAGAGGACACACCCTTGTGGGGTACCAATTGTTGTGATAAGTTCGTCAGAGAGAACACTGTTGACCTTGACCTTCTGTGTCCTTTCATGTAGGAAGTCTTGCAGCCACAATATAAGAGATGGCTGAACTTGTAGATGTTGATGTTTCTGTAATAGGATGAGGGGTTCTATAGTGTTAAATGCCGACGAGAAGTCTATGAAAGTTGCTCTGGCATAACACTTTGCCTTATCTAAGTGTTCGTACAGCGTGTTTGTCAAGGTAAGAACTGCATAGGTAATGGAACGCTTCGCTTTATATGCAAACTGGTTTGGATCTAGTAACGGAAGAACTGAGCTTGTCAGCTTTTCAAGCACCAGGTTTTCCAGGCTTTTCATAACAACTGATGTCAGTGCGATAGGGCGAAAATCCCCATTCGCGCTGGGGCGATTGTTCTTGGGTACTGGCGTACGCTTTCCAACAGGCAGGTACTACTCTTTCGGAGATCGACGTCTGGAATATCATAGCGTATGGGACGGCGAGTTGGGACGAGCAGGTCTTCAGAACTCGTCCATTCACACCGTCAGGCCCTGGTGCCTTTCGAGGGTTAATGATCTTGAACCGTTGGCTTACTTTTTGTCATAAAGGCTGGTAACATCAGCGAAATTGAATTGTTTTTGCTTCTCTCTCTCCCGTGATCTTATACTTCTTAAGCGCTGGTGATATTGGCATTCATTTTCTGCATTCATTTCTTTCTTTCTGTTGGCATATTTTTGTAATAAAAGCCTGTAACATCAGCGATATTGAATTGTTTTTGGTTCTGTCTCTCTACTATTTTTCAAGCGCCGGTGATATTGGCATTTATTTCATTCATTAATTTCTTTTTTTCCATTGGCCGGAATGCAGCGTATTGTAAATATGATATTTACACTTGTTGTTTGACATCGAGTTCCAAAGTTGCCAGTTGCTGGTACCACATCTTATTTACAGGGCATGATGTTCATGAATGTGGAACCAATTGTGTGAATACCAGACTAACTCAACGATACATGCTTGCCTAACTGTTCGCAAGCTCTATTAATAGAGGGATTAAGTCCTTTATAGCCTTGTATCGACAGAGGGATAAGTTCACCAGCTGATGGGGAAAGGGTCACAGATACTTAATGATAATGACTATATCAAAGAGCTTTAAGCCCAAACCGAAGTCTATGAGACAATTCACTGATATTTCTCCAATGGAGAGTTTTCATCACTCATTTCCAGGCAATCCAAGCCAGACAGTAGTCAGTTTAAACCCATTCTTAACGGTGCCTAGTTCTAGGTCGCATAAACCACACATTTGGTTTCTTTTTCATAATTATTTATCAAAATGCGAAAAAGTTCTAGCTGTTATTTACGGTTAATTGTTAGCCGCTTATGGGTCAATCATAATTATAAACCTTTAGGTCAGTCAGGAATCCCATGATTTTAACAAGCTGATCGCCTGTCTGATTATCAAGATATTTATGATTGGAAATCGAAATTTCATTTTTTCCTTTTCCTAACAGTTTTTATAACACTACAGTCTATTGTGGAATATGAGTATGGTAAAACTGGCCACTCAAAGACTTTTAATTTTTTGAGACACTTAATGATCATTTTGAAACACAATTTTTTGAGGGCTTCAATATTAAACCATATCACAGACACTGATAACACGTAGGGCCAACTTGGTTCCCGTAGCCAAAGGGTACAGGTTGCTACAGGTATAGATGATACATGAATTACATTAATATTGAGTTGTGGATATTAAAAATCACTTTTTATTCAAATTAGAGCACGTTTCAGGCCATTTCAAGCATTTCTTATGCTACGGTCACAAAGGTTTGTACGAAGGATAATTTTGTACGAATCTCCCTGTTTTTCCATTGTCTTTCCAAATTTCCATTGTCTGAAAGTCGTTCGTACGGCGTTCGTTGCAGTTCGTAATGGCATTTGTGACCGAGGCTTAGGAAAAAAACGTGCACACGAGAATGTGCACACGAGAATGTGCGCGCTTTTTCGTTTGTCATGGGTGAACGCAACATATAAAGTCCCATTCTTTTTTTTTGGGCCTGATATTCCCCATTCTTTTCTCGAACAATTTGGTACCATGTTTATCTCTTTATGACCATTAATAACGGAATGAGCTTCCGTTCCAGATGAATGTCCGTACGTGTGAGCTCTTGTAATACATAGCATATGTGGGCAAAAACATGCCTATACAATTATAGCTCTTTAGGAAGTCCAGAGACCCCCCATTTTTTTCATATTTAGATAGAATATGAGTCGGAGATATGTTTTCAGGTCTCATTTGGCCATTACATATATATATCGTGACATCATCATAATGGCCTTGGAACTCAAAAAAAGAATTTGAATATTATGACGTCGACAAATTTATGGAAAATTGAATGTATAATATATATTGATTGTGAATATTGTTCTTTTTTCACCCAATTTTTGATATATTATAGCTGTAACAATTGTCAACAAGATCAGCATCCTTCAGATTCGTTGCAATGACGAATTAAATTTCTCGTGTTATTCTTTGTTTTTGTCATTCCATCATTTTCTCTCTATCTTTCTTTACATTATTCTCTGTTTTCATTCGTGTACTGTAATCTCTTTCTCTCTTTCATTACTTTCCCGCCAACACACACTCACTTCCCATTGAAGATCGCTTCCTGGCACGGTTCATGTTCACACTGCACGCTAGATTGGGCTGGGGCGATCTAGGAAGCGAACCGGTGCAAAAGACCAAATTGCGAAGTGATCTTCTGGGTCCGTCCAAAAGATTGCTTCCTGGACCGCTTGTCTGTTCCCACTTACAGTCAGACCAATCTAGCCTAGATCGAATAAGCCTGGATCGGTCTAGGAAGTGAGTGAGTGTGTAAAGGTGCAAAAGCTATGTACACAATTTTAACAAGGACTATACAACTAAAAGCTGCATCATATTGATAATATAATCATAACAAATGTTTTTATGTCTTTGCACAGAGATTGAATGTGACATTCCATCAGTTTCCAATGGTTCTGTTTCCGGTTGTCCGATATCTGCTCTCTATGGAGATTCATGTTATTTCAGTTGCAATGATGGATTCAAGACCAGTGAAGGATTGAAGTCTATTACCAGAGTTTGTCAGGATTATGGCACATTTGATGGACAAGACCTCCATTGTGATGGTAAATTTGTAATACATCAATATGGTTGATATATTTTTCTTGTAGCATGCTGATTGTATGGACATCTATAGTTTTGTCATTCTAATTAAGAAAGGGACAATAGATGCTGCATGCATAATCATGGTTAAACATTTATCTATCTGACATAACCTTGTAAACAGGGAAGAAATACAACACATAGCGATACAAATATTTTCTTAATGATGATATGCTCACTGTTTTTTCTACTGTCTTTATATATGGCAGATGACTACATTTGTATTTCTATTTTGTCTTATTTTTTTAGGCAGTATCCAAGGCCACAGCCTTTCTGCTTTTTTGTTAGTGTTAAAAATGTAAATGTGTATGATATATATGTAAAATGTATATTGTTATTTATAAAAAAACGCATTTAGAAATATTTGCAATAACACCGAGTGTGTTAGTGCACCAAAATGTGACTGTTTTTCTCTTTATCCCTTGTATTTTAATAAGTTCAAGTTACATGTCCTTCGCTGATTGAACCTGAAGATGGGTTCGTCACGCCAGACGTTTGTACCAATCCGGGTGGAGTGCTTTACAACACCCTGTGCTCATTCTCATGCGATGATGGCTACCTCCAAAATGGGGTCTACCAAAAGACCTGTCTCCGTAGCGGATTGTGGAATGACGTGCGAGAAGTAACATGCACAGGTAGAGTTTTTTCGGTGGGGGGGGGGGGGGGGGGCAGGCTTAAAGGGGAGCTATTCCAAGGTATTTTTAGTACCTCTCCAAGTATCTTTTCATTGTATTTATGAACTGTGAAGTCAAATTAACATATACAGTTAAGAACTAGGTATGTAAAAAATGAATTTATCCCCATTTATGGTTCTTGAGAATATGACATCAAAGCCAACATCTAAAAGTATTCAAAAAAGGACCTAATTCAGCCAGTCCACCTTTCATCTTGGAGTTACGAATAACAGAAAATACATCAAATTTACTAGGGGTATGAATAATTCAGTTGTTAACTGTAAATATAATTTTAGTTGGTATCTTATTTGATATTTATTTAGTAGGGTTATCACCTTGATACAGTCGTCACATACAAAATAGCTTGAAATTATGTTTTGCTGAGCAGCTATTGCCACAAAGTGTATCTGCATACGCCAAACATTGTTTAGTTAATGTTCAAACTGACAGGCCAGGGGACTACAGAAGTGGCCACTTTTGGGACACACATACATCACAGCAGCATATCGAATGAAACAACCATGCTTAGTTGCCTGCTCAGGAAAGTAACCCCCCCCCCTGAAACACAATTTCAAACCCAGGCTACATTTTTTGCCTATAGCTATCCATACAAAACTTGGGTATTGCTCTCTCTTTTTTCTCTATCTCCTTCTGGTTAGGTTTGTTGTAGTGTGTCTCTTGTCTTTTTTTGCATGTAACAAAATGTAATCTTTAATTGTATTTTCAGATAATGAAGCACCTGTTTTCTCACCTCCTTGTCCAATGAATCACTACTACAATGCTGATAGAGGATACACCTATGCCTCTATACTTGAAATCAGCGACCTGGAACCTGAAGCATCTGACAACTCTGGCGAATTTAGTTTGACACTGTAAGTTGCCTTTTGCATTTTTTTAAATTCTTGTCCATTCTCTTAGTAATTGTCTCTTAGAAATGGTGGAGCACCAGTCTATTACTATATAAGTGTGTAATGGTGATGATGACGATGATAGAAATGTTTCATTTTGTTTGACACTTCTGTCAAAACATGAGAAACATTAGGGTTTTTTCTCCCATGCTTTTTTAAAGTTAGATATGCAGGGAACATTTAATTTGTTCCGTTATGGTTTACACGATTTAAATTAAAAAAAAAAAATCCCTTTTTGAGTGAAAATCAGCAATACTCTCTCTAGTGGAGGAGCCATATGGTAGTTTTCTATGTCTGCTTTATTTAAGTGGCTTGCAATCACCCTATTGAAAGTGCTTTCCTCTTCTTTTTGTTATCATTTAAAAATTTATCTACAAGTTTATTTGAACCAGCAATCATCATTCAAGAATGTATTTACCTCAATTTGCCAACACAAAACTTTATATCATTGAATGGGCAGGAAAATTTACGAGGCATGAATGAAGATGAGGACAGATTACAAAATTAACACACCGTGTACAAAAACAGCTCTTCTTATTGGGTACAATTTAGGTGATTGACCAGCAATACCATACAAAATATATCATCAATTTATTGCAATAAGGAAAAACAGTAGTTCTCTCAGACAGAAACCATATTATCAGTTAGAGAATTAAAGGAAAACAAATTACATCCTAGATTATTTTGATTAGTAAATCATATGTGGTTAAGGATGTGTTAAAACTAGTGTAAACTATTCATGTTTGAATATTTGTTATCCTTTTCAGGAAATCAATGATACCAATCGAGTACAAGTTTCCTGAGACCCCAACAAGATTGACCTTCAATGCTATTGACTCTGAAGGAAATCTGGCAGTTTGTGACGTTATTGTTCATGTTACAGGTACAAATAGTTAAATCAATCCTATAATTGGATGTTTTTTCTTTGTTTTCTTCATAGTGAGGCATTGAATGTTGTACATATAGAGTCACATAGGTTTGGGCCCCTTTTTAAAATTTCGCTTCAGTTTTGTCATTGTTCTCGTCCCGGCCCCCCCACTCAGAGGTCGGAATGACCGCATGCGTGTTGCCAAAATGTCCGGGAAAGGGGTACTTTTCCCAAGAATTGTAAAAAAAGGGGTGTATTTGACTTTTCACCCAGAGATTTCTTTAAAAAGGGGTTGTTTTTCTTTTTTTCTCTCATCTCTTTGGACTCCTGAGAAATTATTCCGAATTTAGGGGGATACATTGAGCATTTTTCCTGATTTAGGGGGGTCTCCAAGGCAGGAAAAGCCCACGAAAAGCCCGCGAAAGGGGGGTTCGAAAATGTTGGCAGTCCTCAGATAGGGGGTGCTTTCAAAAAGAGGGTACGAGCATATGCGTACCCTAAATAACACTGAGTGGGGGGGCCGGGGTTCTCGTTATGGTGCTGTTACATAGCATCGGCTAAATACCTATGGTCCCATACCGTTTGATTTAAATGAAAAGCGGTGAAAATCTCTCCCGCCGCAAATTTTTAATTTTTGTTAAATTTTTCCACCACGTCTTCAACGTTTCCATTCCGTCTCCATACCGGGTCCTTACCACTTACAACGTCCTTGACCTTGTAGCAGCTCACCGTTTTGGCCGGTCCCTCGCCGGGTCCTCACTGGATGGGTACAGGCTGCTTACTGCCCGGAACGCACCAAGTGACTGCTCCGCCTTGAAGTCATCACACATCGTATATAAAAGCACGCGTCAAGCTTGTCAATAGGCAGTTTTCGCAAACTTCTTGCGGACAGAGAAACTGCGATTCGTGTGCAAAATCAAGAAGCTACTATAGTAACAGCGGGGTGACCGCTGAGGTACTGAAATCCAGAACAGGTTTTTGCCAATTCTACGGGCGTTCTCATTGACGCCCCAAGTGAATCAAGTGCCTAAATACAAACTATTTCATTCATCTGATAGGAATAAAATTATTTAAATAGACAGAATCCAATCTGCATACATTAGTCGTTGCCACACTTAATACATGCAGTTTGCATTCTGACTATTGCGAATACTAGACAGGTGAATGAAATAATTTGTATTGAGGAACTTCACAAAGACTTATGTATTAAATTCATTTCATTACGAAAATGGCCTATTCCACTACAGGACTAGCACAACTTGTCTCGACCAAGCCATAAAACAGCTTTTTATCAAATTTCAAAGTTTTAAAACAAAACATGTTATATCCATATTCATGTTGTTATAGTTCAGAAACAATAATCGGAATAAAAAAACTCACCGAAGAGCCGTTCGCGTCATGGGCGAATCTAGGAGGGGTGGGGGGGGGGGGGGGGGTCAGAGGGTTTTTATCCCCCCTTGGGCTGGCCCCCCCCCCCAAAAAAAAAAGGAAAACAAATTTTAGTGCTCCCTACCCCCCATTAATCGACATATTGGTCGGCGCGATTTTTCAAATTGCAACTTCCCCCCCCCCCCCCCCCCCCCGTAGAAAAAAGCTAAATCGGCCCCTGCGGGTTTAAATTTGTCATCCTACATTAAAAAACGACGGAATTCCCATACCATCTTTAGTACAAGCTTGCTGATTGGCTGTTTATTCACTTGGGATATCATTAAGAACGCCCACAGATTTGGCCAAACACCATTCTAGATTTTCAGTACCTCAGCGTTCACCCCGCTGTTACTAAAGTAGCTTCTTGATTTTGCACACGAACCGCAGATTCTCCGTCCGCAATGAGCTTGTGAAAACTCCCTAATATTGTCGAACTGGCAACAACTAATGTATACAGTTTGGATTCTGTCTATTGAAATACTATTGTTCTTATCAGGTGAATAAAATAGTTTGTATCGAGGAACTTCACAAAGACGTATGCATTAAATTTGGTTACATAACAAAAAATTGACTATTGGGCATTGCATTGCAATACCTCCGTACTATACGTAAGCGTTCATCAAAAAGCAAAACCGCATATTGTAACGAGGGCGGTCTGTGTGCGACGGCCGTAACCCTGAGTGCTGTGCGTCGTAGAAGGTCTGTCCGTCGCTGAGCGAAAACTCGCTAATAACAAGATGAGTTCTGACTGGGTTTATGCAAATGAGTTTATAATGGCATCCAGAACTCAGGTGGTAAAAAAAATTACGCTGCGACCAGCTGATTGCTCAATGCCACACCGCATGCCTTCACCGTGTTAGATCGTCAGCAGAAAATTTACAACATGTTGCCACTTGGTAGGCTTAGCCTGCACCATGTGACAGCTGTTTTAGGCCTACCATATTTACTTTTATTTGGAGGTGAGGGTGTTCATTCAATGCCTCTGGCCTGAAAGCATACCTTCATTAGCTCGACACCATCCTATATCACCCCAGACGTTGTTTTTCTTTTAATGCTTGTATTCATTTTGTTTCTTTGTAGTTTTCCGATGTCCTCGTCTTCAAGCTCCGTTTCATGGATCTGTTGTTACCTGCTCCGTTAGTCCTGTGTATGGGTCTCAGTGTTCCTTCTCATGTAATGAAGGATATGACCTTGTAGGATCAGAAACAAGAACATGTGAATTGAGCGGTGATTATGGACCGGCTAGCTGGACCGGTACCGAACCAGTATGTCAAGGTTTGTTCAACAGGCATTCGAGTCATAGAGATATTATATGGGGGGGGGGGGATATTTTTGTTAAGTTAATGTGGTACTTAAATTTAGCCAAAACACACTGTTTTCTCCAATTGTCTTTCATTGGCTATCGATGTACTACAGGGCAGCGTTTCACGAAACTGTTGTAAGTACAAGTTGCACCAACATCCCATGGAAATGCATGTATTATATACCTCACTTAAGTAATCCAGCAATCTGATTGGTCGAAATTGCATTCATAAACTTTAACTGTTCCCGAAAATTCCCGGTAACCATGGTTAAAAAACAGTTCAAAATCCCAATAACCATGGTTATTGGGAAAATAGGTCAGTCTCCATGGTTACCCCATAGATTTACATGTTAAAAAATGGTCTGAGCGATCGAGGATACCGTACGTGTGCGAAGAATTGGTCGGTAATTTCAATACAATTGAATCTCGATCGATCTTACCAACAATTTTATCTTGCATTGTTGACATTAAGACGAAAATAAACTTCCAAAAACAAAAAAACAACATCTGCCGATAGATCTTGATCTAAATTCGTGCCAATATGCATTGCAAAAGTAAAAGAAGGGCCTGTTTAATGGAGCAGCCGCGAAGCTTCCACCACGCAAAGCCGTTTTCAATCCATTTTAATGTGTATATAAGAAAAAACTGCTACGTATGGTAGCAGAGCGCGATAGCCGAGCGGTTTATGGCGGCGGTTTTCGTTACTTCACCTTTGGTACGCAAGAGATCGGATCCCATCTTCGACAAAAGTTTTTTTTAAAAATTTTTTATTTAATTTTTTTTTTTTTGAATATAAAAGTATTAATGACTGCTTTAATATTCGAGAAATAGTTGTTTTTATACGCTCTCGGGAAGGTTACAATTGGGCTATTGCCCTCGGCACGCCTCGAGGCAATAGCACAATTCTAACCTTCCCTTGAGCGTATAAAAACAACTATTTCTCTCAAAGCATTCATTAATACTATATTATTATTAACTTGTGTTTCAATGGGATGTTGTGGACGTTGTATTTAGGACGGTTTCGTGAAACGATGCCCTGGTGTGCGAGTGTGTGCGCGCAGGTGTGTTTGTGCGTTTGTTATGTACAGGCCTTATATTAGGGAGGCCAATGCCCAAATCTAACTTTTTAATTACTACTTTGTTTATACTAAAACTAAGATTAAAAGAAAGCATTTACTTTCACTAAGAAAATCCACCCATATGCCGACTCCAGAACTTCCATCAAATAGGAGATATCCAGCTCTTTTTATCCAGCTTCCTTCTACGCCTTTCCGTACGTAAGAGCCTTGAAACAATTATATTTCATGTCGCAAAGTTACGTTCATAATTAGACAGGCCCGAGGGACAAAGTTCATGATGAAGTTTAAAACTTCGCGCGAAAGTGCAATCACTCAACAGCGGCTAGCCTTGAATCGGTCGCACACGTACCTTCTTCTTCTTAGTTGATCCCTCCACCGACACAGGCAAGCCCCGATGCAGGCTGAAGTCCAGCCATCAATGTGCGAACGATTACATCTTCTACTACTACGAGCCGAAGACGATGGTTCAAAAATGAAGAATAGATATGAAAATTGGCAGGAAAGAAATATTTATAATTCATTGATATTTACCTTAAATGTGTATTCCAATAATTTGATTTCCTCATGAGTATTCCTTATTATCAACGATCGAGAAGTTACTAGGTCCGATTAACATCCATCTTGCAGCGAACACAATCATAGCGCACATCCATGCATGCAACGTACGTGTACTAATATTTCTCTCACTCTCTCTCTCTCTCTCCCTTTCGCTATACGTAACATACACACTCACTAACCATGTATCATACAACACACACCTTCAAATCATGGCTTTCATTTCAATTCTCAATTGGAGTATAGACTGCTCACGTAGACTTTTTTTTTTACTGAAATATCTTTTTTAACACTTCTCATACATTACTGCACGACACTCGTATCTAGTGCTGTGAGAATAAGGTACTAGGGTCTATAAATAAGACTACGCTTTGCGCACGATCTGACCGGAGCTCAGATTATGTCGCAATACCCTTTATTTTTGGCGCGAACAATGACGTCACTGTTCACTGTTTTCCTTCTCATTTTGAGATGGATGTAGCTATAGGGCTCAAACCAATGCAAGATTGACAGAAACATCGTACTCTATCTACTTTCGAATGTTCAGTTTGTAAAAATCTGTATTTAAAAAGATATAATCTTTTTTCTTTATATTTTCTAGTTGTTAGAAGTGGCAATTGTGAACATCTGAAATGTTGATCTCTATCAAAAGTTCTTTACTCAAAACGGATCCCATATTTTTAGGGTCTACCTTCTGCCAATGAGAAGGTTTTTAGTGAGCAAACCTCTACGCCCTCTAGGATTTTCTTAGTCGGTGGTGCGAGTGCGTCAAGGTCGTCTGCAACCACAATTATTGGATTAAAAAACGTCAAAATCTGCAAGATTGTCAACAAATGGTGAAAGACTGTTACAGATCCGTGATTATAGGTATGTTGTGAAATGTATAATTGTATTTTCTTTTCTTATTTTCTTCAATTTTTATTTTTACATCATTTTTTTCCCTTTGCTAATTTTTTGAAGTGGGCGACGAGCGCACAAATCGTAGGTGTAGAAGCCTTACGCCCGGGCATTGGCCTCCCTACTTATATAGCAGACCTTCAAATTCAAATGCATGTTTACTAAAGGTCATTCACTGCTCTGCCACCCAAAGTTATGAAGTTTGAATATAGCTCGTTGATATGAATTTGTATCCTTGCTGGGGAATACTTTTAGGGAAAAAGAGGTATTTCTTGTCGCATGCACTCTATGAAAGATAAAGAATAGACATTGTGGGGAAATTACAAAAGGAATCAATTGAAACTTGATATACAGCAAGATCGCATAATACTTTTTATGTTAGCCTATATACTACATATCTGAATAGAGAAATATCAAAATGGAATGAGGGTTTCAAATTTTATACAAGAATCATAATACCTTTCTTTTTTTACTTCTAATATACTGATAGTCTTTCAATTCCCAATCGACTAGTTAATTGCCAATTGGTCCATTTATCAAACGTTTATATAAGAAATAAAGATTTAAAACAAAATGAAATATTAAATAGATACATATGCTAAGATTCTAATTATTGGACCTAATGTAGCCAGGACCCTTACGGTAGTTATCTGCAAATGGTCCATTTACTAATTGTCAACAAATTTGCTGAGCCTCAACTTTTTGTTTGAATCTGGCGCACATATTTATCCCCGGGTGCAACCATGTTCTGGTCCTCTTAGTGGCCTAGCTTCGTACACTAACCATCAAGACTGTCCAACTATAACTTACATGAATATTACTACATTTCTAAATATAGCAAAGTCCTGCCCAGCGCTGACCACACCTGAAAACGCTGTGAAATCCGGCTGCATAAACAACCCACCAAACACCGAAGTCTACGGCACTCAGTGTATTTTCTACTGTCTGTACGGTTTTGAAGGGATTGGTGATAGCAGCTCAGTCTGTCAGGCAGATGGAACTTGGACCAATAATAGTTTCAATTGCAGACGTAAGACATGTGCTTTATGTAGAAATGTCAGATTCTAGAGGTTCATTAGATTTCAATCTTAAGGTTGGGAATTCGAATCCAAGCCCAACAGTTACTTCATGTTTCAAGGCATTAACTATAAATTCGCAACTCTCCACCCAGGTTTAAGTAGGTAAACCTGAAAATTCTAAGGGCTACTTACTGTGGTGCATCAGATTATTTTGACTAGACCTAAGCTATATATTTCTTATACCTATCTATCTATAAATACAAAACAGATAATATTCGAGATATTCAACCAAGAGTTTTACTACTGTACCAGATGTAACAGACTACTTTTCCAGGACTGAAGCACCTGTTTTGTACATAATGATGATTTTATATGCCTCCGCTACAAGTAGCCGGAAGCATTGTGTTTCCGGGTTGTCCATACGTCCGTCCCGTTCTCGTGATCGCGTTATCTCAAGAACCCATCGACGGATTCCCGCCAAACTTGGGTCATGTTTGTACCTTGCAGAGCCAATGAACTGATTAAATTTTGGGCTAACAAGATCAAATGTCGAAGGTCACAGGGCTTGCTTCTGTTTTGGTTGGTAAAATTGCTCCATGGCGGAGGCATCATTTTCCACTGCGCACAGTCGAATGTCCATCTAATTAGGCATGTTATCCCCTCTACCAAACCCCAAAACAGGAGAAAATAAAGATTGTAAAACACACCTTTTAATCATCTTCAAGGAGGCTCCATACCTTGTACATTTCAAAACATAAGGGGTATTTTTTTTATCTTTTTCTAGCTACATCATGTTCACTCTTAGTAGTTCCAGACGGGGGCTCAGTCACTCCAGAGGAATGTTCAATAACTCCTGTCTTTGGACAGTCATGTGTTGTATCATGTACTCAACAAGGTTATCAGCTTGATCCTCCTAACTTCTCTGTGCTGTCATGTCAAGGAAATGGACAGTGGGCTCCAGGAGACCTCACAATGACAACTTGCAAAGGTGAGACATAATCATACTTTGTGAAAGAACTGTCACCCATCTCTGCTCCAGTGATCTCGAGGCAGCAAGAAACTTATTTGAAAATCACTTGACTGAAAAAAGTCCAGAAAGGCCTATTAAATCAATAGACGTTAGTCCAATGACACATTCAAAGTATTTAGGGCTGTTTTGATGTGTCTATTACATGTAACATTTGCATTGCCTGTACCCAACGCAACAACAATCCTATATAAAAGTGATAATATATTATATAAATGATTTGATGATGTTATCTTTCATTTTGTTCATTGAGCTAAGTTTTGTTTTTACATCGTTTAGGCAAAGTTTCCCTGCTGATTTTTTCTTTATACAGACATACAACGCCCATCCTTTTTAACATGTCCTCAATATCTGACTTTCAACCCTCCTTCTGGGGAAATTATGGTAAACATCTCCTGGACTGTAATACCTGAGGACAACAGTGGTGAAGAACCTACCGTTACATGTAACAAAGAACAACGCCTGACAGGAGAAGGTGACTTTGAGGTTAGGTGCACAGCCACAGATGCTACAGGAAATAGCAAAACGTGTACATTTGACGTTGCAGTACAGGGTAAGTGTATACAGGAAATGAAGAGTAGAGTAAACTAATTTCAACTTAAATATTCAGAATTAATTCTGATTTTGATTTTACCAGACAGATAATGTCAAAAGCTAACCTGTGTTACGTTAGGTGATATTTCTCTGGCGGATTTGGCAATGACATCAAATCCAAACGGTGAATGATGCAACTGTTGTTCCATATTTTGCAAATTCAGTTGATCACGTTTAAAACAACCAAAAAATACTCGGACTAACTTCCCTTGTTAATCCCAATTTTGAACAAGAGCATAACCCTATATATAGCCTGGGCTATTTTGAAACTGCATAGCCTGGGGGGGGGGGGGGGTGGGAGGGGCTTCTAATCCCCCCCTCCCCCATGATCTCAGCCGTTCTCTGTGAAAATTTGCATGCATGTCAAGTAAAGTGTATAGAATACTATGGTTATTTCAATTTTTTCGAAAAATTCACTCATTTGCATATTTATGGTAATATATACAAACAAGGTAATCAAATTCACTTTTTTACCCCCAAAATCATATATTCTTCACATTCAAACATTAGTTTTCACTACATATATTTTTGAACCATTTGCATACCTGCCAACATTTGAAAATGAGAATTAAGAATTTTTAGCACGGTATATGTAACTGGCAATACGCAGTAAATCTGTGCAAAAAAGCGAATACAAATTCGCTGCTCAATCATGCAGCCCTTCAAAGCACGCAATACGTGACCTCTCACATTGCGGCATATGATAAAACAAGCTTAATTTTGAAATTTTGAAAATCCGGAATATTCCGGATTTTGAGGTCCTAAAAATCCAGAAAAACAGAATATTCCGGATTATTCGGAAGGGTTGGCAGGTATGCACTTGGGATAATAATAGCAAAAGAAAATGGAAGAGCCAGGATATTCCTTATGTTATCTATTGATTTGATAATTTCTTATGTATTTCCCTGTTTTTTTTAACTTATGTATTTTATTGTTTTTATTGTTTTATTTCATTTCGAAGTATAATTCAACTATTTTGCCCCCCCCCCAATAAGCACCTAATCTATAAACAAATCCAATAAGCAGCGATTTTTATTTTTCTCGGAAAAATGAGATTTCCATATGCTATGTACACAAATCACAAAAATGAGCGATTTTCGGGCTGACTTGCAAAGGCAAAAGCTCATGTGACTTTGTAACGGTTGGTCTGATTTTGTTTTAAAAGATGCTTAAGACTTGCAAGAAAAAAGTCACAAAATTTCAGCGCAAGATTGCTTTACACTAAAAAATTATCACAAAAAATGTAAGAGGGGGAGGGGGGGCTTTTAAAGCCCTCCTTAGCCCCCCCCCCCCGAGGCTAAATAGGGTTAAGTCCAGCACCAGTTTATAAACTAGTAGAATTACAGCCTTTAACGTTTATGTTTACCATGGAGAAACATATTTCTTTGCATTAATTGCATGCATGATAAGCCATTTCCTAATAAAAATATGTTTACATGACATCATGATACTCATCCCGTTTTTTCCGATGCGAATGTTAATGATAAAGTTCACAGGTGCCGTCCGTATTTGCTGCCATCTTTTGCTGAGTTTGCTGATGTATGTAATACAATATGGGGCGCTGAGTGCAGCATAACCTGCAATCCTGGGTATCGCCTGACTGGTTCTAGCACGGTCACATGTGAGTTTGATGAATCTACAGCAATCTCAAGCTGGACTGCACAAACAACACCGAGATGCGAAGGTAAAGACTTTATTAAAGAATTTATTAAACCACTTTTTATACTTTGGTCAACTTATTGCTAAAGCAGGGCTCCCAATTAGCCGAGTTGGAGCCACGAGTTGTGGCGAGCTGGCTCTATCTTATGGCAAGCCGTTTTATCATTAAAACATATTTCTTGATATCACGAAATAATTTTACGTTGTAAAGCAATGGAAATTCTTGATATCAAGAATTGAATTCGTGATATCAAGAATTTGATTTCGTGATATCAAGAAATATGTTTTAATGATAAAACTGCTTGCCATAAGATCGCGCCAGCTCGCCACAACTCGTGGCTCCTACTCGGCTAAGTGGGAGCCCTGCTTTAGTTACCGTACCTATCTATTCCACTTTTAGTAGGGACATTACATAAGGTGTTGTTACATACGGCAATCCTCACGCATGCCTATCAGCTGTTCCAAGAATTCTTTTCCTCAAAAACTGATAGACAAGAATCCATGAGTAACAATCTATTTTGGATTGTGTTTAGTGCGTTTTCTTCACATTATTATATTAAATACTTTTACTAGGAATAACTAGAACTTTACTCATGAATAATGAGGCTCAAATGTATGTATATGGTATGAATGATAGGCAAATGTAACAGAATCGATTGACATTGCTAAATCTAGAAAGACAACTAATTTATCCTGTGTGCAAATGTATGTAATTGTATGGACGTTTCTTTCCTTTCTTCATGTTTCTGCCATCTTAACCATGACATGCATGGTTCCTGAGGCCCTATGGGAGTAAAGGGATTAGTGTTGTAGGCCGTAGATTATGGTAATGTTCCTCTTCAGGAAATTAAACCTTGATGTCTGCTGCTCTCAATATTTACTAATTCTAGCTTATATGTTTATGTTGTCATCTGTTTGGAGCCAGAAGGTAGTTAATTCATATATTGTAACACGGCCCTGATTGAAACCAGTCTGCGAACTGTTTTGGGCTTTTACCGTGTATAAATAAAATAAACTCAACTTAACTCAGTTAACTACCTGATGGCTCCGAACAGATGATATCCTCTAATAGCTATTTTCCTTTTTTATCAGCCATAAGGTGCGATCCTCTAGAATTACCTGAGCATGTCAACATTAATCCATCTTTATGTGCTGGACCAGTTGATGTGAGTGTGGGTACCAGGTGCACACCTTACTGCCCTACTGGTACAGATCTACAAGGCGATGGATCGCCGATCGTTTGTGGAAGTGATGGTCAATGGAATAGATTCATCAATGGCTTATCAGAAGATTTAGCATGTTTGGGTGAGTTTTGAAATGAGACGTATAGCGCAGGCTATAGCCAGAATGCGGCAGCTCGCAGAGAGGAAAAAAAAATCACGTGAAAGGCACGTGAATATCACGTGATCTCAGGCCCGCGCTTTTTTCCTCTCTCTGCTGCATACTGCCCTCTACAGTCTACTGCATGACAACTACGTCTCATTTCAAAATGATGGCTAGCTGAACTCGTTATCGAGTACGTAGCTCATGAAATATCATTATTTCTGTAAGATATTATGAATATCTATAGTATTATTTGTCAAAGCAAATAATTATTTTACGGTAATTTTGTTGAATTGGAGTCCCTTAAAGTTTTACGTGATGTTTTTTAATTGGTTTAATGCTTAATGTTTCGATCAGGTCGGATGACGGTGTAGGGATGTAAACATGCATATCAAGCTTGACTCGTAACTTCTGCTTGCCGTTAGACACGCATTTTGAGAACGAACGAAAGACACTTCGAAGTCATTTCAAGAGCTTTAATTTATTTTCCATCATCAAACTATCAAGGGTAAACCATTATGTTGTGGATATATTTTGACAATTAAATTAATGCCTTAAGTATTACGATTCAATTGCAATAGTCTGATCAATATTTTAGTATTATGTGTGGCACTTTCTTGCTCTGTCTTCAGTGGGTCATAGATCTATTTCCACTTCCGTTTCTGAACGCACTCGATCGGTACCACGAAGCGTGATTCCTTTCTTGCAGCCTCAATTTTAGAGCGATAAAAACACCTACCGTCAACTGAAACAATATCCACTTATTTTTTAAAGCATCTTAATTTAATTCAATTGATTATTTTATTGTTTTGAAAGCAGTAACTTTCTTTTCAGTCGCATTATTAAAACAGCAACTTAGTCTAACTCCCGCCGCTGCATGCACACTATTTTTAGTGTCAGTGCAGCGGTGGTCAGTGCAGTGGTGAAAATTTCAGGTACCCGGTCCCCGCCCAAAATTTTCAAGTCAAACCCGGGTTCGGCAAAACCGGTGATGACTCAGGCCTACTGATTAGATAGGGTAACAAGTTCAAATGTCAAAGATCACAGGGTTCATAATGTATGCAAAAATAGCTCACTTCTGTTTTGGTTTGTAAAATACTTCTATCATTTTCTCCTACCATTCCTTATGTTATTCTTTATTTATCCATCTTTCATATTCTCTTCTATCTTTCCATTATCTTTTCTTTATCATTTTATATTTCTGTCTTTCCTTATGCTGTTCTTTTTCTCTTATTCTATCATCTGTTATGATTCTATCGCTTTCACTTTCTGTCTTTCCTTATGTTTTTCTTTGTTTCTTCCTTCTATCACCTTCTCTTATGTTATTCTTTGTTTTTGTGCCTCCGTTACAAAGTAGCCGGAGGCATTATGTTTTTGGGTTGTCCATCCGTCCGTCCGTCCCGTTCTCGTGATCTCAAGAACCAATTGATGGTTTCCTGCCAAACTTGGGTCATGTATGTATCTGGCAGAGCTAATGAGCGAATTAGATTTTGAGGTCACAAGGTCAAAGGTCACAAGGTTCATTATGTATGTAAAAATAGCTTGTGATCACGTTTTCTCAAGAACCGATGGATGGATTTCTGCCAAACTTTGGTCATGGATGTATCTTGCAAAGCTAATTGGTCAGGGCCACAAGATCAGAGGTCAAAGGTCACAGGGCTCATTATGTTTGTTTATCAATAGAACTGATGGACGGATTACCATCAAATTCAAAACATTGTATTTATCTTGCAGAGCCGATGAACCAAGTAGATTTAGAGGTCTTGAGGCCAAAGATATAAGGGTCATACATGCATATGAAAAATAGCTTGTAATCACGATATTCTGAGACCCTGTTAATGTATTACAATTAAACTTGATTTTGACAAATTACTTCTGTTTTGGTTTGTGAAATCGCTCTATGGCGAAGGCATCATTTTCGACTGCGCGCAGATGAAGTTCCAACTAGTTATTATTGTATTATTTCCTCTTCCTATCTTTTCTTCCACTATCCTTTGTTTCTTCCTTCTATCACAATCTCTTTCTGTCTTTCCTTATGTTATTCTTTGTTTCTTCTTTCTATCACCTTCTCTTTTGTTATTCTTTTTAAAAATCATTCTATCACATTCTCTTTCGATCTAGCCTAGATCGATCTAGCCTCGATCGGTCGACGAATGAGTGAGAACAGGGTCCTAGTGGTCATTGGGACACCACTTTTTGAAGTGTTTAAGAAGACAAGCCCAATGGCTGTTCACATTTTTGTATAGGTCTCTAGTTTAGGCCCGTTTCGAGTAAACGTTTAATCGTATACCCTGTAAAGCCAGTAGTCAAATAATGAACTTGATAACCGAAATCTTGATGACTCATTGGAAACCCAAGAACATCGCCTAAAAAGAGTCTAAATGGATGTGAAATAGAAATCTATCACAATAATTCTACTTTCTAAGACATTGTCAAGGAAGTTTAAATAAATCAAATTTCTACCTAACCTTAACTTAGAAGCAAACAACTAGCCAGCTGATGAGTTTCATGAGTATCGAGCCTGCGCTTGATGATGCACATGCCCTCGATCTTTGTCAAGAACTGGCCACGCCGCACTGTGCGCCGCTTGCGCTTGCTAGCTCTGCACTGAGCTCACTAGGCTCGCGGCTGCAGAGCATACACAGAGAATATTGCAATAATGCATTTTGACGCAGAACACTTTAATTCAACACATGCAGCCGGGCATTATTGTTTATGAGAGATGTACTAAAAAAAAAGATATTGGAAATAGAGGAGAATGGCAGCAATAGCGGAACAAGAGAGGATATTCTAAATTAAACAGGGCAGGGTAGAGAGAGAGACAGAAAGACAGCTCAGACAAGGAGACGGTACGAAAACAAACACAAACCATCATACTGATAAGATCTGGCGGCCTCCCGAGGTCATAATTGAGTTACCCCCATGGGGCTGCAGTTATCAAGCCAAACCCACGAGGTCAGCGAGTCGAGCGCTTTCACAATTACGTAACATATTTTTATGAATGAAATCTGGCTGCATGCGCAGTTGCGCACTCAAGAAACCATTCGCGCAGTGACTTCCTACGTGTAATAAACCAATGAATGGCATCCAACTCGCTGCGAGGCTGTAGGTACTCAACACACAAAAGATTGATTTTGCCGCGTGCTCCAGCTAGTAATGCAAACGAGCTCATCGTACACTGCACAGCTGTTAGATGCTCTAGCTGACAACATGCACACTGTAATTTGTTTTGTTGCCACTCCTTCGAAGGCCGTTCATTTGGTAAACACATAGCATTGTTCAGCATGCTCGACCGCTGACCCCTGACCATGTACACCAGGCCTACGCAGTACGCACCCATACTCGTATCCGACCACCGCGCCCGCAACGCATTGCTAGAGATATACTGATCAACCCAATTTGATGGGGAAGATTTACAACTCGTCCCTAGAGAGCTTGATAAGAAATGTTAGGGCTTTCCTATATTTACCTTGCTGTCACGCGAGGGCTTAATGCATACCTGCCAACCCTTACAAATAATCAGAAATATTCTGTTTTTCTGGATTTTTAGGACCCCAAAATCCGGAATATTCTAATTTTTCAATTTTTTTCTTTAGTTGTGTGTGTTTTGTTGCTTATTAAAGCCAAATTAAGCTTGTTTTATCATGTGCCGGGATGTGAGAGTTCACGTATTGCGTGCATTGAATGGCTGCATGATTGAGCAGCGGATTTGTATTAGTTTTTGTGTACAGATTTACTGCATATTGCCAGTTACACTGCCGCTGCATGTGCGAACGCCTGTTAAGGGTACAGATATCTTATTTTTGAAGGCATACCGTACTAAAATTCCTAATTCTTATTTTCAAATGCTGGCAGGTATGTTAATGGAAAGGGGGAGGGGTAGTTAATGATAATAATAGTCTATATCAGCTTACACCTGTATTACCGACTAGTTGATTAATCGTCCAAAAAAATCACTGTGTAGACGACTGCCAAAAAGAGGCTTTCAAAACATGCCTACTCTAGTTACCTATCCCTCGCTCTTAAGTTCTGCAAGAGGTGTTTCTTACAATACAATGCATTTACCCTTTTTATTAATCTACTGCTTACTATAGTTCATTGCTAAAGTGATTTCTGCGAGAAATGTTACAAACCTTTTCACTTCTCGCTAGATTTCCATTTTGTAAACTTCATCTATCACAAGTGTTCTTAGATACTTCAATTCATCCTTGCTAGTTTACGGGTGGTTTCTTTGACTTCTGTTTTGATGCCAATTGTGTCAATTCTCATCAGGTTTTGCTTTGAATCTTTGATCTGAAAATGTTAGATTCTGTCTACCGGTAATCATTTTTGCCTAGGTATGTATATGTATGCTTACAATTCATTCCACTGAATTTACAGAAATCAAACTGTTTTTGATAATCTGCAGACATTACAGCACCAATCTTGACATCGTGTCCGTCTCCCATCACCGTCACTCGGACTGAAGCTTGGGGTGTACAAGTGTCATTTACTCCGCCTACTGCTACTGACTCTTTAGATGGTAGCAGCCTCATTGTCACAACGTCACCATCTGATCTGGCATCTCCATACAACCTGACTGAAGACACTACATTTATCTATACATTCTCTGATAATGCAGACAATCAGGTCAACTGCTTGTTTCCCATTTATGTTCAAGGTAAATAATTATGGACACGCAGGTTAATGAATAAAGGCTTACTTTATTTGGCTTTGGTACCTGTTCATAGTTTGCTGTGGTACAAATGACCCCCAAATAGTCACAGATCTTTCACACATGGAGAGGTCCCACTAATCACTGCCAAAGTGATGGAGGTGCTTTATGAATACCTTTTGTTTACCCTTGTGAGAAGAATACTTCCACTTGTGTTTCAGAGAATGTGCCCTCTGAGAATACATTGCAAATGAATAACAACTTACATGTAACTTTATTGAGCATGCAATCCTGTATTCATCTCAATGGGTTTTACAATTTTGGTACAAATGACCTTTGATCCGACTATCTGGCTCAATCATTAGAGCGTCCGCCTCACAACCGGGAGGTCGTGGGTTCGAACCCCGGCCGCGTCATACCAAAAGACGTTAAAAGATGGGAGTTGCTGCTACCTTGTTTGGCGTTGAACAATAAGGGATAGAGCAACGTCGATCTGGCGCTGCTCAGTGGCTGCCGGGCTTACGATCAATTGGGCAAAAAGAATTTCCATTTTCGGTTTAACTTAATAAAATTTGGAGTGGACTTTAAAAGATTATTATAAACGAACTGACTTATCTTGAGTAGGACATACCCCTATACAAATTTCAGTACGCTTACACGCGAGCTCGTCGGCGTGCTCGCCAACGAGTTCGTCGACGAGCACGCAGACGAACTCGCCAGCGAGCTCGTTTCGTTCCAAATATGCAAATTAGCTACGAGCTTGTCGGCGTGCTCGTTGGCGAGCTCGTTGACGTGCTCCAAATATGCAACCTCGTCACTGGCCGATAAGCTTGTTGGCGAGCTCGTGGCGTGCTCGTTGGCGAGCTCGTTGGCGTGCTCCAAATATGCAAGCTCGTCGGCGAAGTTCGTCAACGAGTTCGTCGGCGAGCTCGTCAACGAGTTCTTCGACAATCTCGTGGAAAAAATGGCTGCAAGCTTAATGGCGTGCTTAACAGCAGGTTGGCATTGAGAACAAATTTGTGTCTACATATAGAGGTGAACTTGATGATCCTGTTGAGCTATTGGCAAGCATATATATATATATTAATCTAACTTATCAACCTTTCAATATCCTGGTAACATCTGCAGGCTAGCCATGCAGGGAAAATTCAGTTGGCTAGCTGGTGAAGAATACAGTGATACTCTTAGGGCAATTTAAAAGCTCATTACTTCTGGGATATCAATCAATTAAATCACTAATATATCAAAGAACAGAAAGAAAAGATATAACATAAAATGTAACTTAAAACAAGTAGCTCTTTATTAGAGTCAATACAAACCCTGTATAATGCATGTTACCTGTATGCAGGGTTCACAACTTCACACAACAATATGAATGAATAAATGATATCCAAATTATATAATTACACTGTACAATGAAATTAAATATGTGAGTAATTACACTGTATAATACTCTGCCTTTGAAGAAATATTATTATCCATTTTGGTAATTATTCCATCATTCTAATCACTCATAATACTACAAAGATCCAAACTAATAAAGCGGTATTCGTACAATAACTATATAGCATCCCCCCTTCTTGTCAGTGTATTCACCAACCCAGGGTACCAAGTAATGATACATGTACATATACTATAGGATCTCTAGAACATCCCTTCTTTATAACCGCTAGCAAACTAGTATTCAGTATTCAGACAAAATGCATTCTTGTGCTCTCATGTTGCCTAAATGATAGGGTTTGTCAGTCAAGATACAGGAATATTTACATGAATATAACCTTATCACATAGATTATATCGAATGTTACTTTAATGAAGTGAATATACTATGTGCTGTAGAGAAACAAACTTCCCAAATATGAAAAGATATCTCACTAGAAAGAGAATAAATACTTTATCTCATTAATCATTACTCTACACTTCTCTTTCATAAATGTATAAGAGAGGTAGGCCTAACTGTTGGCCCATAAATACACAAGTAAAACATTTAATTATAAGGTGTGAGGAATTAGTTTTTCTCTTACCTAAAACAAAGGAGCTGCAATACCATTCAAAACCCATGTCTGCTCTCTACAACAGCAAGATGGAGAAAGACTTGACCAAATGGGCCTAACACATCAATGCATTCTTATCAGGAATGCTACCAGTGGTAATTCCACAAGAGAGAGTAAACAAGAAAGTGAGAGAGGAGAGAAGAGAGGAATAGGGATGTGTGTCTAAGCAGGGGGATCCTATGTACATAAGGAGAGAGCAAGATAGAAACAGGGAGTTGACCTCGAATCAAGCCCTGGGTGTGTGCGCTCTTATGTAATACCTGATAATGACATTTCAGGGTGTTAAATATATGATACAGTCAGAATAAATGGCAACCCCCCCCCTTCCCAAATCTGGTATGCTGCAAATAAATGTTTCAAAGTTTCAAAGTTTCAAAAGAATTTAATTAAATTTACAAGTAATTTGACAGGTTACTTCAGCATGAAAAAGCTATTGTTTCAATTTCAACACAAATTTTCTGAACTTTCAATGTAATTGCATATACAATGTATGTTCTGACAAAGAGGCTCAAAAATGTATCAAAATAATAAAGTATGCATTTGTTTACCTTAATTATTTCAGGTAAGAGATATATATTTTCAGATCAATATTTTTTATTAAAACAAAATTACATAAAAAGGATGCTGGTGGAGACAAGAAACTAGGAAGTAGGAACTCATTTTCCTTGGCCCAAGACATTTTAAAAATACATGTACATATATTAATAGAATAAATAAAAGAAATTGGCATCCTGAAGGGAACTTTAAAATACATTACATGTATACCGTGTGAGTCAAAAAAAGTTTACACCTAGAAAATTGCTAATTATTCTAAAAATCATCTATGAACAGTAAATTATTATACATCCCATGTGGTATGTGTTCACGCTTGGATGAACTGGAGGCATTGTTTGTGAAAGTGCGAAAATTGACTTGCGCCAAAGTAATGCCTACAGTATGTATTATGTTGGGATCAGCGGAGTGAGAGAATAAATTGAATGTATCAAATGAAATGCATTGCATATGTTTTTTGCAGAAGCAAAGTCACACGCAAACACACTAACAATGTTCGTTGATATTTTATATTCGATTTTTGATATGTGTGGCATGATTAATTTTGTTCAGAATGTTATGTTGATCTGTAATGACTGAAATAATACCCATATCGCAATTGTTTTATTCAAACATCACATTAGCAACTTTGGCGCAAGTCGATTTTTGCACTCGCATACAATGCCTCCTGTTCATCCAAGCGTGAACACATACCACACAAAAATGATACTAAATGATTCAAGATAAAGCACTCTTTCATAGAATGTATAATAATTTACTGTTCACAGATAATTTCTAAAATAATGAGCAATTTTCTAGGTGTAAATTTTTTTTTGACTCACACTGTATACCCAACTGTTTTCCTGGGAGCTAGATCACCTGTTTACCAGCGAGATTGTGGCGAGCTCTGGGGAGCTCGCCACGAGCTCCTCAGTTTAACCCCGAGCTCGCCACGAACTCCCCCTTTTACCCACGAGCCACGAGCTCGCCACGAGCTCCCCAGTTTAACCCCGAGCTCGCCACGAACTCCCCCTTTTACCTGCGAGTTCGCCACGAGCTCGTGGCGAACTCGTGCACGAGCTCGCCAAGATTTTGTTAGATCGTTACAAGCGTCCTGGAAGCATGTTACGAGCTTAAAGCCTAAAAAACGAACTTATTAAGCTTACCACGAGCATAATACGAGTTCGCGACGAACTTAAATTTGTATAGGGGTAGGATCAAAAGGAAGTACAGTGGTTGGATATCCATATAATTGTGATACAAACAATATAGGCATGTTGGCACTCTTGCTCATTAGACCTACATGTTTGTATTACTCAATCATCAGTATCATAATGATTGATCGCATGACGAATTGTATGAAAAAAATTACAAACTTGTTATCTATACACATCGTGTACTTGATATCTGCTTTAATTTTTACCTCTTGAAAATAAAGGATTAAAGATACGCTTTTCACTAATTTCCTTCTTTATAAAAAAAAAAATTGCAGATGAGCTTTCCCCAGTTCTGGTGTCTTGTCCTAACAACACCCAAGTCTCCACCAGCCAACAAGAAACAGAGGTCACATGGGATCCACCTGTATTCCTTGAACCTACGGGGGATCCACTTGACATTTCATGTAACTATAACAACGGCATGGCCACCTTAGCCATCAACAAGAACCACTTAATAGAATGCAGGGCTACAAACCAAGACAACGGCAAGACGACTACTTGCAGCTTCATTATAAGTGTCAAAAGTAAGTTATTCAATGATATGTTTATGCTTCTGTCTTGAATTGTCATTTGCCATTGAGTGTGTATGATACAACTTGCCCTTGTCTTTAAGGTAAAACAAATTTTTCGTATGGGGTCATGCATTTGGTTCAAATGAACATATTGGACGCATATGCGGTCCTACAATATTCAGTGATCGTTGTCGCGGTTGAAATCTAGTCTAAATCTAGTCTAAAGGCTTCTAAGGCCCCCCTATGATCTCGGCCGTGAAACGACCGATCGCCGCGAAAATTTGCATACATGTCAAGTGAAGTGTATAGAATAATATGGTAATTTCAATTTTTGAAAAATGCACTCATTTGCATATTTATGGTAATTTATGCAAATAAGGTCATCAAATTCACATTTTTGCCTATAAATCAAACATTCATATTTAAGCATTCTTTCTCACTACATATATTTGTTAGACCATTTGGAATAATAATACATCACAAAAAATTGAATTCCTTATGTTATCTATTGTTTTGATAATTTCTTATGTATTTCTTTGTTTTTTTAACTTATGTACGTGTATTTCATTGTTTTTGTTGTTTTATTTCATTTCCAACTATAATTCAACCATTTTGACCCCAAAATAAACACCTAAACTATAAACATGACCAAATAACCAATGTTTTATCTCTTTATTTGAAAAAATGAGATTTCCTTATGTTTCGTACACAAATCACAAAAATGATCGATTTTTGGGCTAACATGCAAAGACAAAAGGACACGTGACTTTGTAATGATAGGTCCGATTCTTGAAAAATTTCTTTCAAAAGATGCGCAGGACTCGAAAGAAAAAAGTCTTAATAATTCAGTGCAAAATTTTCTTGCATTAAAAAATTATCGCGAAAAATGTCGAGGGGGGGCTTCTAAAGCCCCCCCCCCCCCCCCCCGGGCTAAATAGGGTTAAATAGCTGTCAGTGTGAAATTTTCTCAACTCATTTTAGCGTTAATATATACATACTAGAAGGTTGAATAAGAATTTTGAGTCTGTACAAGAAATGTAGAAATGTGAAATAGGCTAAACTTAAACTAACATTGAAGTACAGTTGTTTTAATTTTTACAATTTTTTAAGGGACAGAAATATCCTCAAATTCTGTTATGGGAAGGACAAATATTTATAATTTTATCCTAGTAATTGCCTGCTTTTTTTTTTACTAGGTATTTCCTGCCCAGGCTTGGATCCCCCACTAAATGGAGCTTTGGTCTGTGATGGATGGAGTGATGGAATATTTTGCAGTATGTTATGCAGAGAAGATTTTTACATTCCCGACACACAACCCAAAATCCCTTCACAGTATGTGTGTGGATTATCAGGAAAGTGGGCGCCTCATAATGACACAGCTGACTGTTCTGGTAAGTGTAATTTAGATTTTGACATGTTAAAATATATTTCTGAAGAAGAAATAAGGCCCTTATTTAGTTGACGTAATGGATTAATTGTATTATTTGTCACAATTTAATGGACAATCCAACCAATCCGACTGTCTAATGGTTAAATGAATGTACCCATTCGAGCATGAAAGTTCAAAGCTTGATCTTAATTGATGTTGGTAGAGTATTAATTTATCTTTAATTTGATATTTCTATGGAAATTTGAACAATAAAGAGCATCTACTATTTTTTTGCTGATTATTTATTGAGGGATTATTATCTACGCTTTCCTTTTTAAAAATTTTTGTCTTAAAGAATCAGTGGAAGGGAAGAGGTACAGTCTCCCAAGTGAATTATTCTACTTCAGTGGTTCATGTGGCACAAACGAGACACAGTTAGCCATCGCTGCAGCATTCCTTGAAGCATTCCGATCTTCAGACTTTAGTGACAGCTGCACTGTAGATGATGAATGCACAGTGAATAATGTACAAGTGACATGCGGTCCTGCTTCGAGCCGTCGGAGGCGCAAACGTAGAAGTAGACGAAGGCAGATGGACATACCTGTAGACCTTGGCATATTGGAGGAGCATTTGCATTCTGGACATTCTTACTCTAAAATACATAAGAGATCAGCTCTTGATTTTGAGTGCGTATTTTTATAGTCTCTCTTGATAAAATTTACAACAATCTTTTGGAGGGTTATATAGCATGCTATTTTGTATGTAAGGGATAAAGTTGTGTTCTTTTTTCCTTGTGTAAAGCACAATAAAATTGTTTAAAAGAATTGTGCGATATTTGCGGAGTTTACAGAAACACTGATAACTCTGCATAACTCGCAGTTGCACAATTTTTTTCTTCTTCTAAACCAAGCTATGTGAAACACGTGTTATATACACTTCCCAAGGCCAATTTTGCATAAGTTCAACTATTTTTGCAGTCCCGACAGATTCAACTTGTGGAGAGTTAACTGTATGGAGTAGTTACAGTTGCTCTATCCCAAAGAAGAAATTGTGAAAATCTATATTATGATCTCTCCCTTTACAACATCACTTATGCATTAGCATAAACTGTCAGTGGACTGTTCTTAAAAATGATTATGACTTTTCTTACATTACCATACCAAACACATACTCTAAGTAGTTTTATGATCTTTTGAGGTGCAGTGTGGATTTGATACATTTTTATTCAAAATTTGTTTCCTTCAGAATCGTCATCGGATTTAACGTTGAATCTAATGTGATCGTGGGCGAAGGTCAGACGGACTTTGATGCAGCACTAGATGCAGAGGAAAAAATGATTGGTCTTGTCGAGACTCTCATTGAGGGTGGTCAGTTGGACCTGAGTTCTAGAGTAGATGATTTCACTGCTGTACTGAATGAGAGCTCTTTCAACTATGAATTAGTGGAATTGGTTTGCGTCCCTCCCTATACAACTAACAACGACGTCTATCGCTGTGGTAAGATGTCATGTAACAAATGTATGTGCAAAACTTAAAAGAAAATACAACTTCTTAACCAAGTTAACATTACTCTTTAATCCTAGAAAGGCAGGAATATTTTTTTTTTTATTTTGGCCTCAGGTGGAAGTAAGAATGGGGCTTCCCTTCTCCCTAGGATCGTGGCCATATACATGCATGTGTAGATGGGGCTTTGCATTATTATCACAAATTTATTATACACATATTGACCTTTTTGCATTGTGTACAATACATACAGGTATAGAGAATTTTTATTTTGGCTGCCCATTTCATGGTTTTTATTTTGCGCAGTACTTGTTGGCTAAAGTTTCATAAATTTTGCATATCAATAGATAGCATACAGATAATGAATGCATATGAGTCCAAAATTGTGAATATTTTCATGAGTTGAAAGATTAACGTTCTATTCAGCTCGGCTAACGCCTCGTTGAATAGAATTAATGTTAATCTTTCAACGAATGAAAATATTGGCACTATTGAACAAATGTAAAACATTCATTATTTGTTTTATACAACATCGAAGTAGATCTAATAGAACATTAATCTTTCAACAAATTATGCTGTGCTTCTTATATTAAAGTTGGAGTCAGGCCTTCTCGATTACCTTCAAATTGCCTTCGAGCTTCATGTCAGATGCGCGCAGCTAATATAACAATGGGATACGTGCAGGGCAGAGAGGTACGCAGTCTGCATATAACCAAAAATGCATGCTTGTTGAATAGTACTACGTCGAATAGTGCATGCCCGTGCAATAGCGTATCTATTGAATATCATGCGACCAACAATCCTCCAATCAAATGACAAGGATCTACTTGGGTGTTGTATAATATATGTTAATTAAAGCTACATGTAGCACAAAGTCATGGAAGCTTGCAGTGCAAATAACAACCTCAATTATAATATGGCACACGTTGAGGGAGGTGGATTTTCTTTCCATCCCCCAGTATGCTTAGGGTAAACCCCTGGTTCAGTAAAATCATGTATATATGCATGTAATAATTTCATACCCTTAGGTTTAAGTCTCTCACCATGGCTATATATAGGCAATCATCACATGCCCATTATCAAATACAGTACATGTACATTTGCAGTTAACAACTAAGTATACACACCTTCCATATCATGGCTTGACCATGCACGCTTAATAACGCTACGGTACATTGTACAGAAACGTTTTAAGAACTGAAAAAACAAGCGTACCGGAAAAATCCACTTCTGGAGATGGATACGCTATATGTTCCATTAGAGTTAGCATCATGATGGGATTAAGGTGGGTTTCTAAAGCAGCATACACGTGATATACTTACGTTTCTATTATTTACTCTTTTAACTCTCCTGTTGATCCAGAAGTTGTAAATCAACAGAGTAGGAAAAAACATGGTGTGCCATTGTTTTTAATTTAACCAAAATACATGTGCATTTGATTAGAAAATAAATGGGTTTTCTGGCTACTAATCACTATACTGCTACCTTTTTTTAGTATACTGTAATCTTTCTTTATAATATGCTTACTCCTAAAATCCATATTTATTCTCTGTTCAATTATGTAGTACCATGTGGAAGGGGTTTCTACTATGGCAATGAAACTCAGGAATGTATCCAGTGTGAATTAGGGACCTATCAAGACACACATGGACAGTTCACATGTCACCAGTGCACGGAAGGACAATCTACTATTGGAGTTGGATCCAAGAATGTGACCCAGTGCATAGGTACGAACATTCACTGAATTTGTAATTGTAAATGCTCAATTTTAATGGAAAATATTCATGGAATACGGAGCTGAGATTTCCTATATTATTTGAATGGGATCAGCGAAATCTTTGGGTCTTTTACTGACATATTTCTTTTCAAATTGATACATATGGATTATTTTGTAATTCTATATTGTTTAATGTTCCACTTGAGGAGGGAAAAAAAACACTACATTATTATAAGTAAAGTCTCTTGCTATTTTAAGGAAGATCAGCATCCATTGGCCAAAACTATACATGTGCTTCAAGGAAGCTTCAAGGAAATAAGCCAAAAGATTTTCCACCAAACGGTTGTTTTAAATCTACATGTATCAGCATTGTAAAATCGGAAAATACATGCAAATCTTTTTGGTTTTTCTTTAGATAAGTGTACACTTTTAGGTAGAGGAGTTGCTTGGTTCAATCAAGAAAGTCTGGTGCTTAATTTTTGTCCAGAACCCATTTATTGCAATACACATTTTCTCAATTCATCCTTTCTCATCAAGACATCTGCCAGCCTGGTTATAGTTCGTTCACCGGTCTAGCACCATGCAACCATTGCCCAATAGGAAGCTATCAAGAGGAATTCTTTGCTACAGAATGTACCAGCTGCCCTGTTGGCATGACAACACTAAACAAAGGCTCTACTTCATCTCTTGAATGTATTGGTAAGTACATGTATTTTTGACTTAGAGCCATTTGCTTTTAAAAAATAAATTAAACGCCTTGAATTTGTAAAATTTCTGAAATTTATTTCTAGATTATCTTATGTCTGTATGTAAATATGCATTTTGTGATTTTATCAATTGTTTTCCTTTTAATTATCTGTGCAATAAACATATTTTGTTACCTTACCATGTGTTTGGAAGAACTGGTATTGGTATTGGCTTTTAGTCTCATGACAACCCAGCAATTGTTTCAGGCTCTAATTTGCCACCGATGGATAATTCTAAGCCAGGGGTTTCATTTGGTTTTTGTTAATTGCCTGTGTAGCTGGAGCAACACATGTACAGGCAGGGGTGGCCCTACGGGGGGGGGGGGGGGGGGGGGGGGGTGGCGACTGCCCCCCTAAGATTTTTCAAGTGATCAACAACAAAAAAGAGGGAAAAAAAGAAGAAAGAAGAGTATGGGGAAAGAGAGTGCTGGGTCATGCAACTAAATACCCCTATTAAGTAGAAATGCGTCAACGAGACGTCTTCTTTCTCTCAAAATTTGATGGAACATTAAATATCCCTCCTTGCATCACCCCAAACCCCTGCTTTGCATGCTCACTATGGCAAACAAATGTGAACATAATTGTTATTAGACTCAATGAAATTCAAATTACTATCAAAAGCTGTCTTCTTTTTCTTATTTTTGACAAAACTTTAAATTTTTCTGCTTTGCACGGGAGGGGTGAAACTCTCACCTTCATACACCCACCCACTACCCTGCTTTGTGTGCTTACTATTGGCCTAATGGCTTTATTTCTCGAACTCAAGATCCTGGATCAAACCATGGAGCCTGCATCGAATAAGAGTCGTTGAAGCTGTAATAATAATAATAATACATAACATTTATTAGGCGCTTAATACGGGTGTTTCTAAGCGCACCATTGTCTGACCTAAAATTTCCAACTAAATAAACACAAAAAATATAAATTTGTTCTTTATTCAATAAATCATGCATATATAATAACAACAATTAAAATGAGATCAAACATAAGGTCAAACATAAGATCAAACAAAAGATCAAACAAACAAAGGATAAGATGGTGTGCACCTCCTTTGACCGACTCACAACTGCAGAATAGCATTCATGAATTAAAAAGGTGCGTTTTCAGCAAGGACTTAAACTGGTCAAGTCAGGTAGTTTATTCCAAAGGATAGGGGCATTTACTGAAAAAGCTTGATCGCCATATTTTGAAACAGAACAGGGTCCAAGGGTTAACTGCAAGGTTGATGATGATCGAAGAGGTCTTAAAGAACTAGATGACTGTAAGGAAATCAAATTTGAAAGATATTTAGGGGCTTGGCCATGGAGAATTTTGTATGTCAGAAGAAGAACTATAAGACATTCTCTCAAAATTTAATGAAATGCCAAAGCTTCAGCGCTTTGCGCAGGAGAAGGAAGCTCTATCGATTCCTCCCTGCACCCATGCTCACTAATCATAATGGCTCACTTTTTTTCTTGCAATCAATTACCTTTATCATAGAGAAGCCGGCATCGAATTAAAGACCAAATTACTGCGATATGTCTTCCTCCTCTCAAAATATTGCTGAATAAACGTCACAGTTTCTGCGCTTCTCCTGGGAGGGGGGAAACTTCCTCCTCCCTGCATGCACCCACCTCCTCCCCATTATTTCACACAATTTTTCAAGTTTCTACATCATAAAAATCCGGCATTAAATTAGAGTCGAAAGTATACCATGAGATGTCTTATTTCTCTCAAAATTTGATGAAACTGCAAAGCTTCCGTGCTTCGCGAGGGAGTAGGAAGCTCTATCTATTCTCTTTGCACTGACTCCTCCCCCACTTTATATGTTCATTATAGCTTTAAATTATTGCTCGCAATCATTCAGTTCCTTCGTCGTATCGAATTAGAGTCGGTAGTACTATGAGACGTCTTAGTTTCTATCAAAATTTGCTGAAACGTCAAAACCTCCCTGCACCCACCGTTAGGGTGGACACTACCGCCCCCTGAAATGAAATGACCCTATGCACAGGTGTCTTGCCCCCCCCCCCCCTAACAAAAATAACTTTCTGTTTTTCTGCAATCGTTCTTCATTTATCATTTCTAATGTAATTCTTATCAAGTACTTCACTAAATAGCTGCACATGCAGTTATTTTCTGGCAAATTTGCCAGTCATGATCAAATCATAGCCTACGTAACTCTTAGAAGAGAACGTTTGTGGACTTATGTCCTTCACACTCCTTATCATTTTTCCTAAATATTGTAAGGTGAATTTATTTTCAGTTGATTAAATATATTCTGTCTTTACACAAGTTATCCATTTTAATAGGTGATTGGTACTCTTTAAGGCTCTTAGATATTTGAAGTACAGACTCGACAATTCATTTCAAGAAGATCAATGGTTAAATAAACATCCTCTTTATTTGTGCATCAATGTTACAATCCAATCTTGCCAAATACAAGCCAAATTATATTTGTGTGATCCTTTTTGTATACATTGTGCAGAGTTTTGTGCAGCCGGAGAGTACTCTTCATCAGGCTTTGGCCCTTGCATGGCATGTCCGCTTGGTACTTATCAGAGTGGAACTCAGCGAAGTACATGTCATCAATGTCCGGGTGAGACTACAACACTGCAGACAGGTTCTACTGATGCATCTATGTGTGCTGGTAAGGACTGCTTGAAAACATCTTCTAAGTAATAAATGCACATTGAATGTTAAACGGACTTCATTTTCACAAAATGGAAGGTACCCTTGGCGTAAGATTATCCAAACACCAACTTGAGTGACCTTAATCTAATGGATCCTCAGTCACCTGCAGTGCAGGTACATGTTGTGGTATTATGATAAAAGTGATACACCCCTCTATTTGGCTTGTGCATTTTTTAATTTTTTAATTTTTTTTTTTAACTTGAAAATTAGCGTATTTGCTTGGAAAGTTACTTCGTGTGTAATTGCCCATGCATGCCTATTCATCGTAATCTGAGTAAATGGCAGGTTGATGTGAAGTGAGGTTTTTCTTAGTTTTATTGGATCCCCCGGTGTATCTTGGTATAATCTGCACACCTATAACTTGTGGTAATGCTGCCCCCAGTGTTCCGTCTTCTATAGGGTAAAAGGCCACATTTTTTGGGATGGTTTATGTGCGCTCTATAGGCCACATTTTTGAAGGGATTCTATTCAAATTTTAAACGAAGGTGTATCTTGGTATAATCTACAAGCCTTTAGATTTCGGTAATGCTGCCTCCAGTGTTCCGTCTTTTATAGGGTCAAAGGTCATATCTTGATAGATGTCTTGTGTGCACTCTACCGTGTGAGTCAAAAAAAAGTTTACACCTGGAAAATTGCTTATTATTTAAAAAATCATCAATGAACAGTAAATTATTATATAAGTGTTTCATCCCAGATCATTTAGTATCATTTTGGTTTGGTATGTGTTAATGCTTGAGTGAACAGGAGGCATTGTTTGCAAGAGTGCAAAAATCGACTTGCGATGTTTGATCCATTCAAATTTCTTTAAACACTATTCTATATTCGTGTTAATACTAAATAATTTGGGATAAAACACTTTTTCATAAGATGTATGATAATTTACTGTTCATAGATGATTTTTAAAATAATTTGTGATTTTCTAGGTGTAAACTTTTTTTTGACTCACAGTGTAGTGTGCGGTCTAACTGCATCATTTCTTAACAGATTTCTTTCAAAATGAGTATGGAAGTGTATTTTGGTAAAATCTATGCAACTATAGTTTTTTGATGATGCTGCCACCAGTGTCCCATGTTTTATAGGGTCAAAGGTCATATTTTGGTGGGTGTCTAGTCTGCGCTTTGCAGGACATATTTCATGACGGATTTCTTTCAAATTTTGTATGGAGATGTATCTTGGTACAATATACACATCTAATTTTTGGTCAATGCTGCCCTCATTGTTCCGTCTCTTATATGGTCAAAGGTTATATGTCTTTTATGTGCTTTAACTGCCTCATTTCTTTCAAATTTTCTACAGAGATACATTATACTCTAATCTACACACATATTGTTTTTGTGATGCTGCTCCTAGTCTTGACAATAGTCCAAGCCACTAGTTGCAACCTCTCTACGCCATCCTTATGTTTCAAGGAGGGGAGAGGTGATCTTTGTACCTCCTTCGAACATAAGAATGACACAAAATCGCTGTCACTGTCGGGGTATACATTCACATTGCACGGCAATACGGATTGCGATATTTCTAGTTTCATATATTTTGGCATTACAATTTTTTTTAAGGTGATCGACGCTCTAAAGGGTCATAGGTTTTCATTTTAATATTATACAATGTATCATTTCCATTACTTTCTGCATTGATATTTACAGATATTGATGAATGTGAGAACCAGCCGTGCCAAAATGATGCAAGCTGCCTTGATGGAATTAACTCCTTCACATGTATCTGTGGATTAGGATATACAGGGTCTACGTGTGGTGATCAGATTCTACCGTGTGACTCCGATCCCTGCCTCAATGGAGCGTCTTGTGTGGATGAAGTCAATCAGTTTACATGCATGTGTGCTCCAGGATATACAGGTATACTAATGATGTTCATCATTTTCAACAAGTCAAAATTGTACAAATTTCAGTTTAAGACAAATGAATTGTCTTTTCGTCACCTACGTAGTCATCTTTTATTGTATGTTGACCTTCCAACAAATTTAATAACCTTTTGCATTTTAAGATTCTTGTATCCCCTTTTTTAATCAAATCTATTGTTTACCTGTTCACTTTAATATCCTTCGAACATTTCTTTCATTTCTTCCTATAAATGAATTGTTCTCTCTATCTTCAGATATTAAGCAAATAATTACTGTTGGTGAAGGTGATGGGACAAACTATAACTTCCGAGGCGATCTGGATGTAGCTATCTTTCTGAAGCAAAGCTGAGGAAAGATGGCGTATATATTCAGATCGCTGAGGAAGTGATAGTTTGCCATCGCCATAAGGTGATTATTTGCTTTATATTCCACATTGGAAATATTTCACTTCTGTCATTTTAAAGCAACAAGTCATCAATTAACAGCTAGCTAATGGTGTATAATACGTGCAGTGTATGCAGTATGGTGGTGTGACCATAATTTGCGCGTGACTAAAGTGTGTGTACTTACACTAAAAGCGCTTAAAGAGGAGAGCAATACGCAGCATACAGAATTAAAGTGCGTTGCACTGTGTAGATAGTACTTCTATCTTCAGTGAAAGTGAACCTTTTGGTTCTCTCATCAATGATAGGCGAACTATCTTTCATCACATGATTTACTTTTGACCAATCATAGAGCAAGATTCTTAGTATGTGGAATATAATAATTTATACATTAATCTTTTTGTGCATTCCCTGTGTTCAGTGCTCTATGTCAACCACAGCTAAGACTCTTTTTTTTTCTCTCCAATGTTGACAGGCTCCCTGTGTGAGGAAGAAATTGACTATTGTGATCTATCACCATGCATGAACAGTGCAACCTGTACGAATAGCATTGGCGATTTTGAGTGCTCTTGTCTCTTTGGCTTTGGTGGAAAAACTTGCTCAGAGGACATAGATCATTGTCTTGATAATGCATGTGAGAATGGTGCAACCTGCTTAGTCTCTGAACTGTCATTAGGTGGATACACCTGTCAGTGTGAAGAGGGATATATAGGAGTGAAATGTTCTAGTAACATTGATGATTGTAAGAGCAGTCCTTGCTTAAACGATGGTAATTGCACTGATGGCATCAACAGTTTCACCTGCTCATGTACAACGGGATACAACGGTTTTATATGCGACAATGACATTGACTTGTGTGCTGATTGGAACTGCCAAAATGGTGGCACTTGCAAAGATCTTGGAAATAGAGCAGTCTGTGCGTGTCCTGAGGCTTATGCCGGACAGTTTTGTGATGAAGTCAGGACAGCATGCAGTGACTCTCCCTGCATAAATGGAGGCACCTGTACAGCTGTTGATGATACCACCTTGGCCTTTGACTGCATCTGTACCGAGGGATACATTGGACAGACCTGTGAGACAGAGGTCAACTTCTGTCAGCCAAATCCTTGTAGGAATGGAGCTATCTGTGAGGATCAACCTACAACTTACATCTGCCACTGCCCTGACGGATATGAAGGTATGTGATTTCAATTGCCACCAACAGTCCTACCTGAAGCAAATTTTGTAAACACTCTCCATTTTTGCAGTTTCACCCCATCTAAGAAGTAGTAGATGTAGGTGCACATCTCCTTGAAATATGTGGCAAGTTCAGTTTGTTTTATATTTTGTATAATTTTCGAATTGTGTTGTCTTTTTTTATTGTTGTTTCTTTCAGGATGGAAATATAGATATATATATATATATATATCTACATATATAAAAACCTTAATGTATAAATATACATTCAATATTTTCTATTCAATATGTTTTGTTGTAAGCACCTTAAGTGTATTGTGTTGGTACTGTGTTGTCTTTTTTTATTGTTGTTTCTTTCAGGATGGAAATGTAGATATATATATATATATATCTACATATATAAACCTTAAAGGTAAAGACCAGTTATGGTCATGCGATTGCATTGTGAAAGAAACGTTGTGGAATCGATCAGAAAAGGTTGATCATCTAGCATCTAGCATCTGCAAGGTTTTGGAATCATGAAAATGATAAGAAATTTGGCCCATTCTTCGTAAAGTTACAAGCACTATACACAGAAAGATGTATATGGGACTACCCTATATCTCTCACAGACCATGAGAGAAACAAATATACCAAATATATGAATTAGTAGGCGGTCTCCAGGCAAATTTTTTATCATCATGTATTAGTCAAAACATATTCTTTCACATAATTGGTAATGAGAGCTTCCATTTCATTTTTTGAAATTGGGGCGTTTCCAATACTGGTCTTTATGTTTAATGTATAAATATACATTCAATATTTTCTATTCAATATGTTTATTTTTAAGCACCTTGAGCACCCTCTCTGGGTGGATATGCTTTGTATTTCAAGTATCCACAACACTTCTTTGTTAAAGGTACAAACTGAAGAAGAAAAAAACATCATTGTCATGACCAACAAGATTCTTTGGCACACTGGTAATAGAGCGTTGAGATGTCATGTTATATAAATTTTAGATCTGGATCTATACTAGTACATATTGTGTTAGGAGGTTCCTTTCCTTTTTTTAGGGGAAACCTGTACTGAGGAGATAAGATGGTGTGATAGCAATCCATGTGGATCGGAATCAACCTGCATAGAAGAACCCCTTTCCTTCAGATGCCTGTGTGATGTAGGTTACTTTGGAGAGAGATGTGAAGAGGTGTTGACTGTCTGTGATGCCCAAGACCCTTGTCTCAATGGAGCTACATGTAACGGAGACTCTCTTACATTTCAATGCCAGTGCCCAGCAGCATATCAAGGTGATTATAATTGGTATTGAGTTTATCCAAGAGGTAGAAAATAATGTTCATATAATGGACAAAGATAACTTGTGGAGATTTAAGCTGTAATGATCATCTAATCTAACTGATTATTGGTGCAGATAAAACTCTGATACAACATCCTTTTTTTCAATTGTTTACGATATGTTTAGTAAAATGTGTCACTTAAAGATAACCCTCGTGTAATCATATGCTTTTGTAAACATGTTAATTCAGATACCCTAATTTATATATAAACCTATGAACTGGGACCTACATAATACAAGCTTTGCTTTTTAGTAGATACCCCACTTTATTGATTGATTAATATGTTTGTATTCTCTGTTATAACTATTATCATGTACATTATGTTTTCTACATTGTATGTTTAGTTATAATAATTACCATTGTTCATTATGTTCAATTATGTTATCTTTGATAAAGTGAAATAAATAAACTTGAAACTTGAAACATAAAAAAAAAAAAAAGGTTGAGGTTGAAAAAACTTAGAAATAATAAGAATTCTGTAAAATAATATATTTCTTCTTTTGAAATAATGTTTTTAAGCTACTTATAAAACTTGCATAAATATTTTTATCTCCAAGATCTTCCTTTACTTGATTATCAATCTGCATGTAAATTTATGCATATATTTGGCATAAATTATGGTATTAGATGGAAAAAGATTTACATAATAATGATGATGTAATTGTGTTCTTCACCCCATTTTCAAGGTCTATGCAAAATTTTGCGGCGATCGGTCGTGGCACGGCCATGTCTCTTGCTTTAAGCTATGGTCACAACTCAAAGCTGCGACCGACCGATTAGTAGCCTTCTCCGTCGCCACTGAAATTTAGGCATCACCCAACGCTTTTTTGTAGAAGTCGAGCAGCCTGTAGAGCCCCAGCGATGCCTGGGCGGTGCCCTGTCGATTTCCAGTCGGTCGCCGATCGATTTTAGGTTAAAACTAGGCGAAATTGGGGAGCTTCTCCGGGTGGCGTCCCGGCAGTGACCGACCGATGACCGACCTAATCGAGCGTTCGCCGTCGAGCGATGTACGTCAAAAATCGAAGCCGCTAGGTTAAAGGCTGTCGACCGATTTTGAACTCCCCGCCCAGTGACCAACTGATCTTCCAGCAGCGACCGTTCTGCAGGCTTTGACCCAGCGGCTTCGATTTATGACCTAAATCGCTCGACGGCGAACGCTCACCGAGTGGCGGCCACCAGGGCACCGAGCGTATTTTGGGCGGAGAGTGAACAGTGAGCAGGCGCCGCCAAATTTTAACTCCATGCAAAAACTTCAGCGGCGATCGAGCGATGCCCTAAAAACAAGCGGTGCCTGGGCAGCCGCCCCTCGGTCTCCGGGCGAAATTGGCTAAAAACCTGCTGACTGGCCGCCAAGCAGACGTACCATATTCAAGGATTTTGATATTTATGTAACCTCTTGTTCCCGCTCTCTACGAAACAGGGTTGTTATGCGAGCATGAGATCAACCCCTGTGCTTCTTCACCCTGTCTAAATGGAGGTTCCTGTGTGAAAGATCTACAGTTTTATCGGTGTGACTGTACTGCAGGGTTTGAAGGAATACGCTGTGAAGTCGATCGGGATGAATGTGCAAGCGAGTAAGCTAATCCAAGTTTTCCAGACAATTATACACTAACAGAACACTCACACATAATCCTATGTGTGCTTCAGCCTTCACATTTATTGTTTGTGGTTCACATAACCTGTATCTTTATAAGGCCACAAATGTGTTCTTGTTAACCCTATTAAGCCCGGGGGGGGGGGGGGGGGGGGGCTTGAGAAGCCCCCCCCTCGACATTTTTCGCGATAATTTTTTAACGCAAGAAAATCTTGCACTGAAATTTTGTGACTTTTTTCTTTCGAGTCTTGCGCAACTTTTGAAAGAAATTTTTCGAAAATTGGACCTACCATTACAAAGGCACGTGTCCTTTTGTCTTCGCATGTCAGCCCGAAAATCGCTCATTTTTGTGATTTGTGTACAAAACATATGGAAATATCATTTTTCAAATAAAGAGGTAAAACATTGGTTATTTGGTCTTGTTTAGATTTTAGGTCTTTATTTTGGGGTCAAAATAGTTGAATTATAGTTGGAAATAAAATAAAACAACAAAAACAATAAAATACATAAGTTAAAAAAAAAAGAAATACGTAAGAAATTATCAAAACAATAGATAACATAAGGAATAACCCTGGTTTTTCAAATTTTTGTGTTGTATTATTATTCCAAATGGTCTAACAAATATATGTAGTGAGAAAGAATGCTTAAATATGAATAATGTCTGATTTATGGGCAAAAATGTGAATTTAATGACCTTATTTGCATAAATTACCATAAATATGCAAATGAGTGAATTTTTCAAAAAAATTGAAATTACCATAGTATTCTATACACTTCACTTGACATGTATGCAAATTTTCGCGGCGATCGGGCGTTTCACGGCCGAGATCATAGGGGGGGGGGGGGCCTTAGAAGCCCTAGCACTAGTATAAGCATAGGTACTAGCAAAAAAACAAGAACATTATTTAACTTACGTTAACAAAGACAAAGACAAAAACCTGATCAAACATTGCTAATATATCTACTGAGTAATAAGGTCTTATATCTCCTTTTAACAATATGTATTGATGGACTAGATTTAAAGTGTTCCAGATTTGGGCCCTTTGAAAAAATAGTTGTTTTTTTTATCTTTGTGTATCAAAAAGTGTATCAAAAAACAATCCTTCCCTCAGTGGGTGCCTACTGTTTTGTGCAAAATCTGATAAATATATATATAAAATGAATATTAGCATAATCAGATTAAACAAAAAAAATTGGCGACCGATTTTAAATCAAATCAAATCATTTATTTCCAAATTCCAACATCAATTAAAAACAATGTGTAAAAAACAGTCAATAGGCAATAAAAACATTATAAAACTATGACATAGATATCTGCACTTTCATACAAATAAAATAATCCCCATCTTTCCTGTCAATCAATAAGGTTGCTTTTTGTATAACCTTTTTGTTACACATAGAAAAAAAAGCCTTGATCAGTCCTCTTCTTCATGTTGGTTTAGAAACATGCACTGTGTTACATTTGTCAGATTCTCATGCATATTCTTTCTCTTCTTAAATAGGCCATGTGAGCATGGAGCATGTATTGATGGAATCAACGCTTTCTCCTGTGACTGTGAAGCTGGATACACTGGCCAATCATGCAGTGAAGACAAGTTTTGTGACGCCAACCCATGTCAGAATGGGGGATCTTGTGAAAACCTAAACACAAAATTCAGGTAATCTAAACATATTACAAGGGTCATTAGCATAGCATAACTGAGTTTAGAACATGTTCTGTCAATGTACTCTCTTCCCTATTATTTGTTTGGAGTGGCCCCCTTTTCTATAAACCTCAAGCTGCTAATGTCTTTGTTCTAATGAGCATCTTTAATCTAACTTGATAGTTTTATAAATCGTTTATTCCTTTCTATATTGTAGTTGCCGGTGTGCTCCAGGATTTCAGGGGAAAACATGCAGCAGGCAAATAGACTACTGTCGTCAAAAGCTATGCATAGATGAAAATACTGTAGGCTGTGAGAATTTAATCGATGATTACACATGTATGTGCAAGGATGGTTTCACTGGATTAATATGTGAGTCTGAGATCAACGAATGTGAGATGTCACCATCCCCTTGTCAGAATGATGGAAGGTGTATCAACCAATGGGGAACATTCATCTGCCAGTGTCAACTAGGCTTCACTGGTAATCTGTGTGAAGTAAGTATTCAATTAGTATTGATTCTATATAAATCAAGATTATGATTGCTTTAAAGGCATCGTTTAACATTGTTAAATCTGAGATGCATGACCCTATGTGTTATCAGTGTAAGTGATATGGTGTAATTTTGAAGCCCTAAATACATTGCACTTCAAAACAAACATGAAGTGCCTCACAAAAGTAAAAATCCTTGAGTGACTAGTTTTACCATACTTATTTTCCCCAATAGACTATAGTGTTATAAAAACCGTTTGGAAAACAAATTTTTGGATTTCAATTTCCAATCATAAATATATTGATAATCAGACAGACGATGGGGTTGTAAAAGCCATGGGATTCCTGACTGAACTAAAGGATTATAATTATCATTGCAGCATGAGCTAAATCCAGGATTTTGTTTCAGAATCTGAGACAGTTACCCAATCCCTTTAACCACTTGACTGCTATTGGCTTGAAATGGGTGCCTTTACCCACTGTGCTACAGCATTGTTGTACTGTACAGAAAATGTACACCGTACAAAAAAAAAAAAAAATTGGAAGAGCGCCATCTACTTTTCAAGACCTGTATAACATCATTGCAGTGCTAATTACACAGTAGGGCTAGGCATTATACAGTAATACATCCTTGAAAGTGCAGTGCACTAAGGACGTACATGTACGTGCTATGCACAGGCATGCGAGAGCGAGAACACGTACATGTATGTGGTACGCAGTCTAGTGGTTAATAGGAGGTCACACTTTAAGCCATCTGAAAAGAATAAAATCGCAATAAATGATTATTCTCCTTAGCATGCAAATATACGGTGTACATGTACTTGTGTTGTAATATAATGTTTATTATACATAGATCCCTAAAAAATTAATATGTGTATCAATATCTCACTGTTTAAAAGATAAACATTGCTGACTGCGTGAACCATGCCTGTGAAAACGGGGCATCCTGTATAGACGGCATCAATAGCTACAGCTGTCTTTGTAATGAAGGAAGATACGGGTCACGGTGCCAGCTGAAGTTAACACCATGTGATAACAACCCCTGCTACAATGGTGGTGTGTGCACTGTTAATCGAGATGGTTTCTCCTGTGAATGTCTGCCTGGCTTTGCAGGACCTTCCTGTGAAGTTGACATTGATGACTGTGTCAATCATCGCTGTGCTAGCGGCTCGACCTGTGAAGACCAGGTATTAACTTTAGTATATTCCACATACTAAGAATCTTGCTCTACGGTTGGTCAAAAGTAAATCATGGGATGAAAGATAGTTCGCCCATCATTGATCGGAAAAGAAAAGTGTAGATAGTACTACTATCTAAACAGTGCAACGCACTTTCACTGAAGGTAGAAGTACTATCTACACAGTGCAACACACTTTCTTGTAATATGTTGCGTATTACTCTCCTCTTTAAGCACTTTTAGTGGTCGAACTGTGGTCACACCACCATACTGCATGTATTATTGTTGGTATCGTCAAGGTTTGCTAGCTGTAAATTGATGACTTGTTGGTCTAAAATGACGGAAGAAATGAAATGTTACCGATGTGGAATATAAAGCAAATAATCACTGTACAGTATTTTGCATGCTCTCATAGTATAGGCCTACTGATCAGACTGTTGGAAGCGAATAATTCATAGAATAAAAATAAAAAGATATCACAAATTATGTTCAATTTTTAAAGTATATTTTTGTAATATAATATAATTGCATCAAACACATACAAATGAGTTGTTTGACATGAAGGTTTCATAGGTTTCATATTGTGTAAATTTCTTTCAACTTTTAATAATATAGTGGGACAGCTACCGCTGTATATGTCCACTGGGTGTTACTGGAGACTTCTGTGATCAGGAAATTGATGACTGTCTTTCTGGTCCTTGCCAGCATGGAGCGACTTGTATAGATGGAAGATCAAGATATACATGTGCCTGCTCAAGTGGTTAGTAAGAAATCGCAGTTCAGATCTCTGTGCCCACCCTCTACCAATATGCCACTAGTTTGATCAAAGCTTTCATGTTTTTTCGCACTAATACATCAGTTTGTTTTCACAGAGTTTTTTATGATACAAATGACTGAAGGCACATGAATTCTTATGACAATTTTGTTATTAGAATTGAACACCATTTGATAAAATGATTAACAAATATTGCCTCCACATTCACATTTCTTTCGACCAGGAGGCGTCTTTTTGTACCTAAATATATATAAATTGTAATTTTTAAACAGGCAGTGAAGCATATCAAAAATCTATTTGTGGTGACACACAAATTGACGAATACATACTGTTCATATTTTACGATTTCATTTGAAAGAGTCAATGTTTTGTGTTTAATTCTTTGAAGGATTCACAGGATACGTCTGTGAAGTTGACATCCTTGAATGCTTCTCTAACCCTTGTGTCAACTTTGGTACATGCATAGAAGGAACTGATAGGTTTGATTGCCAATGCGCAGAAGGTTATCGGTAAGAACTGTAGATATATCAATAAGAGTACTGTATAAGATTATTCTGGTTTTGAATAAATGCTGGAATGCCCGTAATGTAGGGAAATACTACACGTAAATAGCGATGTGACAATATACAGCTGAATTAGGGGAGAAGAGATGTTTATTAAATTCTAAAGAAATAATGAATAATGGTAATAATTATCGCTTCTCATGAAGTGCTTAGGTCTGTCAAACGCAATGTTATACATAACATATAAAAAAAGAAAGTACAACAATATACAACTTGATTTTAAGCAAAAGTATTGTAACAGTTTTCAAAATAAAGATGAAGATTTGAGGGGAAGGCAGTTGAAGACGATACAACTACAGGTAACTGATATTTAGCATTGCATACTGTGTGTTTTGTCAGTTCTTCCATTTGTTGTTATCATGTTTGTTTATTATATATTTCAGTGGTACAAACTGTGAAGAGCTTGTAAGTTCGTGTGTTTCCAGCCCATGCAAGAATGATGGCACCTGCACAGACAGCTTCATGCAGTATATCTGTACTTGTCATCCTAGCTATACGGGGGACGAATGTGAAACAGGTATTAGGTTTCTAGTATCTTACTGTATTTTTTTCCATTCGTCTGATCTACAGGACTACTGTATGTTCATGTTCATGGGTATCAAATTAGTAAACATTTTTCAGTATATATACATATATATATATATATCAGTTCTGACTCAAACTTAATGCAGTGACATTCTTAAACAACTAGTTTTTTTGTTTATGACAGTAAATTATTAAAGACCGTGAACAATGAATAAACGTTTTACTTAACCTGCACACTATTGTATAAAGACAATGAAAGCCCTTTCCCTGTAATTGTGACACATATACTTTGTGCTACCTTTATTCCCCAGTTATTCCTGATAATTACGATCTCAAACTGGTTCCTGAGATATCTTCCATTGTGTTTTCTGCTGATGTGAGCACCGAATTGCAGAATGTATCTGTTTCTCTCTGGGTGAAGGCAGATATGACATCATCTGACAAGCAGCTCATTCAATTTGGGATGGGTAATCTTCAGTTTGGCATTTACAATCCTTGCAGTCTTTTTTTCAAAGAAGCTGGGTGAGTGAATCTGTTTAGTTTTGATTCAACATTACCCAGAATATGGTTGAGAATTATGAAGTAAGAATTTTCATTGATCATAGAGCACTTATTTATTTTTATTCCCCTCCCCCTTCCACATAGCCTATCCGATAATCGTCATGCTTTACAAGTATGCTAATCGCATTATGGAGACTGACATTGGCACGGCCGTCAGCCCGAGCGCCTATCGTCACTGGTGCATGCGAAAATTTTCATTTTTTTTTCATGTTCATTGTTTCGTTCATAGAAAATCTACCCCTTGCAAAGCTCTCACATGAATATTCATGTCGCATGGACCAAAATAGGCCAATGAGCGATGAGGAAACTGGAGATAACATTTGATTAGTTGAATCAAAGTGATCGATCACCAAATAATGCTAGTCTTATGAATCATGCATGAGAATACGCTTGTCACACATACGATACACAATAATATGAATAATGATGAGTTCACCAGTGATGATAGGCGCTCGGGCTGACGTCCGCGCCGATGTCAGTCTCCATAACGCGATCAGTATATTTGCCATAAAGCCCGACGCCCATCGGATAGGCTACCTTCCACAGGGTTCTTTATGATTTTCAAAACATATTCCATCATATGCAGTATATCCATATATCATATACAAATAATTAAAGAAATAATTTTTATACATAATGGCTTGACACAGATAATAATCATCACGACCGAAACATTTTGTGGCAGATAAAAACAAACATTTATGACAAAATTAGTACTTTCAATATGTAATAATAAAATACATGATCATGTTTATGTTAGCACATTTCCAACACTCTCAAAATATTGTCTAAAGTGAAACCATTTCTTCTTCAATTTATTCTCTCTGAGATTTGTTTGGTATATATATTTTTCCATTTCATAATAACATTTTACAGCCTTTTAAAAATATATCAAATGATGGTAGTTGATTTCGTAATTTAGCTGAAAATATTTCTTGTCTTACAACCATCAGAACAGTTGAGTGCATTATTATTGCTACCGCAAAATCCAAACAATTTATTTTGATTTGTAAGTTTGATGCTTTCCCCCGTATTACGAAATATCCAGAACTCTAACTTCGACCATACTTCATTAGAATAGTTACAAAAGCAAAAAACATGTATGATAGTTTCATCATTGTTACTACAAAAAGTACACTTCTTGTCAGCCACTACACCAAATCTTAACAAACTGTCCTTTATATATAATATTCTATTTAAAATCTTGATTTGAAACCACCTCGTGTTGATATCTATTGTTGACTAAAATGGAATTTGACAGTACGAACCCCAAAGTACATCTTGAAAATCTAAAAAACTTTTCCACTTTGTAAGGGCTTTACATTCTTTTACTTTGTTTTTTAGAAAAGACTGATAAAAATGTGAACAACCAACATTTGTTTTCACCACAAGGTGCACGGCTTCGGGAATGATAGGTTCTAAGGCCTTACTAGGAGCTACATGTGTAGTCATTTTAAAACCTGACCGAATTGCATTACAAAGACCATAGTACTGGAGGAAATTTGTTTGTATGCCAAATCTCCGCTGAAACTCAAAATATGAAAAAAAAAGAACCATCTTTTTGTAGGATGTCGTTCACAAAACGTATTCCTCGTAAATTCCAAGCCTCAAAGCATACCACTTTGTCATTTATTTCAATGGGGGGGTTATTCCAGAGAAGTTGACTTGCAATGTCGTCAATAAGTACTTCGACGAAGTCTGACCAAGCGTAAAGGACCTTTTTTCAAAATGGATTTGGAGTCAAGTCTGCTAATTTTCTAAAATGATGTGAGCCCATATACAGGTGAAAAAAATAGGTTTGGGGCAAGAATGAATTGAACATGTGAAAAGTGAAACTTTCTATCTGAGAATCAGTTACAAATCTTGTAATCCATGATATTTTCAGGGATTTAGCATGAATGTAAATATCAATCATCTTAACCCCACCTTTATTATACATTTGACCCATTTGTTCTCTATTGATTTTTTCAGGTTACCCCATATAAATGCATCAAAAGAACGATTTATATCTTTCATAATTTACGAATTCGGTTCTGGAAGTGAAAGCAATAAATAGTTCAATTTTGGCACCAACAAAGATTTGACTACAGTTATTCTTCCGAGGACAATTACGGTTTGTTTAGACCATGAAATAATTTGGCATTTTATATCTTTAATTTTTTCAGTATACCAGTAATTATGATTTACCATCTCTACTAAGTTAACCGAAAAATCTATTCCTAAGTATCTGGAATAACCTTCTGATACACAATTTAGTTTGTGCTATGGAATTAGCTGTTTTCTGCAGGATCTATTTTTCCCAATCAATATCACATGAGTTTTTGTAATGTTGATCTTTAGGTTTGACATTTCTTCAAAATCACCCAATATTTCCAGTGAGCTCTGTAAATCTTCTTCTGTACCGTTAAGTGTCAAAATGGTGTCATCTGCGTATTGTAGTAGTTTACTATTTTTTCCCTGTAGATGCAAGCCAATTAAATCATTGGAATGTCTAATCAAAATTCCTAATATTTCGCTAACAAGTAAAAACAGGTATGGAGATAATGGGTCTCCTTGACGACACCCTTGTCCTATAGTAAATCTTTCTGTGCAAAATCCATTTACTGTGACACAAGAAGAAGCATTTTGATAAAATAGATGAATCCATTTTTTCAGCGATGGCCCAAAATGAAAAAAGTCAAGGACATTTATTAGAAACTTGTGAGATATACAATCGAAGGCCTTTTCAAAATCAATCATCAACAACATGCCTGGAATGTCATTAAGTTCGGTATATAATAATATATCATATAGTCAAAATATTTTCTCTGATAAAATGGCCTTTCAAAAATCCTTTTTGATTATCATGTATCAAGTGGGGCAATATTTGCTTTAATCGATCAGCTATGCACCCAGATGCTATTTTGTATATAACATTTAAAAGTGAAATAGGACGCCAATTCTTTAATAAATGTCGAGGCTTGTTTGCTTTAGGAATTAAAGTGATTATTCCAAATGTTTGTAACTGCGACAATAAGGGCTCAAATTAATTTTTTGTCCACAGCTTATTTAAATACAAATTTCCATTGAATTGGTTCCATGAAACTCCAAGATTCCTTGGTATTTTATCATTATCATTTATTTAAGTCGGCATTTTCCCTCTTAGAAATTTACATGTTACATAGCTGTTATTGAATTTTATCCCCGTGATGACATTCTCTCTATGTCTTCCCTTTCTGCACATATAATTCCTCCTCATTATTCGAAGCAACCTTATTTACATTATTTTTTACTTTTAGTCTTTACCATATCCTTACAAAACACAAGGGCGGATCAAGCTTTTTGCTAAGGGTAGGGGGTAACCCAAATACGATGTGGAGCATCGTCCACGAGCCACAAAGCGGCGAGGCGATTTTTGTTGTTGCTATTTTGAACCCCACCCCCCCCCCATATATACCAGCCAGCGGCAGCTCACTGCACTTGTGCGTCCTGGCTGCATTTTTTAAATTAGCTCAGCCGGCTACCGCTGGCGGTAGGAAATGGCATTCAAAAGCATGCGCCGGCTGCCGCCTTTATAATGGAAACCGAGCCTCAGATCCCAGCCTGGCGCAAGCCGGCTGGGCTAATAAGTGAAAAATAATTGCCCCAGCCAGGCTTCGGCCGTAATTGCAGCCTCGATGCGCCAATACGTGAGGCGGCAGCCTGCTGGTATCGATATTTTTGACGCCTCGCCTAAGTGGTGTTTCCTGGCATCTACTGACATCTACTAATACAGTGTAGGTCTGGACACATGATAACATTTTTCTATGCCCATCACATTTTCACTTGGAAGCCAAGGAGGGAGGGGGAGGGGTTAAACCCACTAAACCGCCCCTGTAACATCTTTGGTCTTCTTCTTCTCAATATTGATTTACTGGTCGAATTACATTATTTGCTGGTCTTTTGGAATTCCCAGATTTCAGAGGATTCACACTTTTCACAACGAAAAACTTCTCCCGTTTCAGGCCTTGCGCGACCCAGCTCCACCAGATATTGGGCGTCAGTGTGCACACTGCTGACGCCCGCACTAGCTGCACTGCGAGCTTCCGTACGTTGTTTGTATCGGTAATACTCATATAGATAGAGATAGCGCCATCTAAGTTCCATTTCATTGGTTTAAATTTTGAAAATTGATACTCAATATTGTGTTAAAATAATATCAACAAACATAATCTTTATTTTATAATTCCACTGGGGGATTTTTAATTTTGCAGTCGCCCCCGTGAGCAACCTGACGGGGGCGATTACGGAGCTCACAGGGGCAAATCGCCCATCGCCCCCGTGTATTTTGAGCACCGGCGACAATTCTGTAAAATAAGCAAAGTTCAAAGATCTGATCATGAACGTTTTAAGATATTGCCAAAAGAAACGAAAAAATTCAACGCTGAAGCCATGTTGCCCAGGGGATTTATTATTTTTCATACTTTTTAGCATTAAACAAACCTCACTTTCACTCAAAGGACCTTCTAATAATTCTAATTATGTTGTTATATCATGCATGGACTTGCGTATGAAGAGCATTAGCATAAGAATTTGACCCTTATATATGCAGACTATTTCAATTGATTATGAATAATGAAATTTCCCTTAGCTGAACATGAGTTTTGCCTTCCTAAATTTTGATAGCTAATACATATATAACTAATTGAGTCAATGTTCATTCTATATTTGCAATACATTTATACCATACACCTAATGATTACATAGACTACCTAATTAAACCACTTGACTGCTATTGGCTCAACATACCCCCTGCTACAGGTTTTTTTGGGAAATATGATATTCATGTATATATTGCTTACATATTTGTTTTTTACCTTAATTTATTACTTATTTTTTCATTATAATTTTTGTTTTATGGAAGTCATAATTGAATGGGGCTATAAATATATATATAGGTTGTTTCCATCCCCACTATCTCCGGTAGTAGGAAGATATCGAGGAGACCTCCATTTTCCGGGAGGGACGGGCGAGGATGAATGCCTGCTTGGACTCCCACCAACATCCATTAATGGGATTACATCATCACTTTCATCACCAGATCTTTCATTTTCATTATCGAAATTACCTACCCGGTAGATCCATAAAGTCTTCCTCTTCACCTTCTGAAATATCCGAACAATCTCTGAAATTACTTTTGTCAACCAATGTATCATCCATTATGTTAGAACTCCGCAGTAAACGGCGGGCCGCCATTTTGATTTTTTCCCCGCTCAGTACACACTGCTATACAGCTTACATAACTGAACACATAGTTGTAAAAAAGGATATGTACGTGGTACGCAGTCAAGTGGTTAAAGTCATTTTAAATAATACATATAACTGTTTACGATTCAGTTGCATTCATAGACATGTAAAACAATTTCGGTGGTAGGTAAATCAGGAATTAAGAAAAATTGTGATTACAATATAGGCATTGGATCTTTCATTCTGATCATAATTGAATTCCTTAATTTTCTTTTTTTTCCAGTCGGATTCATTCATCTACTGGGGCTACCGTTTGTGATGGTCGCTGGCATCATGTATTGCTCGTATTCATTAACACTGGAAGATGGTCTGTTCTCCTGGATGGCTCTGAGATTATGAGTGACAATAGTGATGCATCTCAATACAATCTCTCAGGAAACTTGCAACTTGAAGTTGGAGCTGATAAATTTGACCAAAACGGTATGATAAGTCAACCAACTAAGAAAATGATGATATCGCTCTTTTAAAAAGAAAAGATGTATATAGCAAATGCTGTTATTACCATGAATTAAAATCATGTAGGCCAATTGAACTTCATACTAATGGAAGTAAAGAAAATAATTGAATCTTCCTAGTAACACAAATATTTTACAGAGATTTGTCTCGGGCAATCACGGTGACAGCCTCAAGTTCAGTAGATGGTTGTGTAGATTAGGTCATCATTTCTGTTGAATTGAATTGAAACTAGACACATGTTATACGGAAGATCATCGTGTGCTGTATATACTTCCCCCAAAAGTGAGAACAAAAATACCCTGATATAAATAATGGTTATTGGCGTTATCCGTTAGTGATGTTGAGACCACATTACAGTAAAGAAAAAAAAGGATAATCTTAAAGGTATTGTGACAAAATATATGTTTTACCAAACTTGTAGATTAGCACTGCCGAGGGTTATTCTGCACTTGATTATCAGTCTTCAAAAATTGTAATAGTAATCTTTTAATCTTCTTATCCATTCTGAAAAAAACATGGAAATAAAGGGGGGGGGGGGGGAAATCAAAAAATTCGACTGTGTTATATTTCATTTTGTGTGCTATGTATAGAACATATAGTGTTGCAAGGCACAATATGAAGTACAGAAGCTCTGTAATTAACCCGTCCATTGCTTTCTGCTCGGTTGCCCTTTTTTTGCTGAAAAATGAAATCTTATTTTTTTACTTTGATTACAAAGAACAAGGACATATTTTTTTTCAATTGTAGATTCTATTTACATGACTGGCATCAACGTTTGGAGTGGACATGTTTCAGATGACGTGTTGTCTAGAGTCACATCGGAGTGTTTGCCACAACTATATGGGAACATTATTTCATGGACAGACTTTGACTCCCACCAGGCTTTTCCTACAACCTCCTCGACTCCCTCAATGTGTGATGGTAAGGATAGGATTTCCAACCAAGAACATAATATTCTGACATTGTTTAAAAGTTTGTATTAGATTAAATAGGATTGTAAAGGAAAACATTCTCCAATTATTTGTATGTTATCGTTAATTTTTGATATATTTTATCTATAATCAGCTCTCAAGTTTAACAACCACCTTTTAATTTGCTCGCATGAGGAACACAGGCTAAGTTGAAATTCGCATAGTGCAATTGTCACGAGTAGGATGTTCAAGATATTTTTTTCAGAAAGAGAATATGGTGAAATTTTCAATTTTTTTTCCCTTCATTTCATTTCATTTATTTTCCATTAAAATTCAAAGTAAAATACATAAAAAATTAACAGCAAAATCGGAAGGACCCCCAAAAAAGCAAAGCTTGTGAGAATGGGGCCCTGTACAAAAATAAACATACAAGCAAATTATTATAACAAATTTGTAAAACTTATCAAAACAGACATACATCCCCCCTCATTCATTCACATGCACACAGACACACCAACACACACCGCAGGCAGAACATTGTACAGACAAATCTACTCTTTATGTAATGAATTATTTAGAAAGTAAAGAAACTTCCTTATTGACTTGCTAATATATGGTGATAAGAAACATGGAGAGTAAAGATGAGAGATTTAGGGTGGGTATTTTCATACTGAAGCGGACTAAATTTACTCCATGGTGTAATCCTCTAAGTATGGAATGCCAAGTGTCCATATGAATATATTTTTGAATAATTTGATATGTCACTAAATTACCATGACAGCATAATTATTTCATAGTTGTTGTAATTACAAAATATTTCATTAATGAAAACATTTTTTTTTTAATTTAGTGACAGATTAAATGATAGAAAATTATATTCATATAGACACTTAGCATTTCATACTTAGAGAATTAAACCATGGTCGGACTAAATTCAGTCTACCTTCGAGAATACCACCCATGAACTTTATTAAATTATTGACTTTTCCCCTGATTTGTTGTAGATACTGATGAATGTCAGAGCCTGACCCCCTGCCAAAATGGAGGAACTTGCGTGGACAAACTCCGTTCCTACACTTGCTTGTGTCTTGAAGATTATGAAGGAATAAACTGTGAAAAGTTCACAGACCTGTGCAACAACGTGAGCTGTGAGAATGGAGGATCCTGTACTACCATGAATAGAACAATTCACTGTTCATGTCCTGAAAGATTCTTTGGAGAGTTTTGTGAGCTTGAAATTAGTAAGTTGATTCAGCTATTCCCTATTTACCAAACAGCTAAATTATTAATACTCATACAAAGGTATGAAATTTTCTAAGCTTGTGTAAAATTGAATATCCCTGATTTACTTTTCTTGAGAATAACAGATATCTTCAAGTATTATTCAAATGCCCTAATTCAACCAGTCCACCTTTCATTCTTTTGTTACGAAAAACACAGAAACATAAAATTTTCAAAGGGTATGAATAACTTTAATTTTTACTGTACAGCCAGGACCATTGGAAGCTTACTTTTTATTTTATTTAAAAAAAATATAATATGCAGCAATCATTAACATTATATGCCATATTTTGATAACTTTCATCTGCAATTTGATGTATGAATTGAGTTTCATTTCTCCACACAACTAAATTAATACATGCACTTACATTAGCACAGGGAGATTAGAAAAAAAAAATTCATTATGTCATAAATGCTATGTAAAAAGATGGAGTTGTCCAGAATGTCCATTCATCAATGAGAAATATACTTAAATTATTAACAATTATTTATGAGATTATTACACTATCAAAATATTGATGCAAATACAGATATTCAGCTTTTTTAAACTACAGTATACACCAAATTTAATTGAAACAGAAATCTCCACAACTCTAAACTGTATTTTGATTACTTTGACAATTCTAATGATTTATTGTTGAAATTTCTTTTTCTTCAGTTAATGGTAGTTGGAGTGATTGGTTGCCGTGGAGTCCATGCAGTGCATCGTGTGAAGGTGGAACTCGAAACACTTCAAGGGAATGTACCAACCCACCACCTAATGAATATGGACAACCTTGTCATGGAGAAAATACAAAACAAGAACCGTGTAATTCTCAGGATTGTCCAGGTACTTACTACCTCAAATTGTAACTTTCGCCCGTCTCCCTGTCTTTGTCTTTCCTAATTTCTAGATTGACTTTAATCTCAAATTCAGATATAAAGTGTTTACATTTTTCTTATTTACATGTACTTCTATTGCAATTGCAACAAGCATCTGGTCTGCCAAATAAAGACAGATGCTGGAGACCGGAAGCTGGGATAAGGGTCACACCCGACACCATGAGAAAAAGTGGCGCTAAACAATGATGATGATGATGATGATGTATTGCAGTGATCGTTATTTTACTTTTTTGCGTAATGTAAAAGTAAATAAACTCACCACTATATTGTCATAAATAGACCTGTGATTGATAGGTATTACAAATGTTTTTCCTCTTTATTTCAAAGGTTGTCTTCATCTGCAGAGTCCTGAGAATGCCACACTTAACTGTTGGAGTGAAGGTGAAACCAAGAAGTGCACAGTTAGTTGTAACTCACCTGATCTTGGCTTTGTTCAACCTACACTGGCAGAGTATTCCTGTGGCCCCGAGTCGGTTTACAAATGGGATCATGAAAATGATGACAACCGCAGAGCAAGTTTGCCTCCTTGCGCAGGTAACTTAACAAGCTGGAGGTATCGTCTAGTGGATACATCACTAAACTGTGGATCACATGGTTCGGGCTTGATTCCAGCAGCAGTACATCATGTCCTTTTTTTGTTGAAATTATATCTCAATAATAATACTGATAATGATATTGATAATAATACTAGTAATATTAATAATGTATACCCGGGTGTAGAGTGGCAAATGTTGATTAATGTCTTGCCAAAAGAGTTATTGTTAGGCTGGCAATCGAACCCTCAACCCTAGGATTAAGACTCCAGTAAAATATCCACCATATCATGCGATACAAAAGGAAACATGAAGTACATATGATATCTAAACTAAAAACCTGACAGAATAGTGACAAATTACAGCGATGATGGAATTGTACCAAGTCTATTTACCTGTAGTGCTAAATGTCAGCTTTTTGCACAATCTTTCTTAGAAAAACACTTTATCAAGAAAAAAAGCAGTAACAAAACTTTCAAATTTCCATGGGCCAATGCTTAGTTTATATCATACTATTATCTTTCTATGTAAATTCCTAGAAACGATGTCTCCAGATTTGTTAGAGGCGCAAGTCACTTTAACTTACTCAGGTGCAACATGTGCTTCGGAAGCAGATGAAGAAAGCATTACAAAACTAGCCAGCTCTACCATTATGAACAATGCTTATGCCAGTGGCTGCATTGATTGTGCTCCCTCAAATGTACAGGTTGGTTCATCAGTCATAGTTTGTATAAATCGTATTAGATACCCCTTATGAAGATTCTGGGCTTCTGATTTGTTAGAACTACAGGCATAACATTCGCTACTACTTGCCAATATTGCAAAAAAATATTGACCAGGTATAATTCTACTAGCACGTACAATGCAAGACCGGAAAGATTGCACATGAAGTTCACAATAGATAAGCACAGTGACACAGACCTGCTAGTTTTCCTACAAATAATTACATTTGTTAAAATGTCTGTTTTCTAGAATTGGCAAGGGTGATGCGGTATTTGAATTATTAACCATATCATACATCTCGGCAGGGCAGTTTTAAAATGTTATCGCCCAAAATCACAAACAGAAGATTATTGAAACCGAATAAAAAGTGATATTGCCCGCTCAAAAAAGTAAATGACAAACTGCTTGTCAAATGGCAGTCACTAACTTGCAGACTATTCGTCCAAGTATATCGTATGCATGAAGTCTTTCGTCTATGGCTGATCGTCAAAGAAACAGAGTTAAGTCTTTTGTCAGTTCTGTTTGTTGCTATGGCAGTTAGCCAGTGAAAACGAATTTGTTTGATAAAATTATGGAAATGCAAGCACTACTTTGAACAAACAGAAATTGTTATTCCTAGCTCATTTTTCCTGATTGAGGTGTCATATGAAAGGGTACAAACTGAACTATCTTGAAATGTAATTTTATCTTTGAAATTCAGATACCATCCGCCAAATGACTTTTTGGTTCCCTCTCTTCAAATTGGTTTTAATCACTCATGCGTGAAATATGTATCATATGATTTGTATCAAATGAAAGAGGATGATCTAAGCTTCACAAATATGTGTCATTTATTGATTATAATTTGGTTAAGTTATGATAAAACATCAATATTTCTTGGTTTCGTTTTTTCTGGGACACACTGTATATATATATATATGTATATAAAAAAGTTTTTGAGTTCTGCTCGGAGTTCGAGAAAATACACAAAAGCATAAGCTAATGATCCTCCATACTAGAAGAATTTATTCTTGTATATATATATATATATACATACACACATAATATGCTTCTCATTCTGTACAATTTATTTCATTCTTTATGCTTTTCTAAGGTACTTATATTATTTCTTCAATTAATTAAGGTCAACAATTGTGATCTGTCAAAGAAGAGGTCAGTTGAAGAATCTCCTATCACTATCTCATTCGACATGGATTTAATCAATGGTGAGCCACAACAATACTAATAAATTAATGTGTTCTTCAGCTCTCTAAGGGTTGAGATATGCTTACCATCCATAGGAATACAAGGTCATTCATCTCTTTTTATGCCATATTATCTCTCCATATCAATAAAAAAGAAAATTAAATCCAACAAAATGTTTTAGTAATATTCTGAAAGTTCCTCCTCCCTGACAAGGTGAAATGTGACCTAAAAGTAATTTAATTTTCATTAACAATGAAAATGATTAGGAGATTGGACAATAATATGAACAGGGATTGATGCTTTCGATCACTTAGGATTTGTGTTGATCAGTTCTTATCAGTATTTGATCTGAGTTCTCCTTGTCTTTTCTCATCCTCCTCATCCTACTTAACTCATCCTCTGTAATGGATTTGTAGTATTGATTCATTTTATTCTCTTATTTTCAAGACCTCTGATCATTTTGTATTTGTGTGTATTATACACGCCGATTGAATTTAATGTTATAAAGTTTTTTCTTCAAACCTTCAAAGAGGACTGAAACAGTCTATATGTTGGGATATTGAGATCATTTAAAAATGGGGACATGTTATTATGTCTGGCTTTAGGTACCTTTTAACAGTGCAAAAAGGGACAAAATACTGATTAAGAAATATGGGTACAAACAAATGTATTCACCTTATCATATATATTGATCAAGTTGTAATACAATATTTTAAAAAACAAAACACGTTTTGTATTAAGGTGTTTTTTTTGGTAAGAATACATTGATGCTTAGCACACATGTCAGAACATGATGCTCCTTGCACTCCAACACCATCACCCAAGTCAAACCACAGTCATGTTTGTAACTGTACCAACTTTTTCCCTTAGTAACTTTGGAGGAATCATTCAGCGAATTTGGCAACAGTTTCGAGCAGCGTTTGGAAAACGGATCCTTCTCCTTGGAAGTCGATGGTGAGGTTATTGCAGTTGACCTTAATCAAAGTAACGGTGAGGTCAAGATTACGTGTCCAAGAGGATCTGGTTTTACAGTACAGGGAACCTGTGGTAGGTCAAGCAAATTGAACATCTGCTTAAACATTTTTTAGAATTATATTTTACATTAATCAATGGTTTGCCAGATGGAGCAAATTGCAATGCTTGATTTAAAGAGCATTTCTTTTGCATTCATTTCGAGATGACATTATTAAATTTTCCACCAGAAAAGCAAGCTATCCTAACCATGTACCTTTATCTCATACAGAGATTGGTCAAAGATGTGATATGCAATAGAGCTTAAAGATACTATGTCCCTTTAGCAGCCAACCTCAAATTCTGTATAACTTTGCAGGAATTATAAATGTCATGTATGTCCTATCTGTGAAATTTAAACGTTAGCAGTGTCCTAATATTCAAATTATAGAAGGGAATCTGTTTACTTGCTATACTTCACTGTCAGACTGTTGAGTGACTGACTGGCCCTTTTCTTCTTTGGTAATATTATACATAAACTGAGCTGTAAAGGGTACATGAGCATTTGTCTACATCAGTAACCCAGTTCTTGTAATGGCCATAATTAAAATGATTGAATCTTTGTGCAGCTTAAAAGGTATGACCATTCGGTACAATGGTCTGAAAATCAGACTATTACTTACTGGCTCTATAGCTCTTAAGTCGATTTGACAACTAATAGTCGTTATTTTCCCACTTAACCACTTGACTGCTATTGGCTTAAAACACGTTCATACCCCCTGTGCTACAGCATTTTTGTACTGTACAAAAACCTGACAAAAACTGTACACTACACAAAAAAATGATATTTTTTTGGAAGAGCGCCATCTACTGTTCAAGACCTGTATAACATAATTGCAGTGCTAATTACTCAGTATGGCTAGGTATTATGCAGTTTTACAGTCTTGACAGTGCAAAGCTCTAAACACGTACATGTACGTGGTGCGCACAGGCAAGTGAGAGTGAGACCACGTACATGTACGTGGCATGCAGCCAAGTGGTTAAAGACACTTTCAAGCCCCCTTTTTTTAGGGAAGTTCTAAATTTGTAATATCTTTCAAATGCCATTGGAATTTAACCTTTTCATTTTTTTGGCCTGCAAATGGTACATAGTACCTTTAAAGGCATGTAGCAGAATTTTTCGGTAGAATTTCTTTCCTAACGATATCATATCTTGATTTACTTTTTCTTTTTCTTTTCCCCAATAGTCGTATGTCCCGTTGGTAATTTCCAGTCCTTCTTACCAAACACCAGCACAGCTGTTTGTGCACCCTGCATGCTACACACCTACCAAGATCAAAAGAGACAAGTTGAGTGTCTCCCATGTCCCCCTGGATTAATAACGACCGATCCCGGAGCTGATGATATCAACTATTGTATAGGTAGGTTCATTAAACATGATACAAACTTCTTTTGAATCCATCATAATAATTAAGCTGAATTGCAGAATGTGTCCTTTTCAACAGACTTGTATTCAGAGATATTAATAATAATAGTAATATTTAAACGAGGTTTGTGGTTGTAATGATGATGGTAATGGTTTTATTGAAATATATGCAGCCTGATGGCTGAATTGCAGAATTTTGTACATTGTGTAAAAACATATATATTTATACAAACATAAATTGTATTATGCAATATCATGCAGTGAATGAATTTTCTAAATAATTCAGTGTTTACATATATATACAAATAAATAAAATTTGCTTAACAGCTAACAGTTGCTTAAATCTATTCCACAATCATCATAGGGCTGGAAAGAAATATAGAAGAGAGGTAGGGAGGATAATAGTGCAGACAGCACAGGAGATCCAGGAAAAGTGAGATAGGGAAAGACAGAGGGATAGAAAGGGAGAGAGAAAGAGAGATAAAGTGAGAGATAGAGAGATATATATAAAATATAATGCTGAGGATGAGAGTGTATAACAGACATATCAAAAAATAAGGTAAAAAGTACAATATCGACAGAGAGAATACTGGTTGTAGATCCATAAATTACATTTTACATTTTAATTGTTAAGTTATGATAACATATATTGCAAATTGATAGGTAGGTATGCAATCAGATGAAAGACATGAAATATAGTAATTTTGAAGATTTTTTGGTAATAATTATATGGTAAGTACGTTTCAATCATTACAAAATTTAACCATGGTAATCTTGATTTACTTTATTATATTATCATTTTCATTTATCAATTATCAAGGTTGTAAAACCATCTTGGTAACAAAAACTTATATACTATTTCACATAAAATAAAATAATTCTACAGCACCTCTACCTCATCACTATGGGGATAAGTTTACATGTTATACGAATGTATACAAAGTTCGTTCGTTCGTTCGTTCGTGCAAAGAATATCAGGGAGTACATCATCTAGATAGGAAGATCCTTATTGAGCCAACAGATCGTCTCATCATCGAGCTCACGAAGTCCGGAAGCGCCGTGGGGGGATTTGTAGATCGGACAATCATCAATGACATGATCCATAGTTTGGATCTCTCCACAGGCGCAGTTTGGTGATGATTCAGCTCCAATTTTATGTAGGAAATATTGTGTGCGGCCAACTCCAGTTCTGACACGGTTTAGGTTGACCCAGGCTTTTCTTGGGAGGTCGCTGCCACTTGGTTTTGCACAGGGCTTTGGGATGAACTCCTTCAGGTTGGTAGTGGACGAATTCCACTGGTCTGACCAGCGTTTTGTTATCCAAGTGGCTAAGGTGGAGGGGGGGTTCTCAGGCCGCAGCTCAGCAGCCTGTGTTGCAAAGTGTCTTCTAGGGAGACGCTGTCCTTCAAAGGCAGAGGGGGCAGGAACAAGGCATTTATCTCTGTCATGCTTTTGGGCAAGCTTAGCATACTGCGCATCTCGTCTGAGCTGAGCTGGTGGTATGCCAGATAATATTGGCAGGTTGCTGACTGGTGTTGCAGTGAGTGTTCCGCTGATTAGTCTCATAGCGTCATTGAGGACAACATCAACCTTGTGTACAAAGTGCATAATCACTACTGTAAATTTAGCAAGTCAATAAGGTAGGGAACTGGACTGTTACAAAATTGTTTGCTTTCACATTTTAACTGTTCTCTGGAATTTGATTTGCGTAAGCTTCTAATGTTCTTACAAGGAGGTATGAGGTAAGGTACCTTCTCTTTTGAAATCAGTTTCTCTGCAAAACTCAAAGTTCCTTCCTTCTGTTAGCCAAAGAAGACAGATTCATTAGATTCAGTGCTGTCTCATATGACTGATAATAAGGTCCCAAGATTATTTTTGGAGTTCTTTTCTGCACCCTTTCTAGTTGATCTACTTGTTCTTTAGTTAGGCCTCCATTCCACACCGGCGAGGCATACTCTATGAGGGGTCCGAGGAAACCGGTGTAGATGGGACAGAGATCTTCAATTGGCAGTCCGTGACCTTTCAGGATCGTAATAAGGTTTATTCTTCCATTTACATGTTTTTTCATGAAATCAACATGATCACTCCATTTTAAATCACAGCGGATATGGACTCCTAACAATTTTGATTGCTTTAGAGGTTGTTGATCGATTTCCAGTGACAGTGGTGTTAGGGGCTTTTTCATAAAACACACCTGCATAATTTCACATTTAGCAGAGTTAAGGGACATTCCATTTGACGTGGACCATTCGGCAAAATATTGAAGTGTTGCTTCCAACAGAATTGACTGATCTCCAGCGAATCTCGTATCAACAACAGTGACATCAACATACTTCCAATATGCTATATTACTATCACGTATTGCATTGTTGATGACGATTAGGAACACAATCGGTCCAAGTTTGGTTCCCTGAGGTACCCCTGCTTTCAGAGTCGCCCACTTTGATGTGACACCTCTGTAGCGTACGCACTGAGTCCTTTCTGTAAGAAAATCAACTATCCAGCGGATCAATGTAGGTTTGACACCAAATGAGACCATCTTTTGGATGGCAATCATGTGGTCAAACGCCTTGCGGAAATCTGTCATCACAAGAGTCGATACTGCCTTGCTTTTCTCCGCGTGTTGATAAAGGCAGTTTAATAGGTCAACTAGGCAGTGCGTCGTTGATAATCCCTTTATACTACCAAATTGTTTATTGTCGAGCTGCGACACAAAACCCTCAAATACTTTTGCAAAACTATCGGTCAAGGAGATTGGACAGAGCTTGTCGATACTTGCAGGGGTGGTTTTAGGGACAGGAACAACTTCAGCTCTCTTCCACATCTTTGGAACGACACCTTCAGCAAGTGAGGTACTGAAGATATAGGCCAATGGGATACTAATAGTTCTCACGCAAATTCTTTGATGATTCGGCTAGGTATTATATCGGGACCGACAACTTTCCTAACCTTCACCTTCTTAAGCTGTTGGTAAACATCCCAAGGTTGAATGCGGGGAGGTGAAGAAGGGTCAGGTGAGTTCTCAGCATCCATGGCAGTTACATCCTTAGCAACAGACTTGAAGAAGTCATTGATCCTGTTTGCTATTACGGCGGTATCATCTCTGTCAACTCCAGGAACAGTTATATAGGAGTTGGCATTTTTTATGTTGGTCATGATTTTGATCTGTTCATACCATTCTGCAGGATTCGCCGCCTTAATGTTTCTTCACTCGATCATTACAATAGTCGTGCTTTGCTTTTCTTATTTCCTTTTTAACGCAACTGGCAAGTTTCCTGGATAGTTACACCACATATTCTTTTGACAGGGTAAGTTGGCCCTGAAATGGGTCCACTCATTCTCTAGACGTTTTGATATAGGTTATACCCAGGGGCGTCGCTAGACCTTTTTCAGGTGGGGAGGGGGGGGGGGGATGTAGAGTAAAGGCCACCAATTACCAACAAATATATTAATGCCAATGTGCCAATGTCTACAAATTTAACCCTCTAAACCCGGGGCCGGGGGCTTATTTTCCTACGAACTATCTATACCTACCCTTTCGTCAAGACTAGTCAGCATCATAGCTATATAAACAAAATGTGCGACATTGGTGAGCAAGTACTTGATGTGGCGTGATTGGATGGAGTGTTGCACTTGAACAGAGATATCTCGGGTTCGATACTCGCTGGGGCAATCTTTAAACCCCTGTTTTCTTTTGTTGATATTACAGTAAGGTTCACAATGACAATTTTTAATGATTGCTGGTGAAACTTCGGGAAAGTTTAAGTATTTTAGTTGTAGTCTCTCTCGACAGCCGATAAAAAGTCACAGGAAAAAAACTCGCCTGCCGACCGACATTGTATATTTCACTGAGTTTAAACTTCTGCATTGATATAGTAAACAAGGATTGAGCGAGAATACTGACATAACTTACCCGACACAGCAACATATCTATGCGTATCTTTCTTGCTTCCCCAACTAGACGACTCCAGCCAACAACCCTTCCCCCTCTCTCTTAGTACCCCCTTATCTCAAACTCTTTCAGCCCTCCAATTTCTTTTGTTTCATTTCCTCTTATGTTTCCTTTTCTCCTTTCTCTCTTCTCTTTTTTTTCCTTTCTTTTCCTTTCTTTTCCTTTCTTTCCTTTGCTTTTTTTTTTTTCTTTTTTCCCTCTATTTTTTCTTTTTTCTTCTATTCTCTTTCCTTTCTTTTCCCTTCCTTTTTTTCTTTTCTTTTTCTTTCCCTCTCATTTTTTTCCCTTCTTTTTCTTTCCCTCTCATTTTTTCCCTCCCCCTTTTTTGCTGACGGCAGCGCAATTTTACCGACAAAATGGGGGGGGGGGGAGGGGTGTCGCACCTGGTTAAACATATCGTCTTCGATCCAGCAGACATCAACGGAGCCTTACCAAACAAACCCGAGACAATTTGATAAGAAAGACATCATTCAATGCATTGAGCCAGGGTTTAAACACCTGAACCAGGATAGGGCTTGCTTCATCTGCCTCCAGATCTCCCAGGGTCTAGTTTTGGCCAATTAGCTACCTATAGGCCTAACATCAGCTACGCCGAACATCAAGCCATTACAAACCTGCACAGAGATAATACTATCCACATTCTCACAGCAGACAAAGGAAATGCCACAGTGGTAGTAGAGGTCCTTGGGTTGAGAGTCAAGTGAATGAACCATTAATATAAACACAACACAAATCTTTCTAATTTATGTTGTTAATTACTTGTTATAATTCTCATTTGATACAGAACCATGTCCACTTGGCCATTACCAAGACGTGTGGTCAGATCCTAGTAACACTACATGTATTCAGTGCCCTCTTAATACCTACCAAAACGAAATTGGAAAAGAAAGCTGTTTCCCTTGTCCCGCTGGATATGTAACTCTGGAACCAGGAGCAGCAAGTGCCTCTGATTGTGTTGGTAAGTCTCACTGTTTCTCTCCTCCTCTCTCTCTTCCACTTCCCATTCCATTTGCTTCGGTTTTTGCTCTTGAAAGTGTCATCATTAACGTCTCTCCCTGTTCTCAGACGTATACATACTTTTTTATCACTTCATATAATTACCAATATAAAGATCTTGTGAGGTTGTTGTGTCTGGGTAATTTTTTTATTATTATATTTCACAGCCAAACCAAAACGAATTATATACATTTCTTATTACATACCTGTAAAATTATTGTTTCTTAAGTTATCCATTCACCAAGGCAAAGTGTAACAAAGTGTTATTTGTTATTTTCCAGAAGTAATCATAAAGAAAAATCACAAAACTTTCCAAGAACTTTGAATCTTAATGAATTTATGCTTTATGCTAATAACTTGTTGATCTACTCAAAGCATTATTACCACTGCAAGGTTCAAAATTTGTACAGAGCATGCAAAATCTATCATCACATATATTGTCAAACATAAGTATTTATCTATGAACTTATTATTCTTAATGTGCAAAATGTGACTGATCAGATATGATGTGATAGTAATTCTGATAAATGAATGACACTTTGATAAACAGGCAAATGATTGATAATCAAGTGTAAATGTCTGTTTTATGTTTATACTTATACATATGGCTATACAATGAAAAAGGGATGAAAAATGTGTTGTCATCAAATGCTCAGACAGGTAGATTTATGTAATTTATATCGTATTTGTGTATTTTTAGCCCTGTGTAATGCAGGGCGTTACGTGGACCAATCAAATGAGACCAATCCACAATGCATACCGTGTCCACTCGACACATTCTTAGATCTTGATGTGCATCAAGAACAAGAATGTATTCCATGTGCTCCAGGAATGATTACCATCCAGAATGGATCTTCACAAAGTAATGACTGCCTTGGTAAGGGGACAAGAAAGAGAATCTATTCATGAAAATCCTCATTTATAAATACGATCCTAATACAAAGGCCTAACAAAAAAAAAGATGTTGTATTGCATTTTGCGACTGACCCCAAAATCTTGAAATCTATGATCGGCTTTTACATTTTACTTTTTTTTTTCTTTTTTTACTTTTTTTCAGGAAAATATGTTTAATGAATAAAAAAAAATATGTATTAAAGCATTCAAAACTGAAAAAAAATCAGTCCGAAGAGGGAGGGGAAAAAAAGAAGAAGATTTCAGACCAATCAACCCATGTAAAGGTTCAACTAAACTATGAGTGATGCTCAGCAAAACTTAATTTAAATTGTATGTAAAACTATATTTTAACTGAGTTAACTAACACTTTCATAACTTGAATCTATAACAGAACACAGACATTGTGGCAGATAAGCCTTGTGCCAGTATATTTTACTTCTTCTACTATTTCTACTATTTCTACTACTACTACTACTACTGCTACTATTAGTATACTACTATTACTCTACTACTGCTGCTGCTACTACAACTACCACAACAACTACATGTTTATGATGCTTATGTTTCTACAGTTTACATGAATTTCCCAATGTTTCGGTTATGTAGTTGTGTGCCAGCCAGGGAGCTATCTGGAAAGTTCATCATGTACTCCATGTCCTCTAAACACCTATCAAGACCAGACCAATTATCGTGAGGAATCCTGCATCCTATGTCCTGGCAACCTGATTACTTTCGATGAAAGTTCAGATAATCTTGCAGACTGTACAGGTATAAAGAGAGTCAGACCCAACGTTCCATTCCTATTGAAAATACAGCAGTGGCCTCATATGAGAATGCGTGATAGCCTAGCTATAGATACTTTATGAGAATAAATAGTTGCCACAGGAATTGTTAATGCTATTAAACTTTACATCAGAGTATTGCAAATTTCTGATTACTTATCTGATTTTTTTTGTCCAAGGTTTCATTCAGGCGATCAAGAAATATTTTCCAGTGCACACTAATAAAGTCTATAGAAAATTATATTTAAGTTATGGTTTTACTGTGGTATTACCTGTACTGCAATTGTATTGTAATGTGAAAATAATGCACTCTTAGTTTCATTGAAACATGGAAAATGTAATTCTGATAGTCTCTTTTTCAAGAAGTAACTAAATTTATCGATTCGCATTTGTAGTTTATTGTATCTATACTGATTGATACAACAGTACATTGTTATCATATTTGTTCGTTTTTATCACTATTTAATCATTTTATTATTCTCTGTTTTTTCAATAACCACCAGAGCCGGATACTGACAAACGCCCCATCGCACCAGGAATCACTTTGGGTCAAATACTTGGCATCGTTTCTGGAGCTGTAGTACTGATCATTATAGTGGTAGTGGGCTTTTGCTGCAAAAGGAAACAGCGCAGGTAGGCACTCTATTTGTATTGTTTCCATTCCCTATCCCTTACAAAATTTAGATAGATTCGTAGTCTGGCATACAAAAGTAGAAGCTTAGAGTCTGAGTGTGCGATTGGTAAAAGATTTAGCTGTGTTCTTTCTCCCTCTCTCGTATTTTTCCTCACTCCCCCCTTCTATGTCTCTTTCTTATGTTTAATATGATAATAATTACATTTGAATGGTGCTTTATTCCACGCTTCGAAGCGCCTTACACAATGAATATGACGTACAAAGAAAGCGGACAAAATATACCGTTCCTCAGGTAGACAAAGGAACATCCCTTCACTGCTATTATGTAAAGAGGTGAATATGCGTGTGACACCTGTTCTACACATTTTTACACAATAGCAGTGAAGGGATGTTCCTTTGTCTACCTGAGGAACTGTATATTTTGTCCGCTTTCTTTGTCAGTCATGTTCATAGTGTTAATTACATTGTAATTATTATTACCCCGGTCATTGGACATTGGAGAGTGCACACGCTCCGCTCTCCGAGGAGTATTTCACCAGGCGCCATGTTACAAGCACAAACATGCCAATCTAACCACTTTAAGGTTGCATCCTACCGGATATCCACTTACTAGTAACACCTAGGTGAAGAGTTGCAAATGTAGATTAATGTCTTACCAAAGGAAGCACAAGCCATGTGTTCCACAGTCCGGCAACGTATCCAAGTATGTTAAGTGAACTCATGGGTAAATGCACTGTCCATATCCCAGACCATAATAGCTTACACCTTTCGTATATAACAAATAAAAAAAATACAAAAATGTAAGGACAGTAACACATTTGTAACGATCCCTTCTTATGATCTTTTACTGTACTTGTTTCACTTGATAATTGCCTTTACAAAAATTATGTTAATATCATTTGAAGTAGTAAAAGTAGAAAAAGTAGGTAAATAAACCAACTTGATATGCTACGACAGAAAATGTCAAATATACATATATATACTATTAAACCCCTATCACATTTCAGATTAGGCTTGTCATGCTTACCTGCTGACTGAATAGGAGGCCAGCATAGATCAATATCCCCTTCCTTCACCCCCCCCCCCCCAGTTTGTGGCATTTTGCAAATAGAAGAAATCTATTATTTGTCATGGTCAATTGCCCCCTGGGAAACATCAAGGGCCTTATTTCTATATATACCCAAACAAGAATTGTCACCTAAAGCCCAAAGATGAGTAGTACGAAAAAACAGGATAAGATATATTTTTTTCTTCAGGTGCATCAAATTTGGGTCTTTATCAAAACCAGTTTGTACATGAATAACTTTCCATAATTTTTTTAAAAGATTCTAATCTTCAGTGTATTTGTACTATTGTATTTATTTAGTCGTGCAAAGAAGAATATTATGTTCCATCCGGCTTCACAGCATCAGATGAAGGAGATGGGAGATGCTTCGAAACAGTCAGCCATTGATCATGCCGGAAGTCATCATGATAATAATGCATATGAATAACATGTAAAAACTTTGTTGTCTGAAAAGATTCTCTCTTGAGTTGCCTGATGAAAGGTCAATGTAGGTAGTAACTACAATTTGAAGGGCTTCTCAAAACGAAGGTATAGGCCTACACACAAGAAAACTATTATCGTTGAACGTTGTAGAGAAGATATTTCCAGTGAAAGCGTTATGATTACATTTAAGGTTGTTTGTAAATAGATCTGTTCAAAGTCATGGTTCTTAGTCATATTCCCTAATCTTTGCAAGAAGATGCAGGTGACCATGGTAACATATAGGGTATATTTAATATCACATCATCAACTTCAAACTGCTATTTCAACAGATGACATGAACAATTTCTGTATCATACTACTAGTACTTACAGTTAAATTTGACATATTCTTACACCGATGGATTTTCACTGGACATCGGTTGTCACAATGACAGACAAGGACTAAATAACAAAAAAGAAAAACAACATCAACAAAATTAAAAACGTAGTGCTTACTAACTGACAATAAGGCAGTCTTTCTTTGGTGATGGCATGTCAATTTTTTGTGAGACTTAGTAATTGAACGCAACAAAGTTATAAGAAATATCTTCAAGTTTGATGTTTTAAGGAGAGTAAACTTAGTTATGATGGCAGAAACTTGAATGTTACTAGTATTTCTTTGTAAACGCATCTAGGATCAATGATTTATATGCTTAACTCATTAATTTCACTAGTGCAACTAGTGTTCATTTTAAAAAGATGAAGACAATTTTTTTTAAATTGCTATATTACAGTCTATAAAATAAATGTATACCCAACTATCGTTGATTCCCATTTGAAAGTAATAACCTGTGTGGCCTTCAAATAAGCAACTAATAATCTATATAATGATACCTTATTCATAACTCATCTGAAATGGATGACTGAGTAACAGCCTTTCCAAAATGTATTATCACAATCCTCTTGTACCAAGTTTGTCTGAAGCAATGTATGTGGGTCAGGAGCCCTTAAGAACTGCTATTTCAATCGGAAAATACATTGTCTGAATGCAAAAGATTGCATCGTCAACTCGGACTACCGGTAAACAAAAGGCCCTTTTAGAACCAAACTTTATGATATTCTCTGTTATGAAACAATCTTGGCTCTCTCGCATGCCTTGTTTAAGGTAAGCCTTGACATCGAGTCATACATGTCATACAAAATTATATAAAAGTTTATTGTAAATATCTTTGGTAGTTATCGACATGAGTTTTTTCTTGCATTTATTAAATCTTTAAGGTTAGTACCATCTCTGAGATTTCATGTGCTGTTTCAAACAAATGACTCTTTATGCACCTCACACACCTTATAGATGTGAAATGGTGCAGTGGACAAGTGATCAGAGACATCTTAGATATCATGAGACAAGAAGTTAGTAGGTTGTTCCAAATAATGTAAGGTTATCCCGTGGATTGAGACAACTTCAGACAAGTCCTATTCAAGGTTAGATACATCTTAAACAATGGACCACTACTGAAGCCTGAAACAGGTTTTAACACTTTAAAATGATTTAAAAACCAAATTTACCCATGCATAAGGCCCACTGACATAAAATACATCAGCACATACCAGTTGGTACAAGGAGATTTTGATGGAAATTTTTAAACACTCTGGTGCTCAGTCAACTGTGGCAGAAAATGTATCATAGTGGATCGTTAGACAGAAAACAAGTAATTCTTTACAATAAAACAGATTTCAAGGTCGTATTGATATTGACTTTCAATAATTAGCTACCAAAGTTGGGTAAACTTTGTTTAATACTCACTGTATAAGAATTATCTTGAATATTGAAAATTTGTATTTGTTTTTCTCTATATTGAGATCAAATTGCACTACTTTATATATATGTATTCTAGAATTTAAAATTTGTTATTTGCTTTTTCCTATATTCAGATGAAATTGCACTACTTTATAACTATGTATTCTAGAATTTTATATAAATAATGGCTTTTTTAAAGTCAGAGGACTACTATTCCAACATTTTGGATAAAGAGGAACCTCTCGTTGAAATATTGAAAATTTGTATTTGTTTTTCTTTATACTCAGATCAAATTGCACTACTTTATATATGTATTCTAGACTTTTATATAAATAATGGCTTTTTAAAGTCAAGAGGGCTACTATTTCAAAATTTTGGATAAAGAGGAACATCTCACTGAAATATTGAAAAATGTTATTTGTTTTTCTCTATATTCAGTTCAAATTGTACTACCTTATACATGTATTCTAGAATTGAAAATTTGTTTTACTCTATATTCAGATCAAATTGCGCTACTTTATAAATATGTATTCTAGAATTTTATATAGATAAGGGCTTTTCAAGTCAGAGGGCTACTATACCAACATTTTGGATAAAGAGGAACATCTCACTGAAATATTGAAAATTTGTATTTGTTTTTCTCTATATTCAGATCAAATTGCACTACTGTAGGCATTATGTATTCTAGAATATAACATTTGTTATTTGTTTTTCTCTATATTCAGATCAAAATGCACTACTTTATATATATGTATTCAAGAATTGTATATAAATAAGGGCTTTTAAAGTCAGTGGGCTACTATTCCAACGTTTTGGATAAAGAGGAACATCTCACTTTCACATCAACACGTATCTTGTATCACTAATGCCGTGCATGGCCGAGTATATGCTTCATACTTGCTGAAGATGATAGCTATTACGTTATCTGTTGCAAGTTTTGGTAAGAAGATAAAACTTGAAACTTGAAACTTAAAACTTGATAACATCAGTGATGCAAGAAAAGTATCAATGCAAAAATGACGAGTTCCTCTTTATTCAAAACCTGCATGTAATTAACGTAATCAGAGTAAATAACGTTCGAATATTAATGCTCTCTGTTTGAATTGGTTTTATTTTGTTATACAATGTACAATGTTATTCATATTAGTCATTTGATTTATTTTGAAGAACTGTTATTATTTCAAAATTGTGAGTACAGTAATTTTATATCAATTTTTGTATACCTATCTTAATTTTGTAGAAATTAAGTGATAGCACTTATTACCACTAAAAAAAGAAAATTATGAGTTTAGTGTTTATGGGAAACGAGCATGACCTGATAATTTTCAAACAGTATACCCAGAAGCCAGAATCGTTTTATATTGGGATGCATGGTACATAATATGTTACTCAGTAGTTTTCTGCCTAAACAAATGTATATATTTTCAGTGCTTTATAAAAAAATCAATGCAGTGTGCGAAACCAGTTACCGTTTGTTTACAATACCTAGCTAGCTGTTGCATTACTCTGATACATAGGACTTTGCAAATTTACGATTTATCGCTGAGGTAATCTTCATGTACCGGTATATCTGCCTTTGGGCAGAAAAGAAGATGTATACAAGCTCTTGACTCATAGCAGTAGTGTTTCCTTTAAGTGCCTTTTTCATTGACCAGAATGCTAGGAATTCCAAATTTACTTGAGCAAAAAGAGCAAAAGACACAGGAAATTCTGAGTTTATTTACAATGCAGTATATTGTGTCGTTCTCAAATAAAAGTGATTCAATTGTAACTAATCACTGAAGTCTTTAAATTTGCAACGCAGATACGAACATAAAATATTTATTTTCCTGTACAAATTGGCCAATTTCAGATTAGATTTTTTTTTTTTTTTTTTCACATTGGTTATTGAAATGAACATTTTTGTTTTTTGAAAATATGCAGGAAAATAACATTAGTTGCTGCCCACTTGAGAAGGGAAAAGGGATTAAACTAAAACCGAAAAAAAGGAAACTCTGAACTGCTATGGTTTGATATACATGTCCCACACTATACCTTGTTTATCACTTTAATTCTTGATATATCATTTTTCCTTACTTGAAATAACCAAGAAATGCATGTAAAGGTGACTGCGTATATATATTAAAAAAACAAAAAACGTGCTAATTTGTTTGCCTTTGAAGCTTTTTTGTGTTTCTATGTTCTGATAAGCTGGTAAAAAAATAGATATAAGAAGAAAGAATATTGTGAATCTGGAGACGAGACAAGAATCCCTGAAATGTCACACATGACATAACATGAGAACACTGTATATTAACAGAACTATAAAACGAAAGACAAGAAAAGAGGAAACCAGAACATATTCCAAAATAAAACTGTATATTTTATGTGTCAGTGAATGCAACTGATTGGTATTAAGTGCAAAGTGAAAATAGAGATATCTCGTCTTTTTAATGGAACTGTATCTGTGTGTTTTAAGGTGGATACAGACATGTATGAAGCAAATTATGCTTTTGTCATTTAGTCTTACCGAGGCAGTTTGATCATCGTTTTTTAATTTACATTTGAGGAGATTAATCGTGCCATGTGTGAACAATTATTATTATTAGTGCATATCGTTTTCATGTTCTTTTATAGAACAAACCATACATATGACATACATGTATAGATAATTGTAATAAAATGTGAGTGGACAATTGAGAAAGATATGAGGAAATGAGAAAGAGACAGAGTTAGACAGACAGAAGCAAAGATGTGAAATTTAGTTTTGTGAACCAATCAAGTGGTCCAATAGATCTCACCCCCTCTCCCTAAAAAAACAATTATGATGATGATGATAAAGATATCCGATTACAAGAAAACAAGTAAATACAACTGCTAATATTAAAATGAATGTAATGATAATAATAACGAATAGGGAAGTGGAATTCAAAGCTATTTTGAAAAAGGGAAAAATAAATATTGTGAGCTGCAAGAGTTTAAAGGTGACTACAACACCATACATCATCAAATCAACTCACATTATTTCTTCAAGCTGCACAGCCACAATGTCCAAATTAGATTGCCTTAAAACCAGGCGCGGATCTAGGATTTCTTAGGGGAGGGGGCCCAACTTTTTTTTTGCTCCCGAAAATTTGAAAATCGCGCCGGCCAAAAATTCGCTCAGTTGGGGGGGGGGGGGGGGGACTCAAATACATTGCTATGATTCCCCTTTTCATTCGAACTGTGTAGTTTTTTTATTATTATTTCCTACACTGAACATTTCCTATCTGCTACTAGGAATAACAAAATGAGAAGATCATACCGAGGAAAAATACTGCTTACAAGACGAACAATGCGAATGTATGCTTATATCATAATGATACAAAAAGAAAACGATTTTTATTTAATTTGTATTTAATAACAGAGCGTGTGTATTCAGCAATAACAGGTGGCAAGCTGGGGGTGTTTCACAAAGACTAAGATCGACTTTAAGTTGGACTTAACTATGGCAAGCCGTTTATGCCACCGTTTGCTCTCACCATTTTCACTCATGTTAGTATCTCAAGGGACGTACAAGTCATGGTAACAAATCTATTCATTATTGAGGGAAAAAATATTATCTAAAGATCATAATGGTGAGAGTAAACAGTGGCATGAATGGCCTGCCATACTTAAGTCCAACTTCACGTCGATCTTAGTCTTTGTGAAACGACCCCCTGGAATTGGCTATGTGACCTAGAATAACCATCATCTCATACGGTTAGCAAGGTGCCCAATTTTTTTTTTCTCTGTACGAAAAAATGATTGAATTCCGCCAGACCCGTCTATACAGTGCGAGTCAAAAAAAAATTACACCTAGACAATTGTTAATTATTTAAAAAATAATAAAACACTCTTTCATAACATGTATAATAATTTACTGTTCATAACAGATTTTAAAAATAATAAGCAATTTTCTAGGTGTAAACTTTTGTTTGACTCACACGGTATATATATATATATATATATAAACTCTCTCCCTATTCTCTCTCTCCCTCTCTCTCTCCCTCTCTACCTTCTCCCTCTAGCTCTTCCTTTCTCTCTAGCTCTCTCTCTCCCCCGTTTTCTCTCTGTTTCTCTCTCCCTCCCTCACTCTCTCTCCCCTTTTCTCTCTCTCAATATTTCTCTCTATCTCTAGCTCTCTCTATCTCTCTCACACTTTCTTGCTACATTTGTATCGATATTTGAAGCCTTTGATTGATTAATTGATTCGAATTTATTCCATTTCATATCAATTGTTTCCACACAAAAAAGAACATAGTTAACAAAGTAAGTTAAAAATTATGAAATGAAACGGGAACCTACTGGAAAGCATAGATTGTTGTTTGTTTGATTCCCAAGAATAAATATAATATGAACATTATTTTTATAAATCATGTTAAAGTGTCTAAATAATCGAAATAAAAGAACGAAGGAAATTGACTTAATATGATAAAAAAGGACATGACAAAACAATTCATGACAGGACAAGACAAAACGAGACATGACATGACAAGGTGTTCTTAAAGGCCTGGTCACACAGAGGGGACGCATGGGGGACGCACGGCCAGCGCATTGGAAATTTGCAATTTGGGCCAGTGCGTTGTCGTTCACTAGGCGTGCGTCATCATTCGTTACTCGTTCGTCGAGCGCGCTGGACCAACGCTGGACCAGCGCTATGCATTCGTCGTCATTCGCTGTGTGCGTCAGGGTTTTTTGAGCATGCTCAAAAGTGTGCGCGGAGCTCGACGCATGAATGTACACGCCAAAGGCACGCCAGACATGCGTTGAGCGAGCTAGACCAGCGCCAGCCATACGCGGAGCACACGCCCTGCATAGCATTGCGCGCTAGCTACACGCTGTGCATTTTTTGTCAGCTCGCTAGCTTTTCCAAAATTATGACAAAAGTTAGGCACACGGCCTTTACCGATTTCCAATGCGCGGGCCGTGCGTCGTAGAACGCGGTGCATGCGTGGACCATTCGTCCAGCGCGCTAGCAACACGCTGTGCATTCGTGGAAGTTGTTATCATGTGCGCTCTGTGTACGGTCTGTATGCGCACTGTATGCGCCCTGTATGCGCTCAGCGCGCTAACAACACGCTATGCATTTGGTGTCAGCTCGCTGTAGCTTCGACAAAAGTTGGGCGCACGACAACGCACTGGCAAAATTGCAAATTTCCCATGCGCTGGCCGTGCGTTCCCCATGTGTCCTCTCTGTGTGACCGGGCCTTAAGTGTTGGGAGCCCAACTAATTTGATGGCGAAAATTCACTTCAATTGTGTAATGAATCATAGAAAGTATGCCATTGAACTGACTACTGCAATGATTTATATAATAAACGTGTTTGAAGAGGAATATTGATGAAAGAATACACAAATTTGGTGTTTCTGTGTACAACACAAACCCAAGTTTGGTATGCTTTCATCAAGATTCGTCTTCATGCACATTTTTATTGACAATCCTTGCAGATTTGAATGTTAAATGACATCCTGTTTCAATTCATTATACATTTTAAATTACATTTTGCCATTTAATTTCTTTAGCGAATGTGGGGCTCCCAACACCTTAAGAGGGGCTTTAACCAGGGGCGTAAATCCCGGGGGGATGGGGGGGGGGGGGGGCTGCATCCCCCCTGGCTTGAAGTAGGGGGGGGGTGGCCTGTACAATCATCCCCCCTGATATTACAAAAAAAAGAGGGAAAAAAAGGAAGAAGAAGAAGAAGAAGAAGAAGAAGAAGAAAAAAATGTTATTATTTCAATTTTAGCATAATACATGAGAAATGAGTTATTTTTTTAATGTAAGTATAACTGTATAGCCTACATGGATATAGTATGTCACGATCATTAAGAGTAGTTGCGCGACGTGCGCGAACAAGCACTTCATAAACTTTAGAATAATTTTTCGTTATTTTGCAAGGTATTATTATAGCCCAGACGTAAAGTGCGCCAGCGCGCGAGCGCTTAAAAAGTGCAATCATATACAGTAGATGCCCGGCTCCCCCACTTAGTATTATTTACGGTACGCGTACGCTCGTTCCCGCCCTTTGAAAGCACTCCCCCCCCCCCCACCCTATCTCAGGAATGCCAACATTTCTGAATCCCCCTTTCGCCGGCTTTTTGTTGGCTTTTCCTACCTTGGAGACCCCCCTCCCCAAATCCGGAACACTGATAAATGTACAACCCCCCCCCCCCCACAATTTCAGGTGAGCTCTAGTCGATCGAGGGGGACTGGGGGCCAATGCATTTACTTTTCAAAATGAAATAATCCTGAATGAGCTTTCAAAGCTAGCAGAAATTTCAGGAATTTGATCCCGGGATTTGATCAATTTTTCTAAGATATTCAAGATATTTTATAACCTCCTTTTTACATTTCTTAGGAGTCCAAAGAGAGAGAGAGAAAAAAACTCACCCCCTTTTTAAAGAAATTAAGAGTCGAGAATGGTACAACGAATCGTCTTATTTCTCTAATGATTTAATGAAATGTAAAAGCTTCCGCGCTTCGCGCGGGAGGGGGGAGGGAAAAACTGAATTCAGATGAGGATTAAAAGTCAAGAACGGTACAACGAATCGTCTTCTTTCTCTAATGATTTAATGAAACGTAATAGCTTCCGCGCGAGGGAGGGGGGGGGGGAAGGAAAAAACTAAATTCAGATGAGGATTAAAAGTCGAGAACGGTACAACGAATTGTTTTCTTTCTCTAATAATTTAATGAAACGTAAAAGCTTCCGCGCTTTGCGCGGGAGGGGGGGGGGGACTGAATTCAGACGAGGATTAAAAGTCGAGAACGGTACAACGAATCGTCTTCTTTCTCTAATTATTTAATGAAACGTAAAAGCTTAGGTGCTTCGCGCGGGAGGGAAGGGGGAACTGAATTCAGACGAGGATTAAGAGTCGAGAACGGAACAACGAATCGTCTTCTTTCTCTAATGATTTAATGAAACGTAAAAAGCTTCCGCGCTTCGCGCGGGAGGGGGGGGGGGGGGGACTGAATTCAGACGAGGATTAAAAGTCGAGAGCGGTACAACGAATCATCTTCCTTCTCTAATGATTTAATGAAACGTAAAAGCTTCCGCGCTCCACGCGGGAGGGGGGAGGGAAAAACTGAATTCAGATGAGGATTAAAAGTCAAGAACGGTACAACGAATCGTCTTC